ATATGAACGAATGAATCGAAAAAAAGTTCTGAACTGACCACCAAACCAAACCAAACCAAAAAAAAAAAAAAAATAATAATCTCAGTGAACCAGAAAAAAACTTGACCTGAAACTGAAAACACAACAACAGTGTGTGTGTTGTATATTTATAAAACATCCATGTCAAGTTGAAGGTTACACACACACACACATTGCACACAAGATATCAGACCAGTTTCTCTACAAACCAAAGAAGAAAAAAAGTTTTAAAAATAACCCAAAAAGATTACAGATTACACACACACATCAAAATTAAAACATGAATGTCTGATTCATACATATATAAAAGGATTTTGTTTTTGGCTTTTATTTTTCATTTTAATTCAAACGAACAAAAATAGATAAATAAATATAGAGATAAGATTAAGATTTAGATTTAGATTAAGATTTCAGACATACACAAAATGAGAAATTTGTTTTGTTTTTTTTTTTTTTTTTTGGTTTTCGGACATGTGTATATGTAAGTCAATTACAATATATAAAAAAATAAATAAATTATTATTCGTAACACGATTCCATGATTTATAATTCTTAATTAGTAAATAAATCGATGAGAATATAATCGATGATGATGAATTAAAATGATCGATACGATAAATAATGATAATGATGATAAGATAAGATAAGATAAAATTCATGAATTGAAATTCTTGACGATTATTATATTATATTCATAATAATATAAGAAAGCTATACGATTCTGAATTTCTTCATTTTTTTGTTGTAATTTAATTTTTAAATTTGAATTTAACTGCTATCTAATCTATGTAATGTTTATGGATGAATGAATGAATGAATGAATGGATTCCATCATTTCTAGAATTTTTTTTCTTTTTTCTTCTTCTTATTCTTCGTATTATTATTCTTGATTCTTAATCCCATCCATCATAAATTGGCAATTGTCGTACATTTTGCATATACAATTGATGCTGTTGTTGTGGCTGCATTCGTGGTGCATTCCATGCTTGTACGAATGGTTGTGGCTGTGGTTGTGGCTGCGGTTGTTGTTGTTGTTGTTGTTGTTGTAATAAATGTTCATAAGGTTGTGGAATGATTGATCGTACCGATGGCAATGATTGATGAATCATTGGCATTAATAATTCTTGATGATGATGATGATGATCACCATCATTTTCAACCAATGCCATTGTTGGTGGCATTATACGTGTCTGTTGTGGTTGCTCTTCAATCATATTTAACATTGATCGTCGTGGAAAATGAATGGATGATGATATTGGTTGTGGATCATCATTATGATTACGAGCACTTACTACTTTCGGTACAATCAATGATGATGGCCGTTCTGATCGTATTGGTTGTACACCTCTTAAAATTTGATCTTCTAATGTTAAAATATCAATTCGATCTGGTCGATAAAATGGTCGTTTGATGCCACCTTTTGTACCACCTTTTGTACCTCCTTTTGTGCCACCTTTTGTGCCACCTTTAGTTGGTGGTGTTGATGTTGTTGTCGATGGTTGTGGACGTCCACCTTTCGATGGTGGTTGTGGTCTACCACCTTTTGATGGTGGTGGTGGCTGTTCTTTTCCACCTTTAGTTGGTGGTTCTTCTTCCTGTTGCTGTTGTTCTTCCTCTTGTTGTTCTTCTTCCTGTTGCTGTTCTTCTTCCTGTTGTTGCTCCTCTTCTTGCTGTTGTTGTTGTTCTTCTTCTTGTTGTTGTGGTTCCTCTTCTTGCTGCTGTTGTTGCTCTTCTTGTTGCTGTTCTTCTTCCTGTTGTTGTTCTTCTTCCTGTTGTTCTTCTTGTTGTTGTTGTTGTTGTACTGGTTCTTCAGTAGTTGTTGTTGTTGTTGATGGTCTTTGACCTTTTACTGGTGGTGATGGTCTACCACCTTTACTTGGCGGTGGTGGTACATTTGGATTACCTTTGGTTCCTATAGAAAATTTAAAGAAAAAAAAAATTTCCATAGAAAACAAATGGCCAAAAAAAAAAAAAAAATTTTGGAAATAAAAAAATTGCTCACCTGAACTACCACCTTTTGTACCACCTTTACTATTACAGCTAACTTCGAATATCATCAATAATAAACATAATGAACCAAGTATCAATATAGAAAATTTCATGATACCAAAATAATTTTTTATCCACACACAAAAAAAAAAAACAAACACACAAGATTTTTTTATTTCTGGAAGATGATCTGAAATGATTAATTCAATTCAATTCAAAAAAACATGAAATATTTGGCTATTTATACCGTCCGTTGATAAGTTCTTTTTTCTTTCTTTCTTTTGGTCAATCAAGAGCAGCATTATTATATCTCGAAAAAAAACTGACCAACCAAGTTCAAGTTAACATCACAACAACAGCAACAACAAGAATTGTACCCTTATTCATGATTATATAATGGAAAAAAAATGAACTGGTTTTTTTTCCAATATAATGATGATGATCATAAGTGGATATGTCCAGTAATATAATAACCAGTTTTTATTTCCATTATTATTCATTCCTAAGTATGAAAGAAGAAGAAGAAGAAGAAGAAAATTCTATTGAAAATACAAAGACTTGTTTTTTTTGTCCATTTTAATTTATATATATTTTGAATGATAATTTTTCTAACAAATGAAAATGTGAATTGATTCCAGATTCGAACACCATATATATATATACTCATTATTATCATTGAAAGGCCAATGAACGAATGTGAATCCATTTGGAATTTGGAAAAAAAAATAAAAGAAAAAAATCTTCATCACGATTTTATTATTATTATTGATGGGTTAGGTCGAACAGTAAAGTTCAAAGTTCATGCATTATTTTTTTTTTATTTAATATTTGATTGATTGACTGATTGATTGGGCAAAATATATTTCATTGATTGAACATGAAATAAAAAAAAATAATGTTTGAAGGTTAAAGACCCTTTTTTTATAAAAAAAAATCTTGATATCAGATAAGCAATAAACTTGTTGTATATGTATGTATGTATGTATGTAGATGGATAAAATTCATTGATTGATTGATTCAAGTTTGATCGATCAAAATTCGAATTGGTATTTTAATGTTGCCAAACAAAAGACCAAAACGAAATCACAAAAAAAGCAATTTTTAATCTTGATTGATAAATCATCATCATAATCAAGACGGTTATTCTTAAAAGAATTATTGATCGAAAAATTTTACGAATCACTATTGTTGATGATGATAATGATGCTAAACTGTTTTTTTTTGTACTCCACAATAAAAAAAACGATAAATTTTCATTGTTAAAATTTGAAAGAGAAAGAAAGGAAAAAAAGGTGCAAAAAAAATCGATGTTCAAGATTTGACAACACACCATTCATTCATTCATTTATAGTTATTTTTTGGTGGGAGATAAAATAAAAAAAATTTTCAAATTTAACGGGTTTTTTCACCATTTTGTCAGTGTGTGTGTGTTTCAAATTGTTCATTCTTATTCTTTAATTTATTAAAAAGAATCGTTGATGAATATTGTGTGTATATTTCACATACACACACACACACACACACACACTTTTTTGTAGTGATGCGCCTGAAATCATCAAATCAAATTCTATAGAAATGAAAAGAATCCATTAAAACGTTTTTTTTTGCTGGTTATTCCCAATGTTTTTAATGGATCTCAATCGTAATTTTTCCACTTTGCTATTATTGTGTGTGTGTGTGTGTGAAAAAATTTTTATTTCATTTCATTCTCACCCTAGTTGAAAATTCTTATTTTGTTGTTGTCATCATCGTCATCGTCGTCGTCGTCGTCGTCGTCGTTTGATTGAAGCAATAATCGTTGAATTTATTTGGTTCGATTATTTTTTTTTTTTGCTATATCTAATGACGACGACGACGATGAAAAAGATTCGAATCTTTGAATCTAAACTGGAACACTTTAATATCAATTGTTCAAGTATGTGTGTGTGTGTGTGTGATGATGAAAATAAAAAACTTTTAAAAGGATTTACATGTTTATTTGGGTTATATTTTGGATCGAAAATGACTGTGTATATACCTGGTTGTCTACTACTACTACTACCATCATTGAAGCTCTTGCAAAAACTTTGAAACATAACGATAATCATGATGATGATGTTAATGAGAATCATAATAAAGACTACTATTTTTACTTATTAGAAAATTTTTTTCTTCTGCTTTTATATAATACAATTCACCCCATCATTATTCATAATGAAACGATCATCTTTTTTTTTTTGTTTTTGGTTCATTAATTTTGGCAAGAATTGTTCTATGAATTGGTTAATTATTCTTATTCATTAACGGCAAAAAAAAATGAAGATTTTTTTGTGTTGCATAATTCTCCACCTTTTTTTGTCGAACAAAAAAACAGCAACATCATTCGAATGAACTGGTCGTGTTTTTTTTTTGTTTCGGTGTAGTTTAGTGATGAACTTTATTCATTATGTTCGAAACATTGGCCACAAAAAAAAATGAATGAATGAATGAATGAATGATGGTCATGATTTTTTTTCTGATGCAGATGTGTGCGTCTTACATATGGCCATAAAATTAAAAAGATTGACCATCATCATACACAGGAAAAAAAAAATTAGTTTTTCTCCGCCACCAAACAACACCCTGCAAAAAAAAATCAAAGCAGGTTAGATGATGACCACACAAATCATCAAACAATTTAACGGTGTAAAACTGATTTTTTTTTTTTTTATTCTCCAAAATTAAAAAAACCACTCTTTCTGAGTGGTTTTTTTTCTCATTTCAATCACGGTTTGACCTTAACGGATTAAATTGGCCATTTTATGACAGGGCAACAAAGCAAAAAAGATTAAAATAGCTCGGCATTACAAACACACCATCATCATCATCTTGGTTTTTTTATGGAAATTTTTTTTCTGTTTTTTTAAAAAAAAATACGGAAATGTTTTTTTCGTGTGTTATTTGAAAATTAAAAAAAAAAAATAAAGTCTGGTCATTCAAGGATTCTTTTTTTATGTTTGAGTGTGTGTGTGTGCGTGTGCATGGGATTTTTGTTTGTTTGTTTGTTTATTTGATTCCAGGTTTTTTTTGTTTCAGCTCAAAAATAATTTCGATTAGTAATGAAACGAAGACTAAATCGTAGTACCATAAAAGCCGATAATGTAAACACTAAACCAGCTGGCATAAATTTTCCCGATTTATAGAAACGATATCCCATTAATCCGGCTAATGCCAATGAAGATGCTTTTGATTTTTTTTTCGAATGAAAAATGAAAAATTAAATATGATTAAAAACAAAATGAAATGAAATAATTTTACCACAAACGTACCTAATAAAAGATGATAATGTCTTGGATTTGCCGATGTAAAATAGGCACCAACACCAAGTACAGCGCCGAAACCTAATCCGGCAATCAATGATGGAACACTACCAGCTTTTGCATAGCCAATGATACCACCTAATGCTACAATGCATGCATAACCGATGCTTAAAAAATCTGCAGGCATTTTCAATCCGAAAAAATTATTCGATTCAAATGTATCCACTGTTTCAATAACACCAGTACGAGTTGTCGTATTCAAAAGACTATTGTCAACCATTTGTTGATTGTTGTTGTTGATAATAATAATAATTTTATATTATTTTATCAACAAAAAAAATTTTTACTTTGTCTAAAAATTTACTCCAGTAATAAAAATAAATAAATGTAAACACCTTGACAATTATTGATTGTAATGCCATCTATCGGATTATCATTGTCAATGGATGACAAGAAAAAAATGTGTAAACACAAGAATAAATCAGAATTTTTTTTTGTTTTGTTTACCAAAGATCGATGTTTCTAATAACTCATGATGGATCCATCATTGTCCAACTATAAAGTACCATCATGGTTTGTTTGTTCATCATTTAAAAAAAAAATAAATTAATTAATCGATTCTTTTTCTTCGATTCAATCGTAGGGCTGGAATTCCACCACCTGGCCATCATTTGGATGTTATGAAAGATGGAAAATTGGTTCAGGTTTATTTTTATGATTATTTCTCATTTAACATTTCCAATTTTCAACAGGCATCCATGTAGCAATTTGATGTAGAAATTTTTTTGTTTTTTTTTCCGTTCGATTTTCTACACAATCGATGATGCCCAGAATAATTGATGAACATTTTTGTATCAGCTTTCATCATTAAGTTATCCACATATGATGATTGATATAGCTTGTTTCAAATATATTTTTTTTCGTTCTATCTTCTCTCGTAGAAACTCATGATTGATGAAAAAAATCATTATTTATTTGGCCGAAATTTATCCATGACAGATTTCTGTATTGATCATGCTTCATGTTCACGTGTTCATGCTGCTTTAGTTTATCATAAAAATTTGGAACGTTTTTTTCTAGTCGATCTTGGCTCAACACATGGCTCATTTATTGGTTCAATTCGAATCGAAGCAAATAGTCCAACACAACTTCCCATTGATTCTTGTTTTCATTTTGGTGCATCGACAAGAAATTATGTTCTACGTGAAAAGCCTAAAAAACAACAAATGAAAGGCGATGAAGATGAAACACAGATATCATTACCGGATTGTGAAAATGAAATCGATCATCTGACCGAATATAATACGGCACAAAATCGTCGTGTCAGTATGTTAGGTGTATCTGAAACTGATGATATGAAACCAGCTAAAGCTAAAAAACGTAAATCAGTTCAATTTTATGGTGATGATGAAATAATCAATCCTGAAGATGTTGATCCAAATGTTGGAAAATTTCGTAATCTAGTACAAACATCGATTATACCATCCAATAATAGTGGCATTAAACGAATGAAAATACAAAATTCATCATCATCATCATCATTATATTCTAATTTATTTAAAGAATCATTTTTTCATCGAATCAATACATCTGATCAGCCAAGTACTTCGGTTGCTACTTCATCATCATCATCACATACATTGTTGCAAAAAAATTGTTCATTAGGCATACAATTACCGAATCCAGCACCAGATATCGATAATGACGACAACGACGACAATGATGATGATAACAACGTTGATAAACTAATTGGACCTATTCCGGCAGTACCAACAAAATCAAAATCATCTGTCCATTCTGAATCGACAATTTCATTGTATGATGTTGAAGAAGATTTTATCGATGAAAAAGAAAAGAAAAAGAAATATGCAAAAGAAGCATGGCCAGGACATGAAAAAACTACATCATTGACTAATTTTTGATTCCAAAGCAAAAGAAAAAAAAGAAAGAAGAATTGTGAATAAAATTTAAATTTTCTCGAAAAACTTTACGGAAATTTTTTTTAAGAACAAAAAAAGTTTCCAAGAAAAGGATGAGCACGCAAGCGTGTTTATCCGTGTGTGTGTGTGATATTTTTTTCGATATCCACAGACAAAGAGAGCCATCGACTCACACATTTCACTCAACGTCGTAATCGTTGTCGATGTTTTTTTGTTTGTTTGTTTCAGTGTTGGCAAACGCGTTTTTTTGCTCTGTACTACAACAATTTTTTAGAACATTCTTTTTTTGGAACTAGTTCCAAATTGTTTTGTTGGCCAAAAAAATTTTTTTCCCACACACAATATCTTGGTATGTTTTTTGATGTGAATAGATTATTGATTGATTGAATAATTTTTTTTTCTCTCTCCCATCATCATATAGAAAGAAAGAATCCAGTGATTGATTTTCACCGGCAAATTAAATTTTTTTTTTTTGCTAATTTTTTCCCATTTTTAACTACACGTGTTTCTTAATTGGAAACAGAAAGTTGATAAATAAAAAAAAAGAAGAGATCGTAAAAAAAGTGTTTCATTTTTAAAGCATCCCAAAATGCCTAAAAACAAAGGTAAGGGAGGTAAAAATCGTCGTCGTGGTAAGAATGAAAATGAAGATGAAAAACGTGAATTAGTATTTAAAGAAGATGGCCAAGAATATGCACAAGTGATGCGTATGTTGGGCAATGGCCGTTTAGAGGCATATTGTTTCGATGGTGTCAAACGGTTATGTCATATACGTGGCAAACTTCGTAAAAAGGTGTGGATCAATCAAGGTGATATCATCTTGATTGGTTTACGTGATTATCAGGATACAAAGGCCGATGTTATACTCAAATATAATCCGGATGAAGCAAGAAATTTAAAAACGTATGGTGAATTACCTGAAAATGCTCGTATAAATGAAGTTTCATTACGTGAATTTGGCGAAGATGATGAAGAAGAGGATATTATTGAATTCGGTGATGATGTTGATTCTGTTGGTTCAGATAATGATTTACCATAATGATTTGCAACAACAACAACAAGAATATTTTTTTTTTTTTTTTTGGTCGCCATGCATTTTTCCATCATTATTATTTTTTTCCATGTGCAACCAAATACAACAAACACATGAACACACACACACACACATTCATTATAAATCTATTCTATCGATATTCTTGCTTGCTCTCTATTCTTCTCTAGGTATTTGTTTTTTTTTTCATTTTCACACTCTGTTTAATTTTCTTACACACAAATTCTAAATGGCTAATAATTATTACACACACACACACTTATTTATCCACCCCCCAAAAAAAAAATTTAAATTTTGCTTAAAAATTTGTGTAAATGTAAAATGATGTTTGTTTTTTTCGATTTAAACATTGTTTATTGTAACATTTTTTTTTGTTCGTTCGTTCGATTGAATAAAAAAAATCATTCAAGAGAAATGATTACGCCATCTTTTGCACAAAAAAAGTAACCATATTCTTAAAAAATTACGTCCTTTATGAATGAATAATATTAATGAGCGGCATGAAAAAAAAAATTCATTGTAATAAAATAAAAATTGCCAAATTCTGTATTCATCATTGATTTCATCATCATTAATAATAATAATAATAAAAATGAAGCTTACTATCGAATTGGTGGAAGGTGCATTTCAATTCATGAACAAATCTACTGGTGATCGTGAATTAGATCTACGTGATTATAAGATAACAACATTGGAAAATTTGGGCGCCACATTGGATCAATTTGATGCCATTGATTTTACATCGAACGATATTCGTACATTAGAAAATTTTCCATTATTGAATCGTCTTAAACGTTTATATTTGAGTAATAATCGTTGTTCAAAAATCGATGAACGTCTTCATGAAACCATTCCCAATTTGGAAACTCTTATAATGATCAATAATCAGCTGGATGAACTTGGTGATCTTGATCCATTGAGTGGATTTAAAAAATTAACTACACTTGCATTGATGGGAAATCCAGTATCCACAAAGAAACATTATCGTTTATATGTTATACATCGAATTCCATCGATACGTTTATTGGATTTTAAAAAAGTTAAATTACGTGAACGTGAAGAATCGAATAAATTATTTAGCGGTGAAAAAGGAAAACGATTAGAACATGAGATTGGTATTAAATCGAAAACATTCGTTCCAGGTGGTGGTGGTGCCGGTATTCAACCAAATACTAATCAACGAAAACCGCTGACAACCGAAGAGGTTCAAGCTATTAAACAAGCTATTTCAAAGGCCAATACATTGGAAGAGATGGAACGTTTGAAATTGTTGTTGAAACAAGGTTATATACCAAATAGTAATAATCAATAATCATTATCAATGATGATGGATCTCAATTGTGTATGAAATCATAATAAAAACCTCATTTTCTTTTCATTTTCGCAAAAAATCATTCTTTTATAATTAATGAAAGACAATCCATATGTACAAAATAAAATGATGAATAATAATAATTTGTAGTGTAAATAAATGTCAACTGCAACAAAAAGAAAAGAAAAATCAAAACACACATGACAACAACATGAAAAATGATCAAATTCAATGAAAATTTTTTTTAGTTCAAAATTTCCAAATAAGCAACAGGAACTTTTCCTTTTCGACCATCACTAAGACGTTCACCATACATCCAATCGCTTGTATCATCGATTGATTGTTGTTGTTGTTGATTTTTATGATCAATCAATGTGACGAAAATAATTTCATCGGCTAATAATGAAAGTTCATCATTAGATTGTGCTTGATAATTATTTAAACATTTTGCACGTCTTTTATTGATTGTTGATGTTGTTGTTGTTGTTGTTGATGATGATGATGAACTTAAATCCATTGGAACCGTTGTGGAATTGTTATCGATATTTGTATGATGAATTAAATCAATTGCTTCCATAGCAGTAGCAGCAGAATTATTGGATGTTGTTCTCATTTTATGATGATGATGATTAGATGTCATTTTTATAGTAGCCGGATTGTTTGAATCTTTTAATGTAGCACCGCCATCACCACCACCACCACCGTTGGGAAGTGATTGATCATTCAATGTGGATGATGGTGGTGGTGGTGGTGGTTGATTTATTTCTCGTTGTAAATTAGCCATATGACGAAAACATTGATGATAATATTCAATTTGACATTGAGCGAAATCATTCAAACAACGTACATGATTTGCCTATATATGAGTCAATAATATGGATGAAAAACAATTTTTTCATCATATGATCAAATGTCATACCTGAGCACTGGTGATACCTTCAAGCAACAATTTTGTTATTTCAATCTGTCTATCAAATTCTTCTTGACAATGTTTGAGATCACGTTCAGCCTGTGGTGTCATAGAAAATTGCAAAAAACAAACCAATGAATCATAATTATAATCAACACAAAGAAAAATAAATTGAAAAATAAGCTGATTGAAAGTGAAAAAAAATTTGATTATAAACCTCTTCGATCTCATTTTCAATCATTTCTGGTTTAAGTTTTGGCTTTATAATAGAAATTGTAAGCAAAAAGAGTGGGAAAAAAATAGATAAAAATGATCAAGTTAGTCAAAATGACAAAGATTATCAGATTAGACACATAATATATTTAGAATGTTCAATGTTCATGTAGACTTACATTATTTTGACTATCTTGACTTTTAGCTTTACGAAGACGATTTTTGGCTACATCTAAATCAAGCCGTTTTGTTTCAAGAACTTTACGTTCTTTTGCAATTGTTTTCATATCTTCATCTAGAAATTTTCTCAATGGAATGATTATAGTACGATAAGCATTTTGTACGAAATCTTTTTCTGCTTGTCCCAATTCAGTCTGATGTTTACCCACTTTGACCAATGCTGAACCATATAATGTTGATGGACCAAATGCAATACCAGCATCAATCATATCATTGCCCAAATAATCAAGATTACGTAAACGATTATCACGTGATTTGATCAATTCAGTATTTGAACCCATTGTTCGTTCAATCAACATTTCACCATATCTCATATCTATAAAAATAGGAAAAAATTAATAAATAAATAACGAATAAAGTAAAATGAAAATACAAACTTGGATTTGGTTGTATAACAGCCTCTAATTTCGATACAATTCTTTCAGTCCATTGTCTATAACAATCAGCACGTTCAGCCAGCTGTTCATATTCTGAATCCAATTCAGTACGTTCAGCCGTACCAATTGTTTCTTCTGCATACTGAATACCACCACCATTTGGAATCATGCAGAATAAAAAAATCAGAATCAACAAAAAAAAATGTAAATCGAATATGAAACAAAAAAAAAAAAAATACCTGTTTAGCACGAGTGAAAACAGTAGTCACATCTGATACAAGATTTTTTAAACTTTTTGTACTAAAATCCATAATGTGATCTCACATCAAGCAATATTTTCAATCTGAAATGTAATGGGAAAAAAATAAAAATTCACGACACACACACACACAAACAAACTACATATATCAAAACGTGTGAATCATGGATTATCATCCAAAAAAAAAAGAGAAGATTAGGGGGCAAAAAAAAAAAAAAAGTTTTGGCTCATAGATCAATTGTGTGTGTGTTTATCGATTGTTGATGGTGTGTGTGTGTGTGTGTGTGTAGTTTTATTTTGGAAAATGAGCCCACCACAAATCAAAAATATTTACAATCAGCCAGATATAACTACACCAAAAAAAAACACGTAGAGTATATGGCAATTTTTGTTGTTGTTGATGATGTTGAGAATAAAAATCTTGACAATGTAGACTTTTTGTTCTTATTCTTTTTCTATTTTAGCCAATCACATTTTTTTTGTTCATGATGACGATGATGATATCAACGAGTTTTTTTTTTTTGACTTTTTCCTTCTTCTGGTGGTTGTCCATAAGCTTTGTTTGGTTTTTTTTCTTTCATTCGGTTGTTGTTGTTATTGTTTGATTACGATGTTGTTTTTTTTTGTCTTTGGTTTTTTTTTCTGGTTAGTGTATGCGCGTGGAAAGTTTTTTGTTTCGCTCTGGTTGATATATACTACAGCATAGGATGTGTTGTATATGTTGAAAAACGTCGTAGTCGATGATGATGATGATGAAGTTCAAGTTTTGAGAATTTTTTTCTCTCTTTTCACTTCAATTCAATTCACTTAGTTACCGCAAGCCAATTTGTCGCTGTTGCAAACAACGATAGAACAATGTCCATAAAAAAACATTTTTACAATTAACAATCAGGAATGTTTCAATTAGCCAGAACCAAAACAAAATAAAAAAATTGCTCATTTCGTATACATCAACATAATTATAACTAATTAGACCAAAAATAAACGAAAAAAAATCTACGCATTCAAATAATGATCACGTGATTTTTGTTTCGAATTTTAAATGTCAACAGAAAAAAATATCGATTGTTCAACCATCGATAAATGAATTTGATCTTTTTCTACAGATTCAAACTAAAAAGCCGGTTAATTTTTTTTATTTCTAATTTTATTTTTTGAATGATGATGATTGAAAATAAAAAAAAATTTTTCACAAAATAAAATCTTCAGTGTTTACATCTATTGTAAATGAAAATGAATGATGTTGTTGATTTGGTTCACTTAAATTTAGTCAAAACGATGTTCATTTGGTTTGCCAGTCAATAATTCTTCATCATCGACATCATCTTGTTCATCTAATGGCTGTATGGTTTTTTCTCCAATTTCTTCATTCAAATTTGATTTTAATTGATTTTTATGTGTAATCTTTGCCAATTGATATAGATTTGCAAACATTGCTCTGCCAGTTTTTTTACACATTTCATAGAAACTACCTTTACTTCTTAATAGGAAATATGGAATATCAAATTCAACAATTTCACCGGCATCCAATACTAGAACACGATCACAATCAATAATTGTATTAAGACGATGTGCAATGGTCAATACGGTGCAATCACAAAATTTTTCTCTTATTGTTTGCTGTATAAGTTGATCGGTTTGATGATCAACATTGGCCGTTGCTTCATCCAATATTAATATTCGATTATTTTTTAGGATCGCTCGTGCCAAACAAATTAATTGCCGTTGACCGACACTTAGATTGCTACCACTTTCAGTGATCATTGTTTCCAGTTTACCTTTGTAATTATTTACCTGTGCTTTTAGCTGCACCTGTTCTAATGCACTCCAAATATTATCATCTGCATATTCATGAAATGGATCTAAATTATATCGAACCGAACCGGTAAACACTACAGGATCCTGTGGGATTATCGACAATTTTTTACGAAGATCATTCAATCCAATCGATTTAGTATCGATACCATCTATACGAATGGATCCATCTGTTTCGGTCAAACGAAACAATGCCGAAATAATGGAACTTTTACCAGCACCTGTACGACCAACGATACCAATTTTTTCACCACCATAAATTGTACAATCAATATTCTTCAATACTGGTTTATCACTACCATCATATCGTAAATACATCTGATCAAATTCAATGGTACCATCGGTTGGCCATTCAATTGGTGGTCGTTGTTCTGGTTTTGATTCAGCTGATGATTCTTTTGGTAGATCTTGATATTCAACAATACGTTCAACAGATGTCATTTGACTTTCAAATTCTGCCGATTGTCTTACACCCCATTGTGTCATACCAGCCAACATTAAACCAGATGATATTGCTAATCCAGCACTACCACCTTGTAAATCTAAAATAAAATACAAAATTGTTAAATTGATTTTTTTTTTTTCGAAATAAAATAAAAATTATTGATTGATTGATTGATTGAACCTTTTGATATCATAATTACAAATGAAATAGCTGCAATATAAATAGTGGAAATCCAATCAACCATTAGGCCCATACATCTTGATGAACTTATAAATAAAAACCATGTAGCACTATGGTCATTTTGATAGATAAAAAATTGCCGTTCAAATGCTTCTTGTACACCAAATGCACGTATCGATGCTAAACCATTGATTGTTGTACTTATATGTGAATAGACTGGACTACGTGCTGAAATTAGTAGAAAAAAAAATGAAAATCATTAGATTAGATCGATTTTCCGTCAATTTTTTTTCTGTGTACTTACCTAAACTTTCAAAACGTTTAATATCACGTGCAGATTTAATGTAAATTGTTCTCATAAAAAATACAAAAATTGTCAATAAAATTGCCGGAAAAATTAGCCACCAATTGACAATGCTAACAGTGATAACAACACCAATTGCTTGTGAAAATGTTAAATTCAAATCATATGCTGTACTGGGTAACATTTCATCAATAATTCCTAGATCTTTTGTAAAACGATTCAATATACGGCCAGCTGGATTTTGATCAAAAAATGCAACACGTGCACGTAATAGACGTTCAAATATTTGATTATGTAATCGTTCAGAAGCATGCATACATATTTGAAAAAATGAAACCGAACGAACAATAGTTGTAATGAAAAGACTAACAATCAATATTGAATAGATAATAATATCACGATGTTGTTCCATATCCGATATTTGTGTTTGACCATATTGATTTTTATTTGTCCATGCTGTTAAAAATAGATCTGATCCAACGAAAATTGTTTGTGATAGTATAAGAAATGAAATTGTCACCGTTAATGACAATATAGTAGCACCGGCTTTTAAATATTCACGATAAACTTTCCATTTAATTGAACCACGTTGAAATTGTTCTTCTGTTAATTTTGCATCGGATTTGTTGTCGGTTGATTTTTCTAAATTATCGATGTCATTAACATCATCATTATCTGATGGTAAAACTTCAAAACCTTCTTGTCCACTTGAAATGGTACATGTACGGCCACGCATATTTGTATCGGATTGTAAAACAATTTCTGAACCATCAAATGAACTGGAAATTGTTAATTTTCGATGTTTTTCACCATTATTATCATCATCATCTTTATTGTTTGGATCCTGTTTTTCAGCTAACAAACTCATAAAATCAATGCCCATTTGTTGTAATTCAGTAAATGATCCATATGCTAAACAATCACCTTCTTTAAGTATTAAAATTTTTGTTGCTTTTTGTATGAATTGAATTTGATGTGTAACCAATATACGAATCTTTGATTTTAAATGTTCCATAATACATTTTTCAAATATATGTTCAGCTACAGCTGTATCGACAGCTGATAATGGATCATCTAATAGACATATATCGGAATTTCGATAAATTGCTCTAGCCAAATTGATACGAGCTTTTTGTCCACCACTTAATGAAACACCTTTCTCACCAACCAATGTTCTATCACCGAATGGCATCAATGTTAAATCACGTTCCAATGCACAAACTTTGATCACTTGATCATAATGTTTTTGATCGTATGGCATACCGAATAGAATATTATTACGAACAGTTTCATTGAATGACCATGGATCTTGGCTAGCATATGATAATGATCCTTCTAATTCAATTTTACCGGATTCAAGTGGTAATTCTCGTAATATACTCATCAATAATGAACTTTTACCAGCACCAACTGGTCCAATTACGGCCAGTAAATCACCTGGTTTTAATCTGGCACTTATATTTCGTAATGTTGGTTGCATCAATTCTGGACTCCATTTGGCCACAATATTATTGATCATTAATTTTGGTTCATTTTTTTCCATTAATAAATTATTAGCAAGATTTTCATTGGATTTTTTATCATCATCATTTTCATTATTTGCAATATGGTTATTTTGTATATAATTTTTTTCTCTTTTAAATTTTCCATCATTATCTTCAATTGATTCCATTTCTTTTAATAATAAAAAATTTTCAATCCGTTTACAACCGATTAATAATTCAGATGCAAGACCAATTGAATTTGGAAAAAAAAATGTTATCGTCAATCGCAATGTATTGAATAATGCCATCGATACGAACACTGCTTCCGATGTTAATTGATTACCAACCAATACATAGGTGATGAAACAAGCAAACAATACAATACGTGTGGCCACAAAAAACACTGATAAATTGATTGCTTTCAAATAACAAGCTTGACGGATATATTTTACTTCCGTTCTATAAATAATGATGAAAAAAAAAAAAATTTAGATTCAGAATTCACTAGTTTAGTATCACATACTTTCGTGCATCGGCAACACGATTTGCGAATGGTTTTTCCCATGAATACATTTTAATTACACGTATACCGGATGTAATTTCACTCATCAATCGTAATCTTTTATCTGTTTGTTTGGCTGTATTGAAACGTACACGTGAAAATAATCGTCCCATATATACCTGTATTGGTATTAATAAAAACAATAATGCAAGACCAACAAAACAAGTCCAATTAATATATCCATAAAGAATATAGATAACAATGAACATTTGTATTGGTGATACAATTATGTATGAAACAAAAATGCTAAACTATAAAAAAGGAGAGAGAGAGAAAAAAAAAATTTCTAATATCAAATGACAAAGTCCCAAATCACATGTACCTCATACCTCATCCATACGATTAACATCATTGGACATGATATTAACAATTTGTCCAACGGCCGTTTGATTGACCGATGCACGACTTAAACGTAATGATTTTTGAAACATTAATGAACAACATGCTGTACGCATACGCATACCGATACGCATTGTTTGTATCATTGCTGGATGATGACATGATATAAAAAATGCAGTACAAATGGTCACACCAGCTGCTGACCAACATGCATCCAAATAGGTTATATTTGTATTTTCTGAAAAATATCTAATAACACGACCAAGTAAAAATGGTTGTACAATACGTATGAAACATTCTTCGAATAAATAACAAAATAATGGTAATATAAATGATGGACCAAATGCACGTGCTAATGCACGCCATAGTTTTGGTTGTTTACTTTTTAATTCTTTTGTCCAGCTTCTGTTGGGTAGTTTTTTTTTTTTTGATATTTTGATAATCTTTCTTTTTCACAGACAAACAAACCTTTTTAATGTTTTTAAACTTTTTTCGGCTTCATCATCTTTTGGACAACGATATAAATCCTGAAAATCGAGACCATTATTTTTGTAACCTTGATAAAATATTGGAAATACATAACTAAACAAAAAAAAAAGAGAAAAAGAGAAAAACAAAACATTAGACCTGGTGATGAAGCCATATATAAAAACAAAGACCAAAAAAAAACCAAGAAAAACAAGAAAAAAATCATAAAAAATTTATACGTGAAAATTAATCTAGACAGGAAAAATGTACGATCAAATAATGATTTTCGGCTAAAACGTGAATGTTTTTCCATTTTCAATCTTCTTTTTTTTTCTTATTTTGATGAATTTGATGATGTATTTAAGATTTACGATAGATAGAGAGAGAGAGAGAATGATAAAATTTTTTGGAATATTCAAAAATGGTGGCCGTGGACCAATGTATAAGCTCGATGTTGAATGAATGAATGAATGAATGATGGGCACTATGATGAAAATGATAATAGTAAAAAAGGAAAGAAAAATTTGATTTAAAATTTTTGATTCTTTTATGGCACACACACAAATTACCATATAAAAAAATCATCATTCATCATATGATAGTAAAATTGATAATAAAACACGTAATAATTTCAATTGTATAATATAACTAATAACTAATTAAATTGTAAAAAAATCATCAACAGGTAATAATCATCATCGTTATAAATTATCACATCATTTATCACAGTCACACACACACACACACATGTGTGTGTGTATATATAAATTGGTTGTAAATGTGAAATAAATGAAATTATATATAAATTACCGGATAATTACAATATTGTAGACAAACGAAATTGAACAACAACAACAACAACAAAAATTACGATTATGGCCACCTTTTTTTTGTTTGTTCTCATAAATCAATTATTACCGTTAAAAAAAAAGACTAAAAAAGTTTTTCAAGTGCAAAAAAAGTCAACTTTTTTTCTTCTTCTTCTTCTTTGCTGGTGGTATAGAGCAGCAGCAGCAGCAGCAATAAAGTTCATTTGATGTTTTGAAATTGAACTGGATTGGAGATGATTTTTAATTTTTAAACAGAATGGCGAATGAAAAAATTACAGCCTCAAGTGAAATATATTTGATAATGATGATGATGATAATGATAAACCGATCGATCGATGATGGTGATGATAATTTGCAAAACGAAAAAAAAGTGATTCAATTTCCGTTACCGGAATTTATTTTTTTTTTTTTTTTGAAATCTTTCAACGGAAATTGAATTATTATCCAAATAATGATGATGATGATGATGATGACAAGATTATTTTCATTGTTCATTTCCATAAATGTATTAGTTGAACATTAGCAAAAACCAACACACACACACACACACACACAGTGTTTATTCATGACGATTTTGTTTGTTGTTTTTTGAGTTTTTTCTCGAATCTTGAATGGAAAATGTTTATTTTTTTTTTGTTTTGTTTTCAAATTGATTTTGATTAGATTTGATTTCGTTTGATATATAATGATGATGATGATGAAACCTAATCCCAAATTTTTTTTTTGGTTTGCAAAACACCGCGTTTCCTTTATAGATCGTTAACATCACTGTATGTTTGTGTGTGTGTGTGTGTGTTTACATTTGTGTAATATTTACCAGTGTTCACTTGAAATTATTATTTTTTCAGACTAAAATGTGCAATCCATCTTTTCCATCATCATCATAAAAAATTTATTTCAAAATTATCAAAAGAGACAAGAAACGAAACGAAATAATGTCCACAAAACATTATCATCATCGTTTTTTTTTTTTTTTTTTGGTAGATATACAAGTAATAATATAAGTTTCTGTAAACTTTCTTTTTCGATTGTGTGTGTGTGTGTGTGTGTGTGTGTGGGTTTTGGGTTTTGGGTTTTTTTTTGTCAGTTTCTGATTTCGAAATAATCAATAGCCCACAAGCAGAAAAGTTTACACATTGTTTTTTTTTGTGTGTGCATGTCAAAATTTAACCACCAACACACACGCAAATTGCCGGACCAGGTTTTTTTTTGTTTTGATACTCTAGTTTTGATTGATATATCGATTTTTCAATCATTTTTACTTTTTTTTTTTGTTGTTGTTGTTGTTGTTGAATCTTAACTACATTCTATTTCCATTCATAACTTTAACATGATTTGCATTTAGCAAAAAGAATTTTTGTTGTTATCAAAAAAAAAAAAAATTCCGATACGATCGATAGTTTCGTTCGTTCGTTCGTTTCGTATAAGATGCTACTACTAATAAAATCTATATTTCATATAGGAGATTCTATACACATTCATACGAATTCTGTTCTGCATAGATAGATGGAAATGAATTTCAGTTCCATCATCATCTTTAAATTCTCTATAGAATAAATAAAAAAAAATCCAAATGTATTGTAAAAGTTATCATCATCATCAAAAAAAGTGGACTATATATAAATAGAGAATTGAATGGAATATATTCTGTGTAGGTGTTTGATTCATGTATATATAAAATGGCCATAGAGAATAGAAAACCCCATTAAATGATAACTATCTGAATTCAGTATTAGGATATGCATCGCGCAAACACATAGTTTCTTCAAGACTTATAAAAATTGATGTTTACAACAACAACAACAACAAAAAACAAAACAAAACAAAACTACCCCCATTGAAAATATCCATACACCCTGTATCTATATAAAATGTGGACATATTACTACTACTACACACACGCGTTCTCTATCTCTATATTTTTGGGTCCAACAAGAAGCAAGGAGCAATAACACAAAACGATAACAACAACAAGATCCTGGATCCACCGTGTGTGTGTGTGTGTGTGTGTGCGGTATGGATATACAGTATACATCTGTAGTTAGTATTTAGTGATGATGATGATGATGATAATTCTGATATTTGTTTGGTTTGTTGGTTAGTTAGTTGATATAGTGGGGGGAGGGAGATTGATGTTTTTTACAGTAGTCACAGTATTTCAAAAGAAAAAAACTCAATTTTTTGTTTTCTGGGAGCTTCTTCTTCTTCTTCTTCTTCATTCCGGGATATTCTGGTTTTTGGGATATTATACCAAAAACTAAACTATCCACTATCCACTATCCACTATGTGTATGTGTGTGTGTGTGCGTGTATCTTTATCATCCGATAACTTTATTTTTTGCTACTCACTTGAAGTTTTATGTATGTGTGTGTGTGTGTGTGTTTGAGTTCAGTCTTCTGTTCGGAATTCAAAGTGTCCGGTTCTATGTTTAAATTTTTTTTTGCTATGTATTTATGTTGTGAATGTTATGAAGAAGATCCATACACACACACACACACGGAAAAACGAATATTTGAGTCTGAGTGACTGATTTTAGCTATAGCTATCCGGGTCCGTTTTTTTTTCTTTCACCAATTCGTCATCATCATCATCATCATCATTTCATATCAAACCATTCATTCATTCATTCATTGAAACCAATCATCAACTACCCACATCATCATCACCAAGTAAATTGTTGTTGTTGTTGTTGTTGTTGTCATTTGGTTTGGTTTTGTTTCAATCAACATCATCACAAACCATTTTTCTATTCAATTTTTACAACAACAACAACAACAACAACAACAACAAACGACAACAAACAAAAATCATTAAATCATCATCATCATCATCATCAACAACAACGACAAAATCATCGTTACAATAAAAATGATGATAATTTGAATATATAAATCAACCAACCAAAAGAAACAAAGGGAAAACAAAAAAAAAATTATTCATTGATTTTGTGTTGTTGTGTGGTTTTCAAATGATTGTTTGGGTGTGTGTGTGTGTGTGTGTCTCGACGGTGTCTGAACCAAGAGCAAAGAAGACAAGTGTGTGTGTGTGTGTGTGTTTGATAGTGTGGGCGGAAGTGAAAAAAAAATTCAGATATCTGAATGGTATGGAAAATTGAAAATTTCTACGGTATCAGTCTGTAAAATTTTCTTTTCATCAACAACAATATAACCACCTGATAGAAATTGAACAAAAATCAATATTTCAATCATCAAAATAAAACAAAGGTAAATATCAACAACAACAACAACAACGAAAAAAAAATTGAATCAATACAAGATCCAAAAGAAAAATGATGACCAAAAATGTAACTGGACCCGACAACAACAACAACAACAACAACAACTGTTTATGTCAGCAGAAACAAAAAAAAAAAAACAAAAAACAAAACAAAATGAAAAATGAAATAAATTTTTCTCTTCTTCTGACGCCTACGCCATTTTTGTTTTCGTTTTCATCAAATTATCATTTTCAAAATTGTAATTTGGTGACCATAACATGAAGAAAGAGAGACAAAAACAACGACGATGACAACAAAAACAACGAAAAAAAAATGATTATCATTCGTTGATGATTTCTTTTCCACACACACACACACACACACACACACACACACACACACATTCTCAACAAAATATTTGAACACAAAATTCATTGAATCAAAAGTTTATATGCTTGAATGAATTGATTTAACTTTTTTTTTGTCTGGTGTGTGTGTGATTATTGTTGTTGTTGTTGTCATCGTCATCATCATCATGATGATCGAAATCGACATCTACACACACACACACACAAGCAAGAATATTCTTACTTTCGATTTGTTTGCTTCAATGGATTCAAAGATTCTTGCTTGTGTGTGTGTGTGTGGAAAGGGCACAAGAAAAATTTTATTATTACCGCCAAAAAAACAAAACTTATGTGCAGAATCTTTCTCTTTCTCTCTCTTTGGGATAAAAAGTTAATACCCAATAGAGACCAATTCATTGAATGAATATCTATGGATAGATAAATCTTTTAAATCTTTTCTTTTCTTTTTTTTGGATCGATTCAGTTGAATTGAAACACACTATGTGTTTCATTTTATTTTTTCGCACATCCATTGTGACAACAGCAACTTAAATCCCCGTATAAAATCTTTAGCTATAACTAGACAGGTATTGTGTAAAGTGTTGGAAATTTTTCAACACAAAGAATTTTGTCGATGAAAACAAAAAAAAAATCAAATTATCATAATCAATGTGGTCGTTACATTCTTTTTTTTTAGTTCGTTAGACGATTCCACCAAAGATTAACCATCCAATGTATCATTATCCAATGTTTCCATTCTCTATTCAGTCATTTAGTTGGACATTTTTTTTGTCCTGTTTTGTTTTGTTTTTTTTTATATTTGATTGATCGATCTATTTTATCCATTGATATTGATCGATATTGAATAGAGATCGATCTATTTTAATGATGTTTTTTTTTATTTTAGTTTTCGGTTATTCGACCTCGAATCAATTAATTTTCATCATCATCATCATCATCATCATTTTAATGATCAATATTATTCAATGAATATGTAATGATGATGTTTTTTGTCGAATTGTTTTCTATTGATCTCTATCTCTTTTAGAATAATTCCTTTTTTGGGATCTCTCACACTTTTCCGTTTGACACACACACACACACACACACACAGACAGGCAAAAAACATTGATAATCAACGAAAAATAGTGTTGATCATCATCATCCATCATCTAAACAGGATTTTTGTTGTTGTTGTTGTTTCATTTTGATTGTCATCATCAAAGGCAACCAAATAAAAAAAATGACAAATTTTTTTTTGTTCATAGACGAGAAAAAGTGAGATTTGATTTGCATTGGAAAAAAAAGTCTTGTAATTTAAAATTGAAATTAATTAATAACATATATATACATACACAGTACATGTTTGACCATTGGTCATCATCATCATCATCATCATCATTTATTTTCTAATTTTCTAATTTTATTTTTTTTCTTCTCTTTTCCATTTTACAGACATAAATCAATCAATCAATCAATCGATCAATCAAAAACAAGCAGCCTCTCTCTCTCTCTCTCTCTCTCTCTATCTCACTTTCTGCTAACGGTGCGCACACAATTAAAATTATTATAAATCTATCTCTTTAAAGCCAAAATCAGCTACTAAATGACTCATTCATTCAGCAGCAGCAGCAACGACAAAAAAAAAAAATCAAACCTTAACACTGCCCAAACTTATTTCAACTGTTTTCAATCTGTTTTTTTTTTTTTCATCGCACACATTTATTTATAAATCATTTATATCAACTTGAATCAATGATGATGATGATGATGATGATGATGATGCATCAAAAACATTCAACAACGCCAAAACAAAATAAATAACCAGTTTCTTATTGATAGATATATATATCGAACTGATAATAAAACGCGTTTGATTTTTTTTCCTGATATTTTAAACTCACACTAAAGTCAGACAACGATAACGTCAATTTTTTTCCCCCCTCCCCACTGTGCATTAAACGTTGTTTTCATTTTTTCATTTGTGTGTCAAAATGTAACAAACAAACAAACAAACAAACAAATAGACAACAAAAAGAAAACTTTCAAATATCGTCATCAGATTGATCAAATTTTGTTTTTTTTTTTTGTGTTATTCAAATGAAGAAATCGTATAAATTGTTTTTTTTTTGGTCGTTGCTAAAAGTCTCGTATTGATTCGTTCTGGAATATGATGAATATTCATTCAATCAATCAATTAGAAGCAGCATCAACAACAACAGCATTCAATTCGTGAACTCTTACAAAAATCATCATCATCGCCAAATCGTTTTTTTTGCAAATATATAAATAGTGCCACATCCACCGCCATAATCATCATCATTTTTATTTGATTTTTTTTGGCTGATTTTGGTCGGTTGGTTGGTCGGTCGATAGGTCGGTTGGTTGGTTGGTGGTATCAGAGATTCATCGATTCGAAAACAAAAAGAAAGAAAGAAAAAAAAATTGACATCTGTGTTTGTGTGTGTTTTTGTGTGCTTGGAAATGTGCCGAAAAACTTGGTGTCCCAGTGGTCACCATTGTCCTGAAGTAAGTTTGGTTTCATTTTCATTGTTTTTTTTTATTCATTCATTCATTATTATTATTATGTGCAAAAAGAGCGAAAAGTTTTTGACATTTTAAAATTTCAATTCAAATGATAATAATAAAAAGTTTATGGTCTACCATTGAATATTCTGGCCAAAAAAAAAAATATCGAGCATTTATTTACATGTTCAACTTAATTTCATTATAATTCAATTAATTTTTTTTTTCTAGCAAAATTCTATATTTTTCTGTTGAAATGACGATTGTTTTTTTTTCGTTTGTGTTGCACACACACATATATATAGCGCTCAACGTGGTTAACAAGATGCACAGTAAAAAGATTTAGTTTAAAAGATTTTTTTTAATTCTACCCGTTCATATTCAAGTTTATCTATAAGAAAGATTTTTTGACGAGCTAAGTGTGTGTTGTGTGTGATTGATTCGAACAAATGTCATCATCATCGATCAATAATGGTTTGACATTAATATCATCAAGCATATTTATAATATTGGCTCGTTTTACCTATGCATATTATGTACAGAATCAACAATTTTATCCAATTTGTGTGAAAATCATTCAACATCCATTGTTCATAATGGCCACATATATCAATATGATTATGATTGTACAGTTAACATTTGAATTCATATCCAAATATCTATTCGGCCATTTACGGTCAATTGAATTGGAATATATTAATGATAATCGTTGGCCATTATTTTTAGAATTATCATCATCATTCGTATTGTTTCAACCATTATTCAAATTGATTAATATCATTCATTTTTGTTTTATATTTTATTTTACAATTTTACATTTATTATTGGAAAAACGTTTGGAACAAATTAATCAAATTGATGATGATAATATAGAACCAGATCATTTACGTTTAATCATAATACAATCATTATCGGCAATCATAAATTTTATACAAATCTGGTCAATTTATTATCATCAACGATTCATCTTATTCATATCGACAACAACAATGAAAACAAATATGTTATTAACATTATTATTTCTATATCGTTATATTTATACAACATGTTTATTGATACGTTGTATTGGTGATTATATAATGAATATTATTGATCGTCTGTATTATCAAAATGAATGGCAAGAAAAATTATTATATCGTTCATTTATACAGATGATTACATGTGCAATATGTGCAATAAGTCAAACATTGATCTGGATGGCCATGATTTCAAATGGTATACGAGCATTAAGTTTATTACGTTATGCCATAAGAAAATGGGATAAATTTTTAGATTGCTGCTATAATCTATATCGTTCATATTGTACTATCAATCGTATGATGACAATGTTTTCAATACCAACAATTGATGAAATTTCTAATCAACAACCATGTCCTATTTGTTTGGATATAATGTTGGATCGTGAATATACAAGAAAAGCAATCAATTGTCGCCATATTTATCATCGTGATTGTTTAAAACGTTGGATTCATGTTAGACAATTTTGTCCTGTTTGTCGTGAAACACTTTGAAAAGGTGGCGAATGAGACAAACGTGCCAATAATAAAACAAAACAAAACATGTAAATATAATGTCAATCGATGAAAAACAAAATTATTTCAAAATTCCTATTTTGTGTAGATAATTTTGGATTCGTTGTTGTGAAATAGGTCCGTCATTTTTTTGTTGCTTTTGTTGACTTTTTTTCTGGCAATTTTTTTCTGCAAATTTAAACGATTCATTTGGGCTGGGCACAAACCATACACAAAAAATTTGGAATTAATCTTTGTCTGGCTTTTTTTTCGGCCAATGTAATCGGCTTCCCTGTGTGTGTGTGTGTGTGTTTTTTTTCCAGTTTGATGATGATAATTTGGGTTGCTGCTGCTGCTACTGCCGCTGATTATGATTATCATTATTTCACCTTGGTAACTTTGGTTTTTTTCTCTGGTTTGACCACAAAATAATAATTTGAATGAAATTGCCATTTGAATGTTAATGAGTACATTTTTTTTTTTTTTCAGGATTAACTGTGGTAAACTTTTTTTCTTCTTTCTGTTTTTTTTTGTTTTCAATCAATTTCCTTGTGTTAAATACGAACAACAAATGCTAATTCTAATCTAATTAGATAAATCATCATCATCATCATCAATGGATGCAAAATGCAAAAATTTTATTCGTTTTTTTTCTTGGTCATTTATTTATGCATAAATGAAAGTCAAAAAGTTTTTTACGCGACATGATGGATGGATGGATGGATGGATGGATGTATCTTGTTGGTTGTTTCATAATCAACAAAGGTGGTGGTGGTCCATACCGTTTCATTCGTATTTCGAAATATGAATAAATTCTTTTCGCAAAATAAACTCCAAACAACAACAAATGGACACTATGTGTGTGTGTGTGTCAACCTTGATTCTTTGATTCTAATGATGGGGGGGAGGACCTGTGGGGAATGAAAGAACATGATTTTGCCAAACATTTATATGTATATATAGTGTGTATGTGTGTGTGTGTGTGTGTTTCTATTCCTGGTTCTTTAACGAGAACAATTTATTTTTTTTTTTTGAATTCTATTTTTGGCTCCAGAATACTCAGAATATTCTTTGGACCTTGTGTGTGTGTGTGTGAATGTGTATCTGTATAGTATAGAATTATTCGAAAAAGAACGTCATGGCGCGTCATCACATATGTGTTGTTGACCTAGAAACCATTTTTTTATGTGAAAGTGTGTGTGTGTGTTTGAATTATATAATGATCCAAATTCTGGTGTCTCATGCACACACACACACACACACAAAAATAGATGAGCTGCTATAGCAACTTACAGAGAGAGAGAGAAAAAAAGGATGCTATTAATATGAACTTGCCCTTGTTGTTGTCGTTGTTATTGTAATAGTTGACCCGACACAATAAACCATACACATGCAGAGACAAAAAAAAAACAAACGAAGCGAAAATCGAACCGACCGAATTCTCAATGAATCAAAAATAAAAAAAAACTGAATGGAATAGAATCGTATCAAATGTATAGTTATAGCTATCAGCTACCATAGAAAACACTGAATTTGGGAACTATTCACTTTGGCGTCATCATCATTTTTTGGTTATTGTTGTACCATAGGAAAAAAAAGGTTTCATGAAGAATATGTGTGTGTGTGTGTGTGTGTGTGTGTGTGTGTGTGGCCTGAAATGAAAATCAGGATTCTCTTTTTTTTTGCATTCAGAATCTGGGCCCGAATATTATTATTACATTATTATTATTCATAACGTCACAACACACTATGATGACTATCGTTGTTGTTTGTATATGTAATAATAATGATGGTATCAATTTTCATTAATGATTTCCTCGTTCTTCTTCGTTTTTGTTATTGTTGTTGCTTCTGAATTTCATTTGGACCATCTATCTAACTCTTCGTTTCTCTCTTTTTTTTTATTAAATAGGGTCTAACATGTATGCTGGTGTTTGCAATATTTTCTGCCGTACTTGGCATGTTTCAATTTGGTTACAATACCGGAGTGATAAATGCACCACAAAAGGTTTGTAATACTGATGATGATGATGATGATGTTGATTCATTCATTCAATGATGAATTGTAAAATTTAAAGATTTTAGAAAATTTTATTGCCGAAGTATACAAATCACGAACAGGTAAATATATGTCTGAAGATATGTTAACATTAGTATGGTCGGTAACAGTTTCAATATTCGCTGTTGGTGGTATGATTGGCGGTATATCTGGCGGTGCTATCGCTGATTATTGTGGAAGGTAATAAGAATATGAAGAAAACAATAATAACTTTCAAATTCTGAATTCAATCAAATTTTTTTAATTTATGAAAATTTTTCATTCACCAAAAAATATAGAAAATGTGGTCTATTGCTCAACAATGCCATTGCCATATTGGGTGCTACATTGATGAGTTCATCACATTTATTCTGTTCAATAGAATGTCTTGTGTTTGGTAGATTTTTTATTGGTCTAAGTTGTGGACTAAATACTGCACTTGTGCCTATGTAAGTAATGACGATGATGATGATGATGATGATTGGATTCTTTTTTCCCTTTCTATGGTTAATTAGTACTGATTAAATTTTTGATTTTTCTTTCATAGGTATCTATCGGAAATAGCACCAATGACATTAAGAGGTGCACTTGGTAAGCTTTGTTTGTTTTTTTTTTTTTTTTTGAACGTGAACTATAAATAGTTGCCCACATACCATAGTAGTATAGATCGATCATTCATCAATAGTGTAACGTTTGAGGCTGTTTGATTGAATGAATAATTCAAGATGTATGCTTTCAATCTAATGGCATTTTTCTGTCCAAATTTTTTTTTTGTTCCTGAAGATTCTAATTTTTTTTTCTCTCGTTTTTTACTGTTTTTTTTTTTGTTTTGTTTTCATTCTCATTGGTTGATAACTAACTACCCACCACCAAAAAACAGGAACAGTAAATCAATTGGGCGTAACCATTGGACTATTATTATCACAAATATTGGGCCTATCACAAATATTAGGCACTGAAGATGGATGGCCATTTTTATTGGGTGTGGCATTCATACCAGCAATTTTACAATTGATGCTTTTACCACAATGTCCGGAATCACCTAGATATTTATTAATTTCAAAAGGACGGTTAACTGAAGCCACTTATGGTATTTTTTTTTGTTTTATTCATAACGGAAATTATATCAAGATAATAATAATAACTATTATTGTTGTTGTTGTTGTTGCATTACCTTCTTTTTCTTTTCTTTTTAGCATTACAACGATTACGATGTACAACAAATGTTGAAGATGATATTGAAGAAATGCGTATTGAAGATAGAGCCCAACAACAAGAAGCTAAGGTGAAGCATGATGATATGTTTTTATTGAATTGAAATGTTAATTTTTTTTTTTTTGTTTTTCATAATTCATCAGATTACAATGTTACAATTGATCAAAAATCGTTCATTACAAACACCATTGATTATTGGCACTGTGATGCAATTATCACAACAATTGTCCGGCATAAATGCCATTTTTTATTATTCAACCAATATATTCACTATTGCTGGACTTGGTGATGATTTGGCCAAATATTCTACAATTGGTGTCGGTGTCGTCATGGTGTTAATGTCATTAGTATCGATGATGTTGATGGATAGAACTGGTCGCCGTACATTACATTTATATGGACTTGGTGGAATGTTTATAACGAGCATGTTTTTAACCATATTCTTGTTATTTGGTGTTTTTTTTTTTTTTTTTGATTCAACAGCTTCATTCGTTTGTTCAATAAATGATTTTTTTTCTCTCTCACCAGTTTCTATATACATGGATGTCTTATATGAGCGTCATCAGTACATTAATTTATGTTGTATTTTTTGCTATTGGACCGGGTAAGTCGAACGAAGTCGAAAAAAAATTTGAATTTTTAATTCAATTTCTCAATGTTTTCTCATTTTCATTTTTATTCATTCAGGATCAATTCCTTGGATGATAACTGCCGAGCTTTTTTCACAAGGTCCAAGACCAGCTGCCATTAGTATTGCAGCATCAGTAAATTGGTTTACTAATTTTGTTGTCGGTTTAGCATTTCCAATTATGATACAATTTAAAGATGTAAGTAATGTAATGTAATGTAATTTTTTTTGGGGCGGAGGGTTGGGAAAAACTTATTGATTTTAAATTTAAATTTAATTTTAAAAATAATAGAAAGCAATGGATAAATATGCATTTTTACCATTCACTGGATTTTTAGCCATTTTTTGGATATTCACTTATTTTAAAGTGCCCGAAACTAAAAATCGTACATTTGAAGAGATATCGGCTTTATTTCGTAAAGATGGTTCTGATAATTTAATACAAATTGATGATAATGTTGGTGGTTCACAACAATTCACTCATGATGGCCAAGCACCATCATCATCTGGAAATGCTGCTGTGGCTGGTATTGGTGGACATCAATCATCATCACAGACTGGTCTTGAATCACATAATTCTAGTTCTGGTGATATTTATTCACATAAATCAAGTAGTGGTGATATTATTTTTGCTGATGAAAGAACCTTGGAAAAATGTAAGAATGGAGATTCTTTGGATATTTGTAAAGAACCCGAACAGCAGCAGCAGCAACAACAACAACAACAACAATCTAGTCAACCACAGAATCAGGATTTTAAGTTTAAACAATATCCCGATTATAAAACAATATCGACATGATTTTATATTTTTTTAATTCGATAATTGATAATTGTGCCCTTTTTTTTTTTTTTTTTTTTTTTTTGTTTGTTTCGTATTCCTTTTTAAATTATTCCGAAAAATAATAAACCCAAAATTTAAATTAGATTTGATGCATGATTAGTATGAATGAATGAATTTGAATTTTTGACCTTTTTGTTGGATTAAATTAATTTTTTTTTTCAATCATCATCAATTATGTTAGGCTATCTTCATCATCACCATTATCATCATTTTCATTATAATGATGGTGGTGTACCAACACAATCGACCACTGGTTGTAGTGGTGGTGGTGGTGGTGGTGGTGGAAGTCAACCACAAACACCATTAACACCTGGTCCATTACGTCATACACCAACCGGTAGTATGGGTCGAATTCCAATGATAGCTCCATCAACACCAATTATGCAGATACCAATTGTGCCAATACATTCGGAAACACAGCCTATAACGGTTGCATTACCGCCGCCGCCGCCACCACCACTACCACCACCACAACAACCACCAGATGCGCCTATCCATTCAAATCCATCAAAAGAATCGTATCATCATTTTGTTTTGCCACCACCTCAACCAACATCACAACAAACAACAGCAACAGCGACAGGTACTAATCATCATCATCATCATCACCATCAACAACAACAACAACAACAACAACAAACAATGCCACAATTAGTGCCATTATCTTCAAACGCTTCAATTCCTAATCATCATAAACCACAACAAATTGTCAACCACCAATATTATCATCAAACATCATCATCACCACCATCGTTGACACCACCATCATCATCCACTTTATGTTCATCAACGACGCCATTTATATTTCCACCATCTGCCAATAATAATCATATATCACAAACAGGAACACCATCAGCTGTTTCAACATTGACACGAAAAAAAGTATCGGCTATGGCTAGTCATCAATCACATGCTCATCAACAACATCATCATCAACATCATCTTCAACAACAACAACAATCGCAACAACAACAACAACAATCGGCAGCAATGTTGAATGATGTATTTAGTGGTGGAAATTTTATTGTTGGTGGTAGTTTTGCTGTTGCCACTCCAAATCATCATCGAATTATTATTGAAGATCAATTATGATGTAAACAATAAATTTTAATTTCAATTCTGATAATGATGATAATAATTTTTTTTCTCTTTATTGAAAACTGTGATTTTTCTCATGCCAAAATGCACACTTCTCATACACAGACACACACACCAAAAATAATCTCACTAATTCATGAAAATTTTAATGAATATATAATCTTTCAATTCATCCATTATAATGCAAATATAACTCAAAAAATTTGTAAATAGCCATCATTTTCATCATCAACATTCACCATTATCGCTCATCAATTATCAATTATCAATTATTATGATTTATGCACCAAAATTTGAACCTAAACATACACATACAACGTTATATTTATGAAATGAAAACAATATAAATAAAACAAAATATAAATACTTGATTTTGTCAACATCAACATCATCATCATCATCCAGATCCAGATCCTAATCAGATAATGCTCAATTTTCGCAATCAATAAAAAAAATGTTGTTGAATAAATAAATTGTATACAAAAAAAAAAAACACACATCAAAACTTGTGAATTTATAATTAAAAAAAAAAAAATTGGCGGTATTTAATTTCAATATTTATGAAAATGCTGCCATCTATCCAACAACAAATGGAAGAACTATGATTTACAACTATTACAATAAAACGAACACACACACACCTGTTGATTATTTACTTTTACATTTTTATTTATTTATTTATATTTGCAAAGAATGAAAAATGAAAGAAATGAAAGGAAAGAAAAAAAAATCTATTCATCACATCACATCATATTATATTATATTATATAATTAATTAATGAATGTATAAAATAATTAAATTCGATTGATTCGATGAATATAAATGATGAATTGTATAAATGATTTTTTTTCAGTTTTGTTTTTTATTTCTTTTTTTATTCATCAACATCATCATCAATTTTGACAGAAAGAAATTAGACAGAGTGACAGACAATTTTTTTTTAAATAAATGTCTGTAACAGGTGTTTTGTATGTGTATGGTGTGTGTGTGTGTGTTCATTGTCTATGAATGAAAGAAATATATGTGTGTGTAATAAGATTCTGTTTTGCTTGTTTGTTTGTTGTTGTTGTTGTTTTTTTTTGTATAGAACAAAATCAAACTATTTATTTAAATTGATTGATGATGATTTATGAAACATTATCATCATCATTTTAAGGATCAAGAATCATCATATCAGAGTTCAATGTTGATATAGTATAATTATAAATTAAAGAAGTAAAAGTAGAAGAAAAACATATAGATTCCATTAATCATCATTATCATCAACATTGTGTTCGATCTTTGTTATTGTTGTTGTTGTAGTTGTAGTTGTAATGAAACAATCACAATAAAATACACCCAATATATATGAAAAATAGCAGCAGCAATATGGGTGTATATGTTGGTGTGTACATATCAATCAATATTCACAATTATTATACACTATTATAGTATACACACACACAAACACACACATCAAGAATATGTAGCAAATATCTTCATACCGTCATAGAGCTGTTTCAAACCAAATGGTCATTGTTTTTCAAGCACAAGATAATCCAGATTAAATCACTTTGTGTGAGTGTGTGTATGTATATATATGCATGTGTCTGGTTATGTCGATGAATAGATGTCATGAGATCCATTTTTTAGTTTTAATCTTTTACGGTACCAGTTATATTTGTTGCGGGAACTGTCGACGTTTGTGATGTATTTGTTGTACCGGTGGATCCAGATTCATTGTAATCGGCATTAACATTAGTCGATGTAGCAGTATTTGTTTGATTAATAGCAGAATTATTGTTGATGTTAGTACCTGGTGATGGTGTACTATTGTTACGATTTTGATATTGTCTAGATTTTCCAATTCCTTGTTGATTATTGAATGATTTGTTTGAACCATTTCGATTATTTGATGATTGATTCATCATACCACCTTTACCAACAACACCTGATTGCTGGGCGTTTGGTCGTTGAATAGGATTCGGTTGATAACTGTTGCCGGCATTTGCCACAACAGAATTGTTAGGAAAAGAATTAGTGTTTGTCAATGGACTTGTTCGTGAATTCATTTGATGTTGTTGAACATGATGACCACCAGCGTGATGAGCGGCAGCAGCTAAAGCATTGTTCATCATCAAATGCATAGGAAATTGTTGCGGTTGACCTTGTGGTTGTGAACGCCCGTTAGCTTGGTGTTGCATTTTGTTTTGATGATTAAAAAAGGCTAATTGTTGATTGGCTGCTGCTGCTGCAGTCCAATTGGCAGCAGCTTGTATATTCAATGCTTGTGATGTTTGTGGCGTGGCATTCGGTTGTGGTCCTGCAAAGAATTGATGTGAATTTCGATGATTTTGATGACCAGCTACATTATGTTGCTGATTAGCTACTATTCCAGCGGCACTTCCGGTTGTTCTGTTGGCTTGACCATCATTCATGAATTGATTGGAAGCAGTAGCCATTTGATGATGGTGCATCTGATCAGCTGTTGGCCCCATTGCAAACGAACGAATAGAAGCCATATTTGGATTACCGACCACACTAGGATCAACACGTTGCATGGTACCTGCTGTTTGACGATTATTATGATAAGAATTTTGTGAAAGTTGTGTTTGCGAACCATTTGTTGGAAGAATTGCACTGGCCCCAGCAGCATTATTCAGGTTTAATGGAGCAGGAACAAATCCACCTAATGCATTTGCGGCTGGATTGGTGGCTGCTGCAGCTAATTGTGTAAAGAAATGTTGTTGATTAGCCTGTTGTAATTGTTGACCAGTTGCAGGCCATCCACCAGCTGTTTGTTGTAAATTATGATGATTGGCTTGCTGATGGTGATGTGGATGGTGGGGAACAAATGTGGCTGTTGTTGATTTCATCATTGCAACCGCATTAGGATTTGCTGCAGCCAACGTAAACTTATTGAATTGATGATCGTTGGTATTTGCTGGTCCTAAAGCTTGTGGTTGCGCCGCATTCAGCTGAGTTAAAAATTGAAGATTTGCAGCCGGAGCATTACTACTAGCCTGCATCATAGCCAATGCCATTTGATTGAACTGAGATTGTTGTACCGCTGCGACTACATTCGGTTGTTGATGCATAGCGAATGCAGGAATATGTGGAAAGGTCACTTGGGCACCATGTGAATGACTTAATCCAGCAGAAGCCTGTGATGCATTCGTTGTATTAGCGGCAGGATTACCAGTGAAATTTGTTTGATCATGATGAGATAATTGACCGGAGGCAGCATTGTATTGATGAAATGCAGCAGCTAATGCAGCAGGATTTTGTTGTGGATTTGTAGCAGCAGCTAATGGATTCTGATATATTTGATGCGATATTGTTGGAGGACTAGTAGGAGTTTGCAGCACATTCTGATGATGCTGAAAACCACTGTATGCCGATGTTGAAACAACAACCGGTGGTGATGTAGCATTGATTATTTGTGCATTTCCACTAGCAGTAAATATATTTGGATTCGATTGTTTTTTAATGTTTGACAAATTTCCATTGTTTATTTTTGTTTGTTGTTGTTGTTGTTGAGTTTTATCAGTTGGACTAGTTGCCGATAGCAACGAATTTTTTCTTTCACCAGAACTTTGTGTTTGTTGTGAATTATTATTATTATTTGTCGTTTGTATTTCATTCGGTGCTGTATCCCAAACTTTTTTGACAGAAGCAATTTTCATATTCAATTCTTCATTAATAGCCGATGTTGTCGAAGCTGTTGTACTGTTCACTGTATAGCTTTTTGATGTTGATGAAGAAATTGATTGTGAAATTGAAGTTGCAGAATTATTATTATTTGTTGCAACTGTTGATGGTGTGGTAGAAACAACTTCATCAATCTATAAACAATAAAAATCGAAAATTAAAAAAAAAATTAATCAATTTTCAATGATAAATAATCAAAATATATATGATTATTAATTAATTAATAGGAAAGCAACCTTTGAGAGGACTTTATTCTCTTCTTTTAATTTAGTATTCTCGTAGATTAGTGTTCCAACAATTTTACGATTAGTGATAATCATGTTAGTAGAGCTTGCATCCTAAAGTAGCAAACGTAACAAATGCGAATCAACAATGGATGAAAAGCACACATCAACACAAACAAACGCACATTAAATTAAAAGAAAAAGACAATGGACACATAAAATTAGCAAAAAGCTCATCTCAAAGTTGTTTAAATCAATAAATAAAAATAGTTTAATAATTAAACTTACCATATCGGGAATTCTAGTAATATTAAGCGGTGTTTCAGTTTTTTTCACTACTGTTGTTGATGGATTAGTTGTTGAAGATTCTTTCGTGATGGATGATTGTCCATCATCCCTCGAAACCAATGATGAATCCTGATTTGATTGATCGAAATTCGATGACGAAGAATTACTATTACTACGTTGAACTGTTGTTACATTACCAGCTGATTTGTTATGTTCTTGTACAGAATCTTTTTGATTTATTATTTGAGTTGAATCTTGTTGTGATCGATTGGTATTCGCACTTTTTGTTTGTGATTGTTGTTGCTGATTCTGGTTACTTTTATTATTATTATTAGGTTTAGATGATCGCTGCTAAATTGAGAGAGAGAAAAAAAATATGTTAAATTGTTGTTTTAATCAACAAAAAAACTAAAAGCAATTATTTTGGCCTATACATAATAATCAGTACACTTGGATTTCAAATCATTTCCATGAAGGTTTCATAGGATTGACAGATTATGAATATTCAAGCAAATCATCATTCATTGAATGGTAATTATTAAACTAATCCATATGTTTTACTTACATCACTTTTTCGTCTTGATCTATTATTATTGAGATGTTGCTGATCATGTGGTTGAGCCATTTTTTTATTCGCCATTGTACCTTGTTGTTGTTGTTGTTGTTCTGATTCAGTATACGTCTGTTTTTGTTGATTATTTATCACAGTCGTAGAAGAATCACCCATAGTATTCGAACCATGATGCCGACCAGAACTTTGATGGCTCTGAACTGGACCACCGGAAGAATTTTTACGATTACGTTCGGACGATTTTAACGAAGTATCTTCAGCATCATGTAAATCAGACAATGTCATTTTTGACATGGCAACATTCATTTGTTGCTCATGATGTCGTTGATTACCGTGGTAATTTGAGTTTGGGGCCATCGACAACGAACCTTGATTAGATGATCGTTTTGGAGCTGAACTGCTTAGCATAGTGCTATTGTTTCCACTTCCACCTCGATATCCACTTGAAGATGAATTTCCACTCCCTCCTCCTCTTGTGGTATGACGAGATATTCCACCAGAACTACGAGCATGGTAGGAATTCATTATCGCCGATGATGATCCATGATGCCTGGATGAAGACGATGAATGATGTTGCTGATACATTGAATCATTTCCACGATTTGATGGACGTTCTCCTCTATCATGTCGTCCACTAGTTCTATAGCCTCCATGATGATCCTGTTGTTGATGATGATGCAATGATGATGGTGGTTGATGAGCCGATGATTTGGATGTATAAATAGTTCGATCAGTTCCATGTTTAGATGCTGTTGTATTCGAAGCACTTGTTTGTTGCTGAGCTTGAGAAGATGGCTTTTCATCATTCAATTTATTACGATTTTCTGCCGATGATGATACCTCAGCCATACTTCGTTCCATTAGATCACTAGATTCAGAAGCAGTTTCCCATTCATCTTGAATGAAATCTTCTGATTCTTGTCGAGTGGCGGCAGTCGATGAATTTGAAGTTGTTGATTGTTGCCGAGCTGTAGGAGCATTCGAAATGGATGAAGCACCAGGACTTTTGGATACTGGTGGAACCATTGATTTATGCGAAACTGCACTATTTGGACCACTAGCCGAGCCATGATGAGTGGAACTACGTTGTGGTTTTGATTGTTGAACATTTCGAGAACCATATCGAGACGAAGAGCTGCCAGCACCAGACGAAGGTCGATGATGTCCGCCACTGCTAATACGTTGTTGTGGATGATGATGATCATTTCGTTCATCACGACGATTCGATGTTCCTTGTGGTTGTGGTTTGTTTACAACATTACCACTGGAACCACCACTCGCATGTTTAATCGCTTGATTTTGGTTTGTTACCGGATTTGGTCCTGTGGTATTTCGTTTCTCAACATTAGAATTCTGGACAGGTGGAGTTGTAGATGCCGGTTGTATCATGGCTTGATCACCAAAAACCTTAGCGGTAGTAGGCGGTGGACCATAAGTCGAAATGGCTCGTATGTTGGTCGAAAGACCAACAACGGGACCTGAAGGCAATGATGTAGCCGTCGAAACGATGACATTGTTGTTGTTCGTTGTTGTATTCGTCAATGCTGTTGTTTGTGATGGTGGTGGTGGTGGTGGCGGCGGTGATGATACAGGAGCAACTACCGGAGGGGTAGGTGCTGGTGTATTTGTCGTTGACGTAGTCGTATTGGTCGAATTCGAGCTTATTGAATCATGTCTTGATCGATTATTTGTTGAATCATAAGTCTGTTGTTGTTGCAGTTGTGAGGACGAATGTTCTATGCTTGATGAATCCACATTCGATTTATATGTCGGTTGTTGAGATTGATTATGTTGATAATTCGATGATGAACCTTGATGCTGATAATTGCTGTTTGTATAGTTATCACGGCGCTGAATTTGATTAGAAGGACAAGTCGATGGAGGTGTATAACGGTCCGAAGATACCGTAGAATTGTTGGAATATTTTCGTTGAGGATGTTGTCGATTATCATTTGAATGATCCATATACCGAGAACCACCATCTCGTCTTCGTGATTGTTGATGAGAATCGGCATATGATCCTCTTGAATTAGTGCTTCGATAATGTTGCGGTTGTTGGTTAGTGTGACTACCACTACCATTATCTTCCTTGCAACTCTTTTGGTTCGTCAACGTAGATGGCTGTTGGTTTGTCGACAACACAGGATGATTGTTTTTGTTGCTGAGAATTCACTTCATTTTCAACGTTCTGATTTGATTGGGCATCCACTTTTGAAGGTTCGACTGCCGGTTTATTGGTTGCTGATGTTTCTGTATTACTGCCATCTTCTGGTAAAATTTCTTTTTCAGGTGGGGAGCCGAAACAGGTGTTTCGACAACTTCAATTTCTGATTCTGGCGGTTGTGCAGCAGAAGGTTTAGATTCAATGGATTCATGATGCGTTTTGTTGGTATTGGGCAAATCTTTTGATGGAGATTCTTTCGACTGTTCCAAATGATGTGGATCACTTTGTGATTGCGATAAAGGCGTAGGTTTTGTTGTTGCTGAAGTCGTAGATGATGACGATGAAGATACATCGGAAGAATCTTTTCGATTAGATGATTGTTGAGATGGCAATGTTTCTCGATTATCAATCGGCTTTGTATTGCGCCAACTAGCTGGTTCATTCTTTTGTGTATTAAAGCGGCCAGATGATTGTCGTCCACCATCATTATAGCTAACATCAGGAGGTGTTCGTCGATGATGTGAATCTCGTTGTGGAACACCTCTTTGATCATAAATCGATTGTGATGAAGGATAATCACGATACGAATGACGTTGATCCATCAACACTTGACCACCGTTCATGATCTGATCACCTTGTTGTTGTTGTGATGAAGGCGATCGTGTTCGGGCACTAGAATTTTTCTGATGCATGTTTTGTTCAATTTGTTTCTGTAAACGTGGCGGCAAATTCGGAGGAGGATAGATCGATGATTTATTACCAGATAACGAATATCCACCACTAGATGGACCACCCAATCGATCAGAACGATAATCACGTGTCGAATCACGTCGATCACGATTAGATTGCGGTGGTGGCGGCGGCATCATCATTTCATCATGGTCAGCATCTCGAGATTGACGTCCTCGAAGTACAGCATTGCTAACTTCATCTTTCAATCGAGGTTTAGGGCGCCAATTTTCTTCCTCAGAACCAACACAATTCATTTGTGAACTACCACTATGATCACCACGTCCATTTTCTCTTGAGCTTCGCGAAGGTTGCATCTGTAATTGGGGTTGTAGTGGTGGTGGTGGTGGTGGGAGATATTGTTGTTGAAGATATCTACCACCGCCTCTAGGCAATTGTTGCGATCTGGATGAAACATGATATTCACCACGACGTTCATCATAATGCTAGATATAATAAAAATTTATTTATATAATTAAACCAAGTAAACTTTTATAATAAATGCATACCTCATTCAAATTATCTTTACGATTGATAGTTTCATAGAGTGGATCAGATTTTCGTCCATAATATCTATTGGCTTCATGTGGCGGTATATTTGGAGGTGGTACTGCTGTTCGTGGATCCATCTGTCCACGATTAGATGGTGGAGGATACATTGACATAGAATTGGATGCCGATGCTTCCCGTGAAGATGGATGATAGGCAGATTGGCGAACATTATCTCTCATTAATGATGATGGAATCGATTTTGTTGAAGATTCAACAGATTTTGGCTGTGAATCTTCTCTTTCCATAGGTTTTATTACTTTCACGATCATCGTCATCATCCGTAGAATCATCACCATCGCTAAAGTGTATCTTGGCACCATAATCGATTTCTTTTTCATCTGCCCAATCACAATCCAAATCGGTTTTCAATATTTTATCCAACGATTTTAGCTCTTTATCATCGATTATGGCTGGTTTTTCAAGAGCAAATTTTCTAAAATCAAAAATAAAACGTTACGATAATTTAGATAAGGAAAAAATAAAATTCATCTAGGTTTCTTCAACACGAATCATAAACAGTGGGTAGTGAAAGTGTTGTCAACACAAAATTTTTCATGTCACAATTGGTTTATAATCATTTTTTTTGTTCTAAAAGCCTAAATAATCTCTTATCGACAATCTCTTACCGTTCGGATCTATTATGACTTTTTCGGCTGTTGCCACTACTACCACCGGTAGGTCCATAATTTTGATTTGATGACGAAGACGAATATCCCTAATCAAGTAGAAATAGCTTTATTTAAATATTTTTATAACTTAGATATTGAAAACTTACATCGTTTCGTCGATTAGTATTGCGATTCAATGATTGCTGAGGATTCAAAGGGTCAGAAATATTCTTTGAAGATGATGACATAATCAAAGGAAAATCATTCGCAGTCGGAAGATGATAAAGTAGATCATTTGCAGCACTCATTTGTGATGATGGCAAATTCGATGCCGATGATGAATGATGAAGATTCTTGTTATTATTAGGGTGATTATGACGATAAGAATGATGATAATCGGCTGAATGATCCCGAACATGATAACCACTACCGCTTTGATTCTGATCGTTTTCTCTTTCTCCACCTCCATCTTGCAGTACATTGGCTGGACCCTTCTCAGTAGTAATGGAGGGGTTTGACGATGCTGTTTTTGTTGATACTCCGTTGCTAATGATTCTCGCCGACTCCTCCTCCTCCTGCGGCACCAAGAATATTCGATTCTTTGGGAATCGATGCAGATTTGTCTCGTCCTCCTACGTCGCCACCAGCAGTCGATATTGGCGGAAATTCTTTTTGAAATTGTTTCTGATATTGCTGTTGGTATGCATGAGCATGATTTTGCGTCGTTTGAGGCATTGGACTGTACAAATCTGTTGGTGGTAATTGTGGATGATGTTGTTGTTTTTGTTGTGGATGGTGATGTGAAAAAGAAGAAGGAGGATGATGAGATTGGGCATGATGATGATTCACAACAGATTGCGTTATCGAACATTTTGACGGATTTTGTTGCTGTTGACCGATTAAATGTTGGGTCGTATCTTTTTGGCTTCCTGAGCCTGTTTCTCCTTTCAATGATGATGATGAACTATTTTATATGGATTATTTAGTATTTATCAATATAAATTAGAAATTGATTGATACAAACCTTTCCTCTTCTTTATCGTTCGGTAAACCTTGATTTAATCCGGTAGACAACAATCTTGTCGTCGTATTATTCTGATTGATACTGTCGCCGATTTTTTCGTTATTATTATTATTATAATTATGATTTTCAACAATGTTATTATTCGTATTTAAACAACTAAGATTATTTGTATTGTCCAAAGTACTGCTGTTGCTGCTGCTATTATTACTATTATTATTACTACTGTTATTTGTTGTTGAAGATATTTGTTGCTGATTATCGTCGTTGATTGCTGATGAATTTAATCCAATGTTAGATGTAGTCGTTGTTGTTGTTGTTGTTGACAATGTTGATGTTGTTGATGATGATGATGATGTAACATTGGCAGGTGGAGGTACACGACGTCCAACCAAAACTTTTCCAACTGTTTGTAAGCCATGTTTTGGTACAATAACTAATTTAAATTACAAAATAAAAATAATTCCAATTTCAATTAAACATTTTTTTTTTAAAAAAAGCAAAAAAAAACATACCAGAAGTTTTTGGATTTTCCAATGATTTTCCTTTGAAAATTTGGTTTATATCGAAAGGATTATATTTGGTTTTCGATTTTGAACTAGTCGACGTTGATGATGACGATGATGATGACGAAATTTGATTGCTGCTTGTATTATTATTATTATTATTCGATGATTGTTGCTGTTGTTGTTGTTGTTGTTGCTGCTGCTCCTGTTGCTGCGTATTCAATGATGTTGTTGTTGTTGTTGTTGTTGAAGATAATGGTGACACTGTAGACATGATTCATTTGAACAAAAACACTTAATTCACATATTAATAAATTTTTTAAATTGATTGATTGATGATTGATAAAACCCACTGCAGATAATAATTTTTCTGCAGATTTTGGGAGTGGTGGTGGTGGTGGTGGTTCTATAAACAAGTTAACAACCGAAACAACAGTCGGCTATTTTTGTATTGTTTTCTTGATCCAAAAACAAAAATTCCTTTCAATTTGGTGATTGTTGTTGTAAAAAAAAGATTGACAAAACACACAACACACAAATGAATGAATAAACAAACAAACAAACAAACAATCACAAGATGATCGATTTCGTCTTTGTGTTGAAACCTGTAATTCAAACAAAAAAAACAAATTTAGATAATGGTCAAAAATTTAAACTAATAGTCCACACACACACACACACACACAAACAAACCTCTATTATTTAATGACGAAAGAGAGAAAATTTTCTCAAAATTCAAAAAAAAAGAATGTTTAAAAAAATTTTGTAAAAACAATTTTTTAGAAATTTTCGCTTTTTGTTTTCTTCACTTGATGATTACAAATTTTGTGAGATATAGAAAAAAAAAAAAAAAATATCACACTGAATTTGGTTGGGGGAAAAAAAATGCCTCTTTACACAAACATAAAATGCTGAGAGTTGAGCTGATCTTGAATATATGGCTGGCTGGCTGCCTGGCTGGTTTGCGTCAATCGAAGAATCGAATTTTTTTTCTTTCGTCGACTATAAACGAAACAAAACGAAGAGAAAATAGAAAACGATCACCTGTGAAATGAAAATTGATAACATGAAAATTTTTTTTTTTTTAATTATATCAAAAAAACGATCCAAATTGGTTATTTGAAAATAAAAAAAAAACATATATAGCACATGATTGTCCCAAAATGTCTAATTCTAACGTCATTTGTCATCATCATCATCATCATTGGTTGTCTCGTCTTTTTTTTATTTTTTTTTCAAAATCATCATCCTACACAAATCCAGGCACCACACACACACACACACACACACACCTATTGTCAATGTGGAATCAAAATTGTCTACAATTTTCTCTTTTTCTTAGAGTTCAAAAAAAAAAAAAAATCTCTGTACATACAAACGTAACGCACACACACATCGTCATCATCATCATCATCGAATCAATCAAATGTTCAATGATTTGATGGATAAACAAAAAAAAATTCCTAAAGCTGAAAATCTGTTGCTGTGAAAAAAAATAGAGAATGAAGGAAAAAAAATTTCAATGATGGATTTGAATGAGAAATGAAATAAAATGAAATGAGGAAGAAAAATCTGTTTCTCTCTCTGTTTTTTTTTTTTTTTTTTTTTGAAATTCAATATTTTTTTGTTGTTGTTGCTGCATGTATTTTATATATACAGACAACAACAAAAAAAAAATGCCAGGATTGTTATCATTTTTACTAGTTGCTAAGAGTATTTTATATTCAAATATATATAAAAAAAAACTTTTAATGAAACACATCCAACATTGGCATTGAGTAACATTGAGTTTCAAATAGCAGCAGCAACAGCAGCAAATGAAAAATATCGTCTTTGATTGTTGGGAAATTGTAATTTTCTTTGATGATTATAAAAGGGGATGGATGGATGGATGGATGATTGAAATGGAAATAAAAAAAAGCCAGAACTACCAGTGTTAGACTTTTTTTTTGTAGATGGTTGGTTCATCATGGTTGTTTCAAGGTGTTCATGCATTATGGCTCAAATTCCAAGAAATAATATATTGAGCTGGATAAAATATTCATCTTGATGAATCAGTATTGATCAAGATGAAATTTAGATAACCTAATAAATGATGATGATGATCGAATGTTTTCGAATGAAAAAACCCGTTGTATATCAACTACTTAATTAATTATAGGTATATATGATATGATGAACACATATATGACAAGAATACATCACGAGATTAAAAGATATTACATTATGGAGAGCAAGCGATGAGAAAAAGAGAGAAAGAAAAACAAATTGCAATCATCAATCAAACCAACAAATTATCATCATCATTTAACAATTTATAACCAAACAATCTACTACTGATCGATTGCATAATTGATATATATAAGAATAAAGAATCAAACATAGACAACAACAAAAAAAGTGAATCAAATGAGCAAAATCAAAGTTACTTACCGAATTTTTGTGAAATTTCGAAGAATTCGAATACAAAATAGATTCGATGATGACGTTATTATACTTGTCAATATATATCGATCGATATTTATTATTATAACTATACTATATATATATTTGAACGAACAGAAAAAAAAAAAAGAAACGAAAATCAAAAAATTTTTTCAACCAAAAACAAAACAACAAAAAAAATCAACCAGAAAACATTAATGTTGAACTTTGAGGCCAAAGAACAAGCATGCATGCATGCATACATGCACTCACAACAAATGGATGAAACAAACAAACGAAAAAGAATAGGAAAAAATTATGTGGACAATTAAAATTGGAAAACATAAAACTTACCTTTTTTTGTTTAACGCGTCGTTTTTGTTTGTATGTGAATGGATACAACAAGAATATTTTTTTTCTGTTGTTTTTTTTGTATTACAGAATTCTCTTGTTATTATTTATTATTATTGGATTGGATTGGATTGGATTGGATTGGATATTCGGAGAGGGTTTGCTCTCGCTATCTATCTTTTTTTTTCAGTCACACACACACACACACTTATTACAGTATAAAGAGTTATATTTTTTTTTCTTGTTGCTATTGAATGATGATGATGATGATGATGATTATAAATTTTTGGTTGTATAAAAACTCTCTAAAACATACAAATACAAATACATACACAGCATACATACATACATACAATACAATTTATTATTATCAACGTATAAAAAATCTGGTGTGCGTGTATGTGGTAATGGATGAATGGATGGATGCAAAGATTTTTTGTCTTTTTTCTTCTTATTATTCTTCTTCTTCTTCTTCTTTTTTTTCAGAAATATTTGGGTAGTAGTAGTAGTAGTAGTGGTAGTAGTAGTAGTTGTTTTAAAATAACAATAAAAAAAAAGTATGGTGACTGGTTTATCTGGTGATGGTTATGTATTGTATATACGACCACCACCACCATCACCACCACAACCACAACAAAGAATTTATGGGTATAGTCATCATAGTGGTATATACAGAAAGGAAGAAAGCGAGAACAAAAAAAAACAATGCCGTTTTAGTGTGACAAATAATGAAAAAAAAAGGATGTTGATGATGTTTTTGTGTGTGTGTGTGTGTGTTTCCAACATATACACACAAGTAAAACTGAAACCACTACCACTAGTACTAGGGATATATTTTTTTTTCCACACACGGCAGCCATTGTTATTAATGCTGCATGCATTCATAAAACATAAAAAAAACGTACATCTTTATATTGTTGTAGTAGTCAATACTTCTGATGATGATGATGATAATTCTGTACCCTCTATGTTTCCTGCATTTGACGCATGCGTTCTCATTCGAATTGCATCATTGCAGTTGCTACTATTTTTTTTTTGCAATAGCCGGGAAATTTCTATTCATAAACAACGTGATTGCTATGATTGCCATCTTTTGGTTGGAAAAAAAATGTAATTTTTCTTACATTTTTATCGATTTGAATGTCATTTCTTGAAGAAAAAAAAAAAAATCCTTTTGCCAATTAAATACAAAAAAAAAAAATGTAGATGATTATATTAGGTGGCCATATTTTTTTTTTGGTAAAAAAAAAACAAAGGTGAATAAAGTACAACGCGCGCGTACAGAATCATATCATCACATATTACGCAGCTTGATATTATTTGTTCTTGTAGTAGTAGTAGTAGTATAGTGGTGGTGGTGGTGTGTTATAGTAGTAGTGATCGATTCTGGTTTGTTTGTATGTCCGGTTTGTTCAATCATCATAATCATTAAATTTTCGACAAAAAAAATATCTTCATTGATCATTGATTTGTTTATAATAAAAATGTTGATGATGATGATAATATAAGCAACAAGTAAAAAAAAAATTCTGTAAGTGTGGTAATTCTGTTTTTTTTTCTCTCAATTTCATATGGAACGAGGGGATTCTTGTTTGTTCTATTGAAAATGTATTGTCCATAAAAGTAAATTAATCCAATTTGAGCAACAATATTCATCATCATCATCATCATCATTGTGTAATACTGAATGAATATTGGAATAAAAACCTGGTCGATGAACTGTGTATACAATGTGATTCACACACACACACACATATATACAGAAGCTTACAAGTGAGAATCATATTAAACAAAACAAAAAACGTAAAAAAAATGAAAATAAAAGGCGCGTAAAAATTTTTACAACACACACACACACACACACACAAGGCCACACAACCGGTTGTGCTGATTTTTGATTTAAATCAAGATTCAGAATTATCATCATCATCATCATGTTTTTGTATGATTTTGTCATTTTCTGGTTTTGTTTTTTTTTCCATTCGTTCGTTCGTTTTCGTTCGTTGGCACTTTCATTTCAAATGTGTTAAAATTTCAGGTTTTTTCCCTCTTTTCTTTTCTTTTATTCTTTAATTTTAATTCAATTTTATTTATCATTATAAATGAATGGTGGCTATAATGACCGAAATGTGGAAAAAAAAAAAAAAAAAAAGATTTAACCACGCATACACACCATTGTAATGTCATTGGACTATATAAAATACGACCATCGAACGAAAGATTGTCATCATCATCATCATCATCATTCGATAAAGATGCGTCAGAATTTTGTTTCTTCTCCATTGATTGTGAAGAAGAAGAAGAAGAAAAAAAAAGAATTCGGCTGTTCGAGCAAATTGCCGATTCTATGGATCCAGTGTGCAGTATAGTGTATACACACACACACACACAACCGAATCCTATCATTGACAATGAAAATATTCCTCTGATTGCGTTTCACTGATGATGATGATGATGATGATAAAGATACGAAAATTCTATAGAACCGGCAAAATAAATGAATAAAAAAAACAATAATTTAATCTAATTCCAATTCATTTCTCTAGATGGCGTTACATTATTTTCAAAAAAAAAAAATTCCACAACAACAAAAAACGTTCGAAATTATAAATATTCAAAATGTTTCCTTTTTTTCATATATATAATAGTTTAATATTGATTGATTGGCAAATTTTTTTTCTCTCTTTTTTGTTTAAAAAAATAATTCCTAATCATTGATGATCCATGATCCATGATGATGATGATGAGAATGTTATTTATAATGTGTGTGTGTGCATTGTAATTTGTATACAGAAAGAAAAAACTGATGAAAATGATTAAATGAAAAAAAAAAAAATAAAATAAAATGAGAGCTACACATTGTATCTATAGTTTGTTATAAGCTATAAGTTTGAGGGGCAAGGATTGAATTAGAAAAATCAGATATGATGAGATGAATGAAAAAGAAAAAAAAACAAACGAACAAAATTTAAATCGAAAGAATCCGGGCCGAGTTAATATTTTTTTTTTGTTGTTGTTGTTGTTGCGAAAATATAGGAAAAAATTTACCATAAGAGTGTTTTTACTGTGTTTTGTTTATCATAATAATAATTTGATTGATGATTGATAGATAGATTGTTGTTGTTGTTTACAAGATGGAAAAAGGAATTGCACGAATTTTTGTTTTTTTTTTTTTGGTTGATAAAATAATGGAGAAAAAAAAAGAATTCCTATAAAGAGAGGCAGCCTGTTTGGTTGGTTGGTTGGTTGGTAGTGATGAATGAATGAATGAATGAGAATCGGAATGATGGATTATTTGTGACATGAATGATATACAAATGTTGATGAAATGAAATGAAATGAAAAAAAAATTTGTTAAAAAAAAATTCCTAAGTGGGTGATGAGTGTTTTTTTGTACATTTAATGTAAAGAATTACAGTATACTACGAAGAATGGAAGTTTGCAATTTCAAATTATCTTTGGTTTTTTTTTCTCTTTTCATCGAAAATTGCACTATTTTTTTTTTTAATATGGTTCAATTCACCATCAGTGTATGTGATTCCATCGGTGCTGCTGAATCATATAATGTATCCGTATCCTGTGTTGGTTCATCTTGTAGTTGACATTGATTGCTTAATGTTCGTGCACCACAATCGCAAAAAAATCTTTAGAAAAATTAAATTCATTTCAAAAAATTATTAGAAATTCATTTAGATTAAAACACACACACATACCTATCATGGCGAATAAATTCAACATCATGTCCATTATGACAAGTTTTTATACAATTAACACAAATAGCATTTCGATCTGTTGTGTTACAAGTACGACAGCTGTAAATTTTAAATGATAATAATGATAATGATTATTATCTCATAAAAAATCAAGAATGTTTGTTGAATAACACTTACCGAAAAAAATCATGCATAGGAAAACTGGTATATGATGATATTTTATATAGACATTGGCCACTATTTACAGCCTTTTCGACTGCATTATGATTATCATAAATTTTGTTATTTTTCAACATCGGTAAAACACCTGATGCTAAACATAAGCCACCAAAACGATTGTTAAATATTTGATTAAATTCCAATATGGCTGTTGCATTGTTCGTGATCTCTACACCGGCAGCTAAACCATCAAAAATACGATTTCTTCTCAATAATGGATGTGATTGTGTTGAAATCAAAACACCAGCTTGTGCATTACGGAATATATCATTATCTTCAAGTACACCTTTACCACCGTTGAATATACATACACCACCATCACGGCCATCGTATATTTTGTTCCGCCTTAATGTTGGATTTGAATCGGTTTTGATCCAAACACCAGCCATTGCATTATCGAAAATTTCATTTTGTTCCAATAAACCAAGGCCACCATTGTAAACAAGAACACCACCATTTTGACCGCCCCAAATTTTATTCCTTCGAATAACCGGATTCGATCCGGTTCGGATCTGCACACCAGAATACAGATGATTGAAGATATCGTTTTCTTCTAATCGACCATGGCCATTATCATAGAAATAAACACCAACTTGTTTACCCGAATGAATTCGATTACGACGTAATGTAGGTGTCGATCCTGTTGTAATCCATACGCCGGCCAATGTATTTGCATAAACCTCATTTTCTTCAATCAAACCTAGGCCTTTTTCGTGAACATAAATACCACCATGTTGACCATGATGAATTTTATTGAATCGAACAATAGGATCGCTAGCAGTACGTATCTGAATTCCGGCTAAGGCATTTCCATAGATATTATTATGTTCGATAAGACCACGACCTTCACCAAATATATAAACGCCTCCTTGGTGACCATTGTAGATTTCATTCCGTCGTATGGTTGGATTCGATTGTGATGTAATCCATACTCCAGCAAAATTATTGGAATGAATACGATTTTCTATAAACTGGCCACGACCTGATTCATGAACATAGATGCCACCAGTTTGACCATGATGGATTTCACATCGAGTCACAGTTGGATTAGCACCAGCTTTCACTTCGAAACCGGCAATACGATTATTATGTATGTTGTTTGCTTCGAAATAGCCTAATCCATTATCGAATGTGAATACACCAACATCACGACCATGATGAATATGATTACGACGCATAATTGGATTCGCATGATTCTTAACCCAAACACCAGCCAATGCGTTTCGAGAGATTTCATTCTCTTCATAGATACCTTGTGCATAATCGGTAATATAAAGACCGACATTCTCACAATCGCTGATATCACAATGTCGAATGGTTGGTTCAGAGCCAGCGCCGGAAACACAGACAGCTGCACCAACCACTGATGTGGAACGAATTGTACAATGATCAATGGTCGGTGAGCTATTCTCACCGATTTTCAGGCAATAATGTTTATGATGTTGTGCTGAAGTTGATTGGTCGGGTGTAAACTTCAAGGTCACATATCCAAGATAGGCTTCACGTGCACCTTCAACAAATGTTATGGTCGATTCGGTTTCCTTTTCCAAAATAACATTTTCGGCAATATTTCCCGGAGCTATAAACCATAAAATAGTTGAAATAGTTAAGATTGTTGTTAACTCTATGCTATCAATTACACTTACCAGCACCAATAAAATTAACATTCGAATCAATCATGAGATAATCAAATTTATAATGACCAGAGTGTATGAATATAAAACAATTATCAAAGTCTTCTGAATAATTGTATGCCTGTTCAATTGTATCAAAATAGACCACCGATTGACCACGATACCTTTGTGGATCCTTTTCAATTTGTTCCAATCGTCCAGGTCGTACATGGATTCCGTAATACTAATTATTATTTATTAGATGAATGAAAAATTATAAAAAAATCATCAAACTCAATAAAAAAAAAGACTGACCAATTGTTGAAAACTTTCTTTCCATGGATTATCTAGGTCACATTCCGCTGCTGGAACTATTTCAAATTTGGCAACACCACGATAAAACATTGGATTATCATATTCATAACGATCCTGGTATAGATTTTTCCTACGCATCATAAAGCAACCAAGATAATAATAATAATAAAAAATTCAAATAAAAAATGATAACGATAATGGACCAAAAAAAAAAAAAAAAAAAAAACGTACCATAGTTTACAGTCATTAGCAATTTTATGGAATCGTTTACAAACTTCTGATACATGGCACAAATCTACTTCGTATAGATAAGAGAATATCAAAAGCAATACTTCGTCGGGAAGTTGATAGAGTAGATAACTTGCAGCTGCTCCATCCTGGCTAATATATTGATTTTTATCGGCAAGGACTACAGTAAATAAATAAACAAAAATTCAAAAGAATTAATTGACTTTATATTTATATTTTGTCAAAAAATAAATTTGACCTCAGACTAACCTTTCGTTGATGGACTGTGACTTTGATTGTTTTGTGGTCGATATGAACGGCCATGGCTATGTTGTCTAGTTGTTAAATGGTTCGATGGACATTCGTTTGTTTGTTGATTCGGCACAATCATATTGGCAGTATTTGTTGCAATAAGTGTATTGTCATTACTAGATGATTGTCCATTGCATTGATCTTGTTGAGAAATCGATGATGATGATGTTTCAGTGGTGACAACAGAATTCGGATTTGAATTTAAATTTGGACCAGATTTTCTACGTAAATCATAAGGTGGTGAATGATGATTTACAGGAGAATTACTCAGATGATGTCGATGATGATCGCTATGAGATTCAAGGCCCGAATTTAAATTTGATGAAGATTGATGAGGATCAGTTGGCGATGCCGAACAGGCATTATTATCATCGGCTAATAACAGCATATCTTCTTGATCATCAATATTAGCAACACCATTTGTTGCCGTGGTTGATGATGACGTCGTTTTTGTAGCTGTTGAAAGATTTTCAAACCCGATCATCGATTTTGATGAAGAAGGTGAATCTTTTGATAATGGAATATTTTGTAACTCGACAGAAGAATTTTGAGAAGAACTGGTGGAAGAGGAAGAGGTAGCAACAATTATAGATTCCAATTGATGGTGATATTCATGATTTTGATGGCTACCGTTGGCAGACAATATGGAAGACGTACAATTTAAATTTGATGATGATGATGATGATGAGGTATTATTGGATGCTGATGATGATGGAGGCGAATCTTGTTGACTTGATTGCTGTTGTTGTAGTTGTTGCGGTTGTGGTTGAGATTTAGATTCATAATAATATGGTGGATTAGCTGCTTCAACGGCCATGGCAACATTGGTCATGACTGGATTAATGCATAATTTTTTCTTCACTCTCGATGAACTTCGTGATCTTGATGCTTGTCTAGCTAATTTTTTAACTGAAACACGGCCATTGGGCGATGTCAATGCCGATTGTGGTGGTGGTGGTGGTGGTGGCGGCGATGATGATACTGATGAAACGGAGGACGTAGATTGTCTGGAACCAATCGTTGATATTTGATCATCATTATTATCGACCGATATGGAAGAGGTATCATTATTATTATTATCATGATGGCCATGGCCAATAGGTGTATGATGATGATGATGATGATAATGGCTAGTATGTATATGTCGTGATGTAAACAGGTGTCGATCATTTGTTGTGCTATTACAACCACCACCATCATCATCATCATCATCATTAGAAATAATATCATTATTATTGGTTCCAGAAACAGTAGCCATATTGTTTGTATTGACCATTGTTGATCTTTGTTGAACAGATTGTTGTTGTTGTTGTTGATTATTATTACTTTGATTGATGAACATATTTTTTTATGTTATTTAAAATTATCAATTATTATTATTTATCGATCGATATTAACAATATATATATATGGCAGTGAAACATTGATGATATGCACTAAAAAAAACACCATATACACACACGTGAACATGTGAAAAATCAATGATGATGATGGTGATGAAATAATAATCAGCTGTAGTGTATTTTATTTAGAAATTTCATCATCATCATCATCATTTTTTTTATTGATTGATTTCCAATGCAATCGATCTATGATTTTATAAAAAGAGAAAAAAAACAATAATTAGACAAAAAATTATTTCAAAGTGGCAGGGTCCATTTTTTGCAACAAAAAAAAAAAAAACGAAAAAAAATCACAATCTAGTATATAAATCTAGGATACAGCCATAATAACCTTGATTATTATTTATCATCATCATCATCATCCTCATGACTTACTAATAATAATTTATGATCCAAGAATTAATTAATATAGAAAAAAACGGCATTTTTTTCTGGTTTTAAATGCAATCACATTGGCCATTATCCATACATCCATTCGTGCATGCATGTTTTTTTTTGTTTAATCTTCTGCACACACACACACACACACAGGCCATTAATTAAAAATAATTCATCTCATTACTAATGAGCGTATCATGGAAAACACATCATCATCATCATCATCATGATGAACAAGAATCTATAAACAATTGAAATACAAAGAATCATTTAATGCCATTTGAAAACACAGGTGATGATGAAGAATTTTCATTTCGGAAAAATTCCAAATGTCAACGAAAAAAAAACAAAAAAATTTGATTCAATTAAATTGAGAATGAGAATCATCCGTGAAAATCGGTTTTTTTTCATCAACCCAAAATGAAAAAATAATCATCATCATCATCATTGGCTGAACGATATAAACGAAACGGAAAAAAAATAAATGTCAGTATTAATTTTGGTGAAAAAAAATGAAATAAAAAAAAAAAAATTCTCTCTCCCCAAACATTCATCGTGATCATCAACTTATCCAAGGGTGTATTTCATCAAAAACATACACACACACACAGACAGATTGATTATAAACAGATATGATCCTACCTCATCTATAGATGAAAAAAAAGTGATTAAAATGTATAATATACGTTTGTGGTCATCATCATCATCATCATCATCAAAAGGTCAGTGTAAAGGAAGATAATAATGATGATGATCATAGTGAAAAAAAAACCCTTTTATTGTTATCTGATAGCTTCAAAAAAAAATTTTTTTCCGTTTGTGTTCTAAAAAATTCAGGATCAAAATTTTCCAATAAATGAATGAATGTGTGTGTATGTGAGGAAGATATATCCACAAACACCAATAGAGATCATCATCAACATCAATCAAAGAAAAAAAAAAAAATCATGGATTGACTCTGAAAACATTACACACACACACACACATGATTATCATCATATCTCCATATGGGATGACTATTAAGTGTATTGAAAAAAAATGAGTGAGAGAAAAAGCAAAGCTATTTCTTTTTCAAAGACCTAAATGTATGTAAAAGAAAATGAATAGACAATTGATATACATACACAGAGAAAACTTGAACACACACACACACACACACACATGAATGACTTGCTGTTTATAAATCATGAATAAAATGTGAATGAAATGGTGGAAGCCAAAGCCAAAAGCCAAAAAAAAAACCAAGCCGAAAAAAAACCTGGCCAGAAAAGAGAGAAACCACCAGCATATTATATACGTTTTTATTTAGCGAAAAAAATTTGTATGCCAATGGAATTGAGGACATACATACTTACACACACACACACACATAGTGAAATGAGAGTAAACCAGGTAAAAAAAAAATTATAAGTGAGAGAAAAAAAAATTGAGCCATGAGAAAAACCATATATACAATATACACACACACACACACACATAAACAACAATTACCAGAAAAGAGAGAGAGAGAGAGAGAGGAAATAAATAAAAAGATTTTATAGCTCAGTTGAAATTGACCCTAAATGATGATGATGATGATGAATTCTCTTGAATGAGAAAAAAAACTCAATCACAGAATTCTGGAATTCAAAATTCAAAATCAAAGATAAACGATATTTTTTTGTGTGTGTGTTTTGGAATTTGAATTTTTTCTTTTTTTTGGCTATACAGGAAAAAAAATTTAAATATCAAATCATCAATCAGGTGAACGCGATTGATTGTCATTTTTTAAATGACATATGGCTGAATCAGTGGAAATTATAGCCAAAATTTGAATTAAACTTACAAAACGTGGTTAAGTTTTGTTTAGTCAACAACAAATAACAATGACAAAAAAAAAAATGATATGTCCTTTCAAACAATTTTTTTTATTTACAATATGATGATGATTTGAGATTTACTTTAATGGTAAACCGAACATCATCATCATCATCATCATTATGGTTTATGGTTTAAAATGCTGTCGATAATAGGTTGATGATTCAGGTCATCCATTAAAAAAAAAATTTGATCGTTACATTTCTAGCATCTAATATATACTGGTAATTACTCGATGATATGTGGATTTTATCATTGATTAGTTTGATAATTAAAACAAGTAATAATAATAATAATAATCATTGCAGCTTTACTCCTGTCCAATGATGATGATGATGATGAAAACTAGACGAGACTCTCTCCATAGTCATCTACATCATCATCCAAGAGGCAAACCAATCAAGTTTTAAATTGATGATGATGATGATGGTGATGATCACAAGATTTGAGTATAGAATTCTTGTATCAATTAAAAATGATTCGTATGAATTCATAATTGATACTCACCCTAATTCAGAGGGGGAAAAAAAGAAAAAGAATCAAAAGCAGAAAACAAGGACAATGAAGGAATTTCGCATATTCATACATACACATACACACACGCACGCACACAAACACATACATAGAAGTAAAGGATAAAGTTGAATAACTATTCACGATAATTAATGATGATGACGATGAAATGATGATGATGATGATGATTAGATAAGATATACAAAAAAAAAGAGATACAGATCCTTTTGAAGATTGAATCGAATGAATGGATGGATGGTTAACGATTGGCAAAAAAAAAATGGTTAAATGATCACTGAGCTTGAACGAATCTATCAATCTATCGTTGTTGTTTGTTGTAAGTTCAAAGTGTTGAAAATTAAAATTTCAAAATTCACATTTATACATGATATATTGATATGAGAATATAATGACATTACATTATGAACACATACACACACACATATACACAAAAAAAAAGATTCTAGATCCAGATCCATTCGAATAATAATAATTCTGGAACAATTATCATCATTATTAATAATAATAACCAGAACCAGAATAGTTCATATAGAAATGAAAAACAAAAAATTATCATCTTTTTCTTTCCTATCAGTCATAGATTTCTTATAACTAATGTAAAGAAATTTAAAAAAAGTTGGCTGTTACCTTTTATGATACACAATAATAATAAATAAATATGGAAAATAGAAAAGATGATGATGATGATAATGGATAATAAACACAAACAAACAAAAACTCGAACAGAAAAAAAGGCTCGAAATTTATCCAATATAGATGAAAAGAAACAAAAAAAAAAATGCCAAGCTGCCACAATCTTTTTTTTTATACACAATGAAAAACACCAGAAAAAATAAAATTACAAAACAAAATAGAAAAATAGAAAAACAGAAAACACACACACACACACGAACCGATGGAAGGCAAATATTCGAATGAGAGAATCGAATCACTGGAATGAAAAATAATACTGGCAGCTATACCCAAGTTTTTTTGTTTTTTATCTATGTGTAATGCTACTACCACAAAAAAAATCATCATCATCAATATAATGTAGGCGGTTCAAATATGACAAGAAATAAGAAGAGGATTTCAAGAAAAATGCCAGTAGTAGTAGCATTAACGAACGATTGTTGATATGTGCAGGTGTATTATAACAATAACACACACACACACAACGAGTTTATGAAAGAAAACAGAACAGAACAGAACATTTTTTTTTTGCAGATCACTGAATTAATCCCTTTCATTTGAATATACCACTTCTAAAAAAAAAAAACAAATCAGCAACGCCATCTGATGACCAATATGGTCAAACTATATATATTCGAATCTATAGAAACAAAACAAAACAAAACAAAAACTTCGATTTTTGAATCAATGAAAAATTTTTTCAGATTTTTGTTCCCCCACCATCAAAAGTGAATATTCCGTCATACAGTTTTTTTTTTTTTCGTGAACAAAAAAAGTTTTTTTTTATTTCGTTCAAAATTACAATTACATTTGAAAAAAAAACTTGAATCTCGTGAGAACGACAACTAAAAGCCCAAATTAAAAAAAAAGGAGGAGGAGGCGACACGAGATCATCATCATCATCATCATCAGTCAGTCAGTCAACTATGGTTCAATTTTATGCGAACTTTCCCCATATAATAATCATGATGATCAAAAATGGTACCGACCCAGCCCCGACAACATTCATACACACACAAACACACTAACAACTAAAATCGAATCAAGATAGCAATAGAACACATATAATACAAACAAAAAAGCTAAAATTTCAACAACAAAGACGACTATGAAAAAATGTCGGTTCAAAATACGTGTATAGTGCATGGTGGTGTGTGTGTATGTTTCAAATCAAATCAAATCGACAAAAATTTCTTTGGTAAAATGAGTCGAGTCGATTTGTGAAATCTCTTGGTCCCCGAAAAAAAAAACAACAACAACAACAACAGACCGACAACTATGTGTATGAATTGTATTGAGAATACACCAGCCGGCCATTAAATCTTTTTTCACACACACAGGCAAACACTATTACCTTATGTTTGGCTTTAGCTTAAAAGTGGTTATAGATAGAGAAAAAAAAAGAGGCTAGGCACTGAATCAAGAGGAATCAAGTGCATCGAACCCCGAAAAAATGATGATGATGATGATGAACATCTCATTTCATATGAAAATCTTAATATCCTTTCCCCATCACCATTTCTCTTACCTACCCCCTTTTAATTTGTACAATGGATTGGCTATACACAGTGATGGACGACATGCACATACTCACATGGAGAGAGAAATGAAATTGAAACTGGATGGCCTTCGACCTTTTTCCAACTAAAATATTACTTTGCACGCGTTTTTTTACGAATAATGATGATGATGGCCACATATAATTATGATGATGAGAAAGAAAGAAAGAAAGAAAAAAGATTAACGACCCGAATTTGAATTTTTTTTTGGGGGCAAGTAGTTGAAATTAAATTCCATCATCATCATTATGGAATTTTGGTATCGGTTTATTATTAATATTTTTTTTTTTTGGAACCACCGATAGAACCCGAAAAAAAACTTTGAAATCATCAGCATCGTTTGGTTGTTGTTGTTGTTGTTGTAAAAAGGTTATTGTTCTTTAATTAAACCCGAAACAAAAAATTTTCTGGTAGCAGATGGATCCTGGTTGGATTGAACCAAATCCATTTTCATGAATTTGGGCGGCATACACACACACACAGGACACATCAACAATAAAATGACGATGACGACGACGTGCACCAATGCACACCACAGGGTAGTTTCACTTTTCTTTTTTTTCTTTTTAATTAATCGAAATTGATTGAACTACTATAACCACCGGGTGGATAAAGTTTGAAACTTGATCGTTGTGTCCACATTATTCTTTCATTGGAATAAATGAAAATCAATCAATTTCAATCAATTCTGTCAAATAAAGGAATTACGTCGCGTCGTCGTTGTTGTTGTTGTTGTTGTATGGATCAATTATTAAATTTTTGGATCCACGCCCCCCAGCTGTGTGTTGATAAATTCCGTGTTTCATAATCTCATCATTTCCTTTTTTTTTGTCCTATAGGAAAATTTTGTCCATTCGATCACATATGATCATGATATATTCGTGTTGTCGTTGTCGTTGTTGTATTCAAATTAAATTTCTTTTTCTGGTTTAATGATGATGGTAATTGTTTCTGTCATATTCATATCATCATCAAGAAAAAATAAAGATTAAGATCATCATAAAAAACAAGTTTCAATCAAAATAAAACAAACCAGATTATCAAAAATATACACAAAGATATATATACAGTGTTTTAAATTTTTTTTTTGAGTGTTTAAGTTCAACCTTAAATGCTGTCACACACACACACACATCTGATAATCATGATGATGATGATGATAATGATCATCAACTTTTAAGAATCACGACTACAACAACAACAACAAAAAATCATTCGAATTTTTTTTTTTTTTTTTTTGCAGACAACATTCGATCATCCAGACACAATATCAAGGGTTAAAATAGCCGAAAAAAATTCTCATCAAATCTGATTTGATGAGAATTTTTGTTGTTCGATTCAAGACAACAACAACAACACGACAACCTAATTTCATCCAAATTGATTTACATTTCATTTTCATTTTTTTCATTTTTTTGGATTAATGTTTGTGTTTGATTAACATTTTGACTGTCTGAGTTTTTTTGAAACTCTCAGCAACAACAAACAACAACAACAACAACAACATTCAACATGTAATGGAATGAAATTTTTTTTTTCGTTTAAACGAAAATTACAAATAAAATGTGAAAAAAGGTCATTCTACTGTGTGTGTGTGTGTGAAACAAAATCTTTAAGGTACCAGGGTTTTTTTTTCTCGTTTTTTTCCAATTTTTCAATTTTAACAATCCAATATTGTCCTTGATATATTTCAATGATTTTACTTTTTTGACTACCTATTTGATCTTGGAACGACATTTCGTTTCGGTAGATTTCTCACCGTGTGTGCACACACATGCACAGTGTTGATCGTCGTCGTCATCGTACACAATCAAGTAAAAATTTTTTTTTTTTTTTCTTTTGAAACGGTTGGGTCCGTTTTGAAAATTTTCCAACAGGTCAGATATTCAAATATTGGTGAAAAAAAACCCCAACATGACGACTATGATTACACTGTTCTATACTTCCGTATTATAGAAAAAAAACCAACTAGTACCAGAACGGTTTTCATTTTTTTTTTCGTTCACTGTCCGGATCACACCACACAAAAAAGTATTGTGATCCATAGCTGGGAACGTCAACAATGATTGCACAGGTCATGATCATCTCATGAGGTTTATGAAATGTGACCAGGGATAAGGTTCTCAGGTCAATCCACCACCACCATCACCATGTTTTGATAACAACCAAACATACACACACACACACGCACGTATATGAAAAACCTGTGTGCAACAAGTTGACCTCAATTTTTTTTCACAAATTCAAATGATGACTGATCACAAATCCATATATATATGATATAATAATGTATATGGGGAACTTATAAATCGATAATTTTTATCACAAAAAAAAATTTTTTGTTATCAAAATATCGTTTTTGTGAAAAAAATTCATTTCGATCAGAAGAACAATCAACCTATGTATGTATATTTGTCCCCTAGGACTGCTTAAAAACATTCTTGTTCGATTCGATTTGTTGAACACTGCATATATATGGGCACGGCATTTCGATTCCATCGTCGATCATTCATTGGATGACCAACACAAATGTAGATTGATTAGCGTGTAAAAAAAATTCGTTTCGTTTCATTTCAATAGCACAATTTCAAATTGAAATGGCAAAAAAAATTGTTGATTGTAGAAATGAATTGCTGCCTTGGTCTCTTGATGGTCATTATATTCTCGCTCTCTTTGTGTGTGTGTGTGTGTGTTGTTGGTCAAACAGGCAAAAAAAAAACGATTTGACTTCAATTTATGTAATGTCCTTCATTGTCTGAACTCTGACCAAATCATCAACTCCCCTCAAAAAAAAAACATACCATATTTAAAGACGAGGCCATTCTTGTTGTAACATGTTGATTTTCATTTGATTCGAATACGTTGTTACAGATAGAAATAAAAAAAAAACACGTTCAAACACAGTCAAACACAATAAACAACAATCATTTGGGTAGTCGTCGTCGTCGTCGTCGAAGAAGAAAAAGAAAATGTAAAGAAATTGTCCGTCGAACCTAAACGACCTTCAAGGAAAACGACAATATTCGTTTTATTCGTTTTTGAATCTTCATCATCATCATCAAATCGAATGCTTTAGCAAAAAAAAACTTTTCTATTCGTTTTTTCTTTTGCTTTGGGTTCATATATATCGATGAACTAAATTGAAGAATTTGTTTCAACCACCACTTATACACACAGACACAGACACACCATCAATTTGATTTGATTCATATTGTTGTAATGAGAACAATAACGAGATGAAATGGAAGAATTTCATTCGAATCAAACACGAATCGAATGTGTGTGTGTGTGTGTGTGAAAATAGCCATATTTTTTTTGGTTGGACATGAATTTTTTTTTCATTTATTTCATTTGTTACATTCTTAAAGTATGCAGGTAAATTGGAAGAAGAATTACATAATCAATCAAGACAAAAGAAAAAAAAATATAGAATCATAAATTGTCATAATTGAAAGATTTTAGTGGAATTTGAATTTGAATAATAAGGATTGAAATAGTCGTCATCATCAAATACACACACACGCGCGCACATAATGAATTTTTGAATTGAATTTGTGGGTGTGTATGTTTAAATGTTTGTTGTTTTTTTTGTTTTTGATAATTTTTTTTCCATATTTCAAACTAGATACATATCCTGTTCAACATCTGATGATGAATTGGTATCTTCGATTTCCTGTTTCAATTGTTCTGTTGGTTTATCGCTTACCGATCGATTAAAAGTGGAAAAGAATTTTGCTTCATACCATGCAACCAACAAACCGGATGGATGACGAATATAATCCTGTGAATATTGATATTCTTTAATAGTTGGTAATGCTTCGATACGTTGTAGATATTCAACAAGATTCTGGCATCCATATTGTTCAAATAATTCATGAGACAAATAATGATGTTGATCAATGTATTCATAGGCCATAAAATCCACATATGACAATGAATTACCGCAAAAGAATGGCCGTTCTTTTAGAAATGATGATAATGCACGAAGTTTTTCAGGCAAACGTGCCAAATAAATGAGACGAGCCTTTTCAAAATTTTTATTCGTCGATGCTTCAATGAATTCATTACGATAATCACGTAATTGTTGTTCAAGCAAATCGATTCTGGTACGTTCCTTTTCCGTTTGACCGGCAAGATTATGTTTTTTGGCCAAATATCGTAGAATGGTTAAACTTTGTGTCAATTTAAGATTACCTTCGATGTAGTATGGTAGCTAGTTTGATCATCATCATCATCATCATCATCATCATCATCATACATATACATCATAAATGATACATCATGAATATATGAGATATTCGTGTCCAAAAACAAAACATAACAAAACAAACTTACATTTGGAAAATCCAATTCCAGATTAAATTTCGATGATCGCCATATAATTTTATCTTGGTCACATTTTCCAAAATTATATTTCTTTTCCTTGTATCTGGTTTTCGTATAATGTAATAACAACCGAATCGGTTGGGCATTCTATATACACAGCAAATGGGCAATTAGAGAAAAAAATTTGAAAAGTTAAAATTTGTAATTAAAACTAATTACACCACGAATGTTCCAATAGCCCAGAATGGGAACATTCTCTTCATTGTCATCATCATCGGGCTGCTGCTGCTGCTGCTGTTGTTGTTGTTGTTGTTGATGTTGTTTATCCGCAATAGTCATGATTTCGAATCGTTGTCGACAATCAAAATGTGAATGGAAAAATTGTCAATGCGAACTTTGCAAACTTTGTTTCTTTTTTGTTCAAAAAAAAAAGTTGATTGGCTGTACTTTTGATCTGGAGTAAAAAAAAAAAAACGGATATTGCGTATATAAGCACGCTAGTGTAATCGTAGTTTGAACAATTAAGAAAAAAAAATTTCCAAATTAATTGTTGCCAATGATGATGATGATGATGATGATAATGGCTGATTATATCCACTTTTTATCAAATATTTTTTCTGTGTGTATGCGTGGGTGTGTGTGTGTCAGATAATATTTGATATCATTCGATTTTTTTTTTGTTTGAATTCAAAAGAAAAAAAAACCAAGTCACAAGATCATTGATGAATGTGTATGTGTATGAGATGATGATAAAAAAATCAATGAAGACAAATTGAATTTAGATTCTGTTCCGTTTATGAAAAATTTTTTTTTTTTCTCGATGAAACAAATAAACAAACACATGAACAATTTTTCAAACGATTCACGATTGATCAAATCAAAAACAATCTTGATGATGATAATAGGATTCATATGATTCATATATGATCATATAAATACGTAGCGAAATTTCTTCTTGTCTTCTTCATCATTTTTTTTTACCACTTGTTAACACAGTAGAAAATCTGTTTACACTTTGCTTTTCATTTGGCATTCGAGTTTCTTTTTTTTTTGGCTCAAAATTTTGTTGTCGTCGTAAACACACACATATATGGCTTACGTATGTGTGTGTGTGTGTATGTGATATATTCAAAACACACAATGTATGCATGTGTATGTGTGTGTGTGGTAAAATGTTTGCCATTGAAAAAATCTTCATTATCGTATGGCCACCATCATCATCATCATCATCATCATCGACAAGCCAAGTTTTTGGCTTGTAATCAAATTGATGAATAAATGGATGTGTTTATCTATGACCATTGAACATGATTTTCAATTCTGTTAATAATAATATTCAGATTTTCACTGATGATAAATGATAATTGAACAGGATCCATTTTGAAATCTCAATATTTGACCAAAAAAAAACTTGTTGATTCCTGTATGTTAGTTCAGCTGTTAGTTAGTGGATGGATTTTTTTTCTCAACGATGAGTATGAATTGATATGTAGATTAGGGATCAATAAAAGCTCAGAATCAGACGGATTCATTGAAAGTTTTCATTGGAAATTTCACAATTTTTTTTGTTTTGAAATCAAAACAATCAAAAAAAAAATTTTCGAAAAAAAATCACAGAAAAAAATATTTATGGCCTAGTTTGATTTTCATTCAAAAGATGGCGTAACAATTTTTTTTTATTATGGTAAATATTTTCGTATCGAACACATGATTTTTATTTTTTAAAAAAATATCTATAATCGTTCGATATTTCTTCTATTGATCCAATATCGTCGTGAACATCGCCATCATTCTAATCAATCCATATTCATTGCCATCATTATCATGCATTGTATGATCAAAAAATCTAATCATTTTTCATCAAAAATATTCGATTCATTTGTTAAACAAATTTATTTACGGAATTTTTCCGCTTCATCATCACCATCTGATGGTGATTCTAATGTTCCAACCAAAACTAATGATGATGACGATAAAAAGAAATTAACAAAACAAAGAAAAAAACCTGAACCAAGAAAAATAGTTGTAATTAAAGATCATGGAAATGTTTTGGGTACCGGTAAAAAAGATGATGATGATGATGCCGCCGTTAATATTGGTGCCGATGGTGTTCCATATAATCCGGTGAATGATCCACATTATAGTAATAGCTATATGATGTATAAATATCCACAATATTTTACTAAAAATATTGGTTTTACACGTGCTAAAAATATCGTTAAAGAAGATATATCATTATTACTTGATGGACGTATACATAAAACACGTGAAGAGATTGGCTGTCCAAATCATGTTGATGTTTGTGTATTTGGTGGCGGTATCATTGGTACGGCTATTGCTTATTTTCTAAAGGAAAAAGCACCATTCGGTTTGAAAATAGCTGTAATTGAAAAAGATCCTAGTGTAAGTTTTTGATATAAAATCTTTAATCAATCACAGTTTTTTATCATCATTTATTATTCGATAGTTTACACGATGTTCAACAGCATTAAGTACCGGTGGTCTTCGTCAACAATTTTCATTGGAAGAAAATATTCTTATGGCACAGTATTCATCGGAATTCATACGAAATGCACGAAAACATTTGAGCATATTGGATGGTGAACCACCGGATCTTAGTTATCATCCACAAGGTTTTCTAACATTGGCTGATGAATCACAAGCAGAACAATTGATACGTAATCACCAGAAACAAATCGAAATGGGAACATTAGTTGAATTGTATACTGCTGAAAGGATAAAGGAAAAATTTCCAATGATCAATACGGATGGTATTGTTCTTGGATCATATGGTGTTCAAAATGAAGGCTGGTTTGATCCATTAGCATTATTGGTGGCATTTAAAGCTAAAGCACAATTTTTCGGTGTCGAATTTGTTCATGCAGAAATATTGGATTTTAATTTCAAAAATGATTATCATTATGAAAAAACTACCTGTAATTATGTTGTTGTTCGTGAACCCGATGGTAATGTTCGTCATGTAGAATTTGGATTAGGCGTAATTGCCACCGGTTATGAATCACATAAAATAGCCAAATTATTAGGCTATGGTGAAGATGTTGATGATTGGCGTTCAGTGGTCAATTTTCCAATTGAACCAAGAAAACGATATGTTTATGCTTTCAATAGTAAAGATGGACCTGGATTAAATTTTCCATTCTTGATCGATACTAGTGGCACATATTGTCGTCGTGAAGGTCTTGGTGGTAATTTTATCTGTGGCCGATCACCATCAAATGATGAAGAACCAGATGTCGATACACTTGATGTGGATTATTCATATTTTGATCGTCGTGTACAACCAATGCTTAAAAATCGTATAGAATCATTTGACATGACTGATATGAAAATAAAAGGAGCTTGGGCCGGTTACATTGATTATAATCGTATCGATCAAACACCATTGATTGGACAGGATCCATTTTTCAAGAATCTTATATGGGCCACTGGATTCGGTGGTTTAGGTGTACAAATGTCACCAGCAATTGGACGTGCTATAATGGAATTTTTATTATATCAAGATTATAAAACAATCGATCTACGTGCATTCAATTGGGAACGTTTATTCAACAATAAACCATTGAAAGAAGTTTATCAATATTAGTGAACAATTAATTAATTAATTTTTTTTTTAATTATTACTACAAATAAATAAATAATATATTCTATTCTATATATTCTATTTATTGGGCATTGGTCCAAATATTGTTCCAGTCTGTTGATTGGCCGATCTTGATGGTGCGAATCCAAGGATTTTTTGTATATTTTGGCGTATAGACATTGTACATAATATATAAAGAAATATGAAAGAACAATCGGTAAAATCATTGCCAGGTAGATTACGATGTGAAAGACCTTGTACCCATGATATTGGAACAAATGGTAATTTTGCTACAACTCGACCATCAAAACTGGCCGTATATAGAATGGGAATGAAAAACAAACAAAAATTCTTTAAATTAAACCAAAAAATAACACTTACATGCTATTGAACATGGATAATAGTGCTGTAAATGTAATACCGATGGCAAACATTGATTTCATTTTAACCATTGAAAGATCACGATTATGATTTTTTAATTTTTCTTCTTCACGTTCTAGTTTCTTTTTCTGTTGACGATCACTTGTTTCGCCCATTGTTTCTTTTTTCTTTTCCACTATAATATATATATGGAAAGGATAAATATAAAGATTTGGTTCATGAAAAAAGGGGTAAATTGTAATACTTACATTTTTTACATCGTTTTTCAACTTCATTTTTCAATTTTTTATATTTCTCTGTTCGATAAACCAAAAGCCATGTTAAACCTGATCATTGAAATCAATTAATTGTTAAAAATTGTAAAATGGAAACAATTTACAAACCTTCACCGAATAAGGCTGTAAATGATGATATGAGTACAATAAGAATAGCGTCATAAGGAATCATTTTATTTTTATAAAAATTTAAATTCTAATTTTCCAAATTAAAACATGTGAAATGTAAGAACGTGAAGTGATGATGATGATGTGTTTTTTTTTTTTTTTTTTTTTTTGCTTCGAAAGGCGACTATATCAACCCTGAAGAGAAAAAATTGTAAATTGGCCAGAAATTTTGCGCGCTAAATTTGAATTTGAATTAGTGTTCATTCATTCATGAATGTGTTGCATATTGACAAATTGAAAACAAAATACAAACACAAGAGAGAGAGAGAGAGAGAGAGAGAGATTAATTAAGCACATTTTGTGTGTCAACCATGATTATGATAATTTTGATGATTTTCAACAAAAAAAATAATCATCACAACCAGTTTTTTTGGTGCAACCATTTCAACAACAACAACGACAAAAAAAACTTGTCACTATTTAATTTGTATGTGAAATATATGGGAAAAACTGGATTCGCAATCAATTGTTCGGTCAACGCAATCATTGACCTATAATGAGCAATTTGACCTTTGTTCAATTTGCTGATTGTTTGAACCTTGACCACGAATATTGTATAAAGATATTGATTTTAATTCCAAATTGATTGATTGATTAATCGATTTTTACCTCATGTAAATAATCATCATCATCATTTGACGTTGATATTCTGCTGTCAATCAACATGAATTTCTGGCTGTTCATTTTATCCATCCATCAACCATCAATACTCACCAAACTTGAATTTTTGGTTTTTTTTAAAGCCAAAAATAGAAGCAGACAGACTAGGAGCTTGGAATGAACAACAACAATTCAAGGTTGTATGCCTGGATTCTATTCATGTTTCATACGTGCTTATGCCTACCTGTGTGATTTTTTTTTTTTAATTTTCAGATTTTGATTTCCATCATTATTCTATAGCCAAAACAACAACAACAACAAGTTTGAGCAATAAGTTTTGATTAACACACACACACACACAGGTTTGTTACCTGTGTTTGTTGCTATTCATTTCTATATATTTCCAACGTTTGTTTCATCGTTTTTTCTTTCTCTCTGTATCTTCCATCAAACATCGGAAGAACGTGTTGGTGGTGCTGCTGGTGGTGGTGGTGGTGGTGGTGGTGGTCATAAGATTTCAAGAACAACAAGCTGTTTGGCTGGTTCAATTAGTTGATTGCTCGGTTGGTTGAATGTTGAAAACAAGAAAACGTTTGAATCATCAAATTGTCTTAGTATAATTGAAATTGCCGCTATGAACAACAAAAAAAAGGATGTTTTTTTTTATTGATGTCACAATGATGATGATGATGATACATTCTATTTTAGAAACAATGGTATCACTATCATCATTATTTATTTATTAATCTCAAAATAACAACCACAATAATCGAATGTAGTAACAAGTTATAAATTGTGTGTGTGTGTGTGTGTGTTTGTTTTCAAAAAATTTTTTTTCGATTTTTATGGTGATATAAATAAACAAACAACAAAAATGGATCCATTGAGTGAAATACAACAACAACAACAACAACAACAACAACAACAACAACAACAGAATCAACAACAACAACAACCGAATCAATTAGCAGATTTTTCAATAGATAGAATGTTTGAAAAAATGAATAACAATAACAATGATAATTCTTGGGTTCAATTTGATGATCAACAAACATCAGATCAGCAACAATCATCGTTACCTACAACGATAAATTCATTGAAAACCATTGATAGTAAATCAGTTGTTGTTAATGATGATGGTGATGGTGATGATAATATCAATAAAAGTGCAATACGATTAAAATCATCAAATTCTTCAGCTGAAAATAATCAACAAAGTCAACAACAACAACAGCAACAATTTGCAACCATTGATCTTTCTGCTAATAGTACAACTCAAGTTCTTCAGATTAATGGTGGTAATAGTGGTGGCAATGGTGGTGGCGGTGGAAATAGTACAAATATTGCTGGTAGTAGTAGTAGTAGTAGTAATTTAACAAAATCTAATCATTCAAATACATCTAGTTCCGTTTTGAATATTCCAAAATCTGGTTTCAGTAAGTGATCATTGATTATTGAATTGAAACATTTGTTTTTTGTTTACCAAATTTTCAGGCAATGGTGATATTGTTGTTACATTATATCCATTGAATAATAATTGTGCATGGTTAACACCGGCCACATTTAAAGCACATCTTGTACCAGAAGAATTGATGGCACAACCATTGACTGTAAGCATTATTCATTCATTTTTTTTTTTTTTTGTATGAAAAATTCCAATTAATTAATTCATTCATTCATTTCAGTTAACAGTTGAAGATTATGTATCAACGATGAGCATTTTACTTAGTGATTATCGTTTTCATTTATATATAACATTACATAAAAGAATATTAGCATTATGGATTACGTTGAGCATCATTGTATTGTTGGGCATTTTAGCATCAGGTACAAAAGGTTTATCAATATTTTTATCCGGAATCATGTGGCTAGTATTGAATGCATTGGGTATATTTTTGGTCATATTCATTAAATCTCGGGTAAGAAACCAAAAATTTTCGGTCATTCATCATTCATTCACTAATATAATTCACTAATATAGCTTTACAGAATGCTTGAAGAATGTTTATCACAAATAAATTCCATATTTGGTCGCCACAATATTTTTCTTGGCATCGATGATCGTGGTCATTTTAGTTGCCATAAAATTAATTTAATTTTTGTATATTTTGATCCAAAATATTGTATTGTAAGTATCAATGTGATTTTTCCACAATTCATCAATTTGTAATGTGGCTATTTAAAAAAAAAATGAAATTTTATAGAAATTTTTACAAGACATGTTAAAAAACAACAACAATAAAGATTTACAAACCACAAAGCATCAGCATCAAAACAATCGAAATCAACAAAATATCGATACATCAATCTTGGATGGCAATAGTGGTGACAATAGATTTATTGGCGATGATGATAACATTTATATAACTGGTTCTAGTGGTACAAGACAAATATCACAAAAAGAAGTAAGTTGTTTGTTTTGTTTTGTATTAATATAAATAAAATTGACCACACATGTGACCACACACATATGTTTATGAATCTTGTCACCAAAAAAAAAAAAAAAAAAGAAACAAGCCGAAAAACTTTTATATCGATATTCACAACGATGGATACGTGAATTTGGTAGACAACGTATGTCATTATCTATTATTCAACCACAACCGGAACAATCATCATCATCATCATCATCATCATTACAGCCACAACAACAACAACAACAACAATCAAATAATTCAAACCAACAGCAACAGCAACAGCAGCAGCAACAATCGATAAATATAACCATACCATCATCAACCGATATACCACCAAGACATTGTAGACAGGCAAAATGTTTTTGTCAATTTATTGAAGAAATGTATCGTGGTAAACAACAACAACAACAACAACAGCAGCAACAATCATTTGGAAATTTTTGTCTGACATCATTTTTACCATGTATTTCAATGATTCCATCATTTTGTCGATGATTTATGTACAAAAAAAAAAAAAAATTTTTCTTTTCAACTCAAATTTTTTTTTTATTAATTTTTTTCAACTATATCAAATGATTAATTAAATCTGATTTGATTTTGATTACAACATGAAAGCAAAAACGAAAATATAAAGATATAAAGAAAGGACACAAAATTTAGCAGTTGTTTTTAACAACGAAAGAAAAAAAAAACAAAAATGAAACTTAAATATTGTTGCTGATAATGTTCTTCTACGGTAGTGATTTTTTTTCTGTTCCAATTTCGTTTTGCTGTTGATTTATCGATGTTTATTTTTTTTTTTTTTTGTTATGATTATGATTATCATCATCATTGTAGGGTATGTTTATCGAAAAGATATTCACCCAAACCAAGACCACAACGACGTAATTGTGTAACATAATCGGCCAATTTTTTGATTGCTTCAACTTGTTCAGTTAAATAATGTGTTTCAAGAAAATCGGCAAATTGAACATCATTATTTTTAGTGGCAACAGCATGTAAATCCAACAATGATTGATTGACAGTTTTTTCCAATTCCAATGCTGCTTCCATTGCTTCCAAACCGGATGTCCAATCCTGTTTCACTGGTTTAGGTATATCATGCAATACAATACGGCCACCACGTTGATTCTGAAATTTCATCAATTTTTCGGCATGTTCACGTTCTTCTTTACTGGATTCATCGAAAAATTTACGAAATCCAGGCAAAGCAACATCTTCGCGATCAAAATGGAAAGCCTAAAATGGAAAACAAAGATTAAACACAAACAAAAAAACAAAATTAAAATCCAAGGAAAATCTGATATCATTGAAAAACGGAAATGAAATCATTATCCTTTATTTCAAAAACCTTGAAACAACAACAACAACAACAACAATTTTCATTGAATATACCAATGTATATTTAAAAAAAAATGCTTATTCAACTAAAAAATCAGAATCAGCAGCCTTGTTGTTGTTGTTGTTTGTTTATCCTCTTTTCATGTTTATTCAATTTTACAAACAAACAAAATGATCATATGATCATGCGCTGGTTAAATCTAACGATTTTCATTTTTTTTTCATTATTATTGAGACCAATAAAAGAAAAAAAAATTAGAGTACTCGGCAAAATTATCGCCAACATTGTGACAAAGACCAGTGTGTGTGTGTGAGTCATAATCGAATATTTGTGAGTTGGCTATATTTTTTTTTTTTGTTTGTTTGTTTCTTGTCTTGTATAAAAAAAATCATCATCATGCTGTGTGTGTGTGTGTTGTATATTTATGGTAATCACGAGAAAATCGAATGGACTGAAACACACACACACACACACAGTGATTGAATGAATTGAATAAAACCAGTCTGATGATAATGAAAATTTAAGTTTCTTCATCGAATAGGTTTCATATCTTTGAACACAGACACACACACACACACACTATTTCAAGGATTTTAAAAAATATTTGATTTGATTTGATTTGATATTTACCAATTGCTGATAGACATACGACGCATACAATTCTAAAATGAATAGGGGTGACAAAAAAAAAAAGAATATTCATTAATTGTCAACGAATTTTTTTTTGGGTTTTGGTTTTCATTCATTACCAAGATTGATTTGTTTATTAACACCAGCTTCACATTCTTTGTGATAATTCTGTCGAACCATTGAAATTTGAGATGATTCAGCCATGATGATGCAATCGTTTGTTTTTGTTTTGTATTTATTTTTTTTTCACGAAAAGGAAAATTTACCAATAAAAAGAACAAAAAAAAATATCAAAACACAATTTATTTATATATTCGTGATGATGAAAATGAAAACAAAAATGAAAAATCAAAATGAAGATTTGTTTTTTGATTAAAAGGGGAAAAAAAATTGTTTTTATTTCGGACGACCAAACACTGTTGATGCGCACCAAGAATTGTTATTGAAATATGAATTACTTCGTGTGTTTTTGTTGTTGTTGTTGTTGGTGAATGGAATATGTGAAACGCTCGCTGTGTGTGTGGTTGGAAGCAGGTTTTTATATATTGTGGCCAAAAAAAAAAAACACTAAACACCAAAATTATATTTGGCAATGATAAAAAATCGAATGATTGTGGTGTTAGTGGTGGTGGTGGTGGTACACATACATAAGTGTGTGAATGTGCTAGAAAAATAAACAGCCATAAATAGCGGCTATGATGGATGTTGTGGTGTGTGTGTGTGGTATGTGTCCTGCGCATTTAATTTGATCAATAATAATTTCCACTACCCTAGATGTACAATTTTTTAAAAAAAATGGATCTATTTAGTTCGTCATCGATTTAAAAATCATCATCATCAGCACATCGAATTATGATCCAATACATGGATACTTTGAACTTTGTTCTCATTACAATTGATTGATTGATTTTTTTTTTAAACAAAATCTTATCATTGTCATTCATATCTTGTAACAATTGATTTTCATTTTCATTTTCTTTGATTGTCATTTTTTTTTATCCACATCTTATCCAACAACGGCAACAAAAAATCTGAGCACATTATAATTTGATTGATTCGATTAAATTTTTTTTTGTTTTGTCAATTCAATTCATTGTGCAAATGTATCGAACGACGAATGAATAAATCAGCGAAAAAAATGTGCTATTAGATAGCCTTAAAGTACACACCACATTTGTACCAAAAAAAAAAGAATTTTTTTTTCATCTTAAACAAATTCAATTCGTCCAAGGCTATCGGTATGAGCAAAACGAATCAAATAATATGATCTTGGTGGTTGCTGATTAACCAATGGTCGTAATAATAACAATGTTTGAAAATTGCCATTTTCTTTGGCCATTTTTAAATCTATAAATGATCAAAAATAACGATGTAATGAAAATGAATGATTGACCACACACACACACACACACACACACACACCCACATACCTCGTCCATAATTACTGATTAATAGAATTTCATTTCCAATGGAAATGTTCATTGATTGCATTATTTGTTGATAAAATTGTAATTCTGTTTGCCGATAATGGCCATCAATTGTTTGTTCATCAAAATAATAATCAAACATTTCCGAAATATTACCATCATTTGTTGATGTCAGTATCAATCTACATACATCATTATTCATCGTTAATGATAATATTGCCAATTGAATATTCATCGATTTCCATCGATTTAAATTGTTTTTAACATCATGGAAAAGTCTGAAACAAAATCCCTTGTATTTTCTTCAAAGACAAATCAATCAAAGGATCCACTTACTTTGTTTTAATCATTCCTTTACGGTAACCATCCATCCAACATAGACGTAACAATTCCAATGTTTGATTCGACATTGTTAACTGTGTGTTTACCATTTGCCAATGAATAAATTTTTCCACCGAATCAATAACATCCATCCAATTGGAATGATCACGATTAAAATTCAATACTAATGGACAATCTTTTCGATCATTATGAAAATAATGTTCAATAGATTCTTGTTGAAATTGTATGGTAATCATTTCATAAACAAATTCTGATTTTGACCAATTTTCTTCAATAAATCGATGAATATTATCACGAATAAATGGTTCTATACATTCATCTTGCCAATCCAATGGAATAATGGTACCAATTAAATTGAATAAAATAACTTTTGGTTTGAATAGTCGTACCAATTCTGTGGCCATGGCCATTCGAATTTTAAAACAATAACAACAACAAAAATTAAGCAAAGAGAATTTATTTGCAAATCAACCAACACACACACACAATCGACAATCTAAACATACGTAAACAAACGTAAACAAATGAATCACAATTTTTTTTTTTTTTTTTTTGAAAAAACTAAATTAAACTATAATAAGATTTTGTGGACACAAAAAAAAATTCTATAGTGTATACATGATCGAACATCAGATACGAAAAGATCTACAGATTAGAATAAACAATAGAAAAAACAATGGTAAAAATATTTCAGAAAAATTTACAGCTAATCTATTCTCTAATTTATAGATTAAAAATACTTTGACCACACAAAGCATTGCTAATCGTGCCGTTACAAACACCAAACGAATGAATGCTTGACGAATTTTACCAATATGATATTGACGAATAAAAATAATAATATTGAAATATGAAGCAAGTGCATCGTTTAAAAAATATGGAAAAAATATATGCCACCAATTTAGTGATGATGATTTGATGCCAATAATTTCTAATATATTGAATGGATTTTCAATCTTCAATGCCAATAAAAATGTAAAACAGATTGTGGCCAATAGAAACATCCAAAATTCGAATAAAGTTACATTTAACCATCGACAAAATTCTTTCCATGTATAGAACATGACTTGATTAGCTTGCTAGAGTTTTTTTTTCTAAAAAAAAGAGATATGATGATGACGATTATTTATTGCAAAGTTTCATTATCAATTAATTTTCATTATAATCAGATTCTTGTTGTTGTTGTTGCTGTTTTTGTCGTTGTTGTTGAAAAATTTTTTGATATTGTAATTTTTTCATACGTAAATCCGAAAAACGTTGTTCACGTTGTTCTAATCGTGAAAGAATATATCGTTTTTTTTGTTCAACAATTGAATCCGTACCATTGTAATGTACATCTAAACGTTGTAATAAAAGTTGTCGTGCTAGTTTACGATTACGTTGTAATAATCGTTCTTGATGACATTTGACAATGATACCGGTTGGTAAATGTTTGAGTATTACACAATTTTGTAAACGATTTACATTCTGTCCACCAGGACCACTTCCCTGGACGAATTGTTCTTCAATATCGTTTTCATTCAATACGGGTAAACGACTTTTATCCGGAATAAATTTAAAACAAATTTGACTTGAATGAATTTGAAATTGTTGTTGTTTGAAATAATTGGAAACAGCAATAGAATTTTGTAACAACTGAGATGTTCGAAAAAAATGATTAACAATGAGATTAGTATGATGGTGATTACGAAAAAACATTTGAAAATATGTTAAACTATGGCTCGTTTTTGTAATAAAGTTAATCCTTTCTGTCAAAAAAAAAAAAATGAAAAAATCAATTTCAAAATCAAAAAATTCAAAAATCAGAATATCAAAAATACCTTATAATAGTATTCAATATCTTCTGGACGATCAAGATTTCGATTGACACGAAATTCTTTACGAATTCGTTGACAAAAATAATCTTTATTCGTATATTGCAATTCGTTACGACCAAATCGTAATAGATCTTTATATAGGCGACGAACGCAAGATCGTGTAATGATTTTTGTAGTTGAATTTATGCACATAATTATCGACAAAGAAAAAAACAAACGGTACTATTTTTTTTTTGTTTCATTCAAATCAATCAATTACCATCGTTTCATCGAATTATCAGAATCAATGTGTTTTCAACATCACACAAAAGAATATCATCAAAACAAAATTATTGAAAAAAACAGACACACACAAAATTAAACATCCATCCATATATATCGTAATGGATGTATATTTAAATGGAATTTAATTTGAAAATTTTGACAATTTGAAATGTGAAAAAAATCGGATGCAATTACAATGAAATTTTTTTCCTAGATCAAAATGGCCATATTATTAGACAAAAATATCTGATTCAAATCATTCATTTTAGCTAATGCAAAATCAATTTCTTCATGTGTGAATTTCAATTTTCCTTCTTTTTGTGCTTCTTCATCGTATGCTTTATAAATCAAAACAGTGGTCAAACTTGATTGTTTGTTATCATGGAAAATCTTATACAAATATTGTCGAAATTCTTTGAATCGTGCATCAGGCATTTCCGACAATGGTGATAGTTTTTCCTGAGATTTTGTTGTTGTTGACACTTCATCAATTGTTGTAGTCAATCGGTCAGTAGTATCCATTGATTCATCTGCATCAGCCTTACGTGATTTACGTGGTCGATGTGATTCATCATCAAAACGCATTTCATAGACATCATCATTTTTATCATCATCATAGATTTCATTTTCAACTTCTTCCTCATCCTCTTCATCATCATCATAATCATCTTCGTGACGACGTTTACGTTTTCCAGGTTTTTCCAATACTTTTTGAAAATGAGAAAATTGAACCATTTCTACTGCAGCTTTAGCATCAACGGTATCAATCGATTTCGAAAGACGAGCTCTTGCATGAGCCGTTGATAAACGAATCAATGTTTCCAATGTTCGAGCCGTTATCGGTTGTGTCTATTAGATGATGAAAATTGTTAAACCATTTCAGTTTTTTTTTTTTTTTTTTGGTTATACTTACACGACAAAGATCGTTTTGTTCTAAATCATATGTTCGAAGTTTCGAATACTCTTCGGCAATAATATCAATAGCTTCTTGACTTAATTGTGGTTTGATCGCTTTTGCTAAATGAATATATTTTCGCATAAAGTTCATGGTAACGAATTTTTCACTGTAATTGAGTAAATTTTTATAAAATTCAGAAATTCCAGAAAAAAAACACTTACTTTCGTTTACGTTTACCATGAAGTAGTGGATCATATTTTTCATAAATATCTTGACCCGATTCTTGTTCATCGTTCATTTTGTTTGGATTCATTTTGGTTGAAAGAAAATCTGCATTCGTTATGATTGGAAGTGCTAAAAAAGTGACAATAATAAAAAATTGTTTAAAATTTGATTACAAAATCACTTCTATAGTATTATAACACAACACTTACGTTCACCATCCTGTTCACCGTGTGGACGGAATCGATGTACTCGAACAACATGATCAGAAATTTCGGTATCATTTTCAATTTCATTCTTATCCAACATTATAAATAATAGATCAAAACGTGAAAGCAATGAATCCTGCATTCCTATATTATCATTTGGTGTTTTATATTGATCATAACGACCATATACTGGATTTGCTGCTGCCAATACTGAACAACGTGCATTAAGTTGTGCCTGTATACCAGCTTTAGTGATGGTTACTTTGCCTTGTTCCATAACTTCATGAATGGCTGTACGATCAATGTCGGACATTTTATCAAATTCATCAATACAAACAACACCACGATCAGCTAGAACCATAGCACCGGCTTCTAATCGACGATCACCAGTTTCTGGATCATGTGTAACAGCAGCTGTTAAACCGACACCTGATGATCCACGACCAGTGGTTGCCACGGCTCTCGGTGCACAATTCAATACATAACGTAACAATTGAGATTTTGATACAGATGGATCACCAATCAATAGGACATTAATATCACCACGAAGACGTGTTCCATTAGGCAGGATTTTTTCTAACCCGCCAAGCAACATGCAAAGCAATGCTTTTTTAATATAATCATGTCCATAAATTGAAGGAGCCAACGAACGAGCCAAAACTTCGAAAACATTTTTCTGACGTGAAAATCGTTGACAACGTTGCAAATCTTCGGGCATCAAATCAACTGTCAAAACTTCTTTGTTCAATTGAGTGATATTGTTGGCCAACACAACTGTACGAAATGTTCCAGATGTATAATAACCTTGTTTGTTGGGCAAACATCGATAAGGTCCAACAATAAGTACCCGATCGCCAGGTTTACAAACATCGACTAAATCATTATCGGAAATGATATCAACAGATCGAGGCAGTTGGCCAGCCGGAGCTTTTTCAGGCATTTCTTGTATCGAAAGTATCTGATGATCTTTATATGTAGAAAGGCCAAATTCAGTTTCCAATAGGTTTCCATCTTCATCTTTTGTAGGATAAACCGATGACGATGGATAAGCGGACAATGATGTCAAATCCGTATATCGACGTTCATGTTTCTTTTTAGTAGCCGGACAATAATGAACAGAACGAACAATTTTTGGTCGAACTAATGAACATTTTGTAACAATACCTTCGACAGCAATAATGGAACCCAAAAATATTGATGACAAATTACGTGGTGTGACATGATGTGAACCAAAACTGCCTTCTAAGCCAATCAAAAATTCATCAAAATTTTCAACAAAATCCGGTGCCTGATGACTGATATATTCACGAAGAGCATTCTGAAATAGGACAATCTCTTCAATACCAGAACGAAGTAAACATTTTGTACGTAATGGTAATTTTCTACGTAAATCATTAACATTAACAATTAAACGTTGTTGTTGTGTTTTGATCATATGTTTAACAGCTTCAGCATAATAACCTTGATCATTCTGAAAAAAAAAAATTCAATATTTACCATTTCAAATCATTGAAAAAAAAATGAAATACCTCATCATCAAGAAAATCCAAATACTGAGATTGTTTTTCACGTTGTTCAGCATTATCATTATCATTTAAATCTTGAAGAAAAGCCATTTTCATACACAAAAAAAAAAATTAAATCGCAAGGAAATGTAAATTTTTTTTTTTATTAAAAACTGAAATTTTTTCGAGACTTTCTTTGTTCGGCTCAACAGATTTGTTTTTTTTTTTGGAGGGAAAAGTCTAATCCACACACTCACACAAGCTCCGCCTATTTCTTTTTTTGTTACACATTCAGTATTATTTTTTGTGCACTTCATCCACCATCTGGTGGCAAATAAATTCATCATGAAATCTGATGTATATATACAAATTATTTTGTTGTTCTTTTTTCATTTTAAAAATTTCAAAAAACCAAACTGGCCACAAAACTAACAATTTATGGACTAAGATTAAGATTAATCATCATCATCATCATCACCATTAAGTATAACCGGATCCAGATCGTTAACAAAATATCCAATTATATAGTAAACACAAAATCGGATGACCGCGAAAAAAATGGATTCGAAATTAAAAACAAAAAAAAATGTGTTTGGTTACGACTGCGCAACTCAAACATTTTTTTGTTTTCATTCGTTTTTTTTCCATCATCATTTTTCTGTGTTTATATACACACACAATGCATACACATTCATTATTATATTTTATCTTTTAGTTGAATTTTTATTTTTATTTTATCACTAATAATCTCCATTTTGGATGCTCAAAAAAAATTTTTTTTTGTTTGTTTATTTTAATGTTTATTTTGTTGTTGAATTTTTTTTTCTCTTTCTCTTTGCATGATCAATGGATTCCACATATGTGGAAGGTGAATCAATAATTTATCTAAATGATACGACTAATCCATCGATTATTTTGCCCAATCATCAGGTAGGAGTTAACTAATTCGAAAGTTTATCACATGTTATTTGAATTCTGTAATTTTTTTGTTTTCATCTTTAGAATACATCAACAATGAATAATAGAGCGAATGATGATGGCGATGACGATGACGACGACGACGATGATGATGAACCTAAATTGACCTATTCACGTATCAGAGGAGATGTGCCAAACATTCTGAAATCTGAATCAATCACATCGATAGCAACACATGAAAAAGTATTGCCCGCACAATGAAAGAATTTCAATTCTTAATTGTAATTTGTTTTTGCTTTTTTTTATTGGACCTGCAGTTTTTCGTTTTAGGCACCCAATCTGGACAAATGTACGTGTTGAATATTGAAGGTGTTAATTGTTCAAATACATTTAATAATTTAGTAAGTTTTTTTTCTGAAAATTTTAACCATTTGTATTCATTATTTTGTCTTATGATTGATTAAGCATCGATCATCAATAAATCAATTAAGTATAGATGAAAAAGCGGATTTTATTGCCTCGTGTTCAGATTATCGTGTATGTATACAAGAATTTTATACGACCGGTGAACCACATTATACGACAACATTTGAAAGACCAGTAAAAGCTTTAGCTATTGATCCACAATATGGAATAACGAGTGCACGTCGTTTTGTTATCGGTGAAGCTGATCGTCTTATATTTTTTGAAAAAAATCTTCTTGGACGTTATCGTGCAACATGTTTACAACAGGCACGTGGTGTTGTACGTATAGCCAATTGGTTTGGTAATTTTATTGTTTGGGCTTCTGATCTTTGTCTAAAAATTTATGATTCACAAAGTAAAACAATAATAACACATTTGGATCGTGATAAAGAAAATGATTATCGTATTAAATTGGATCTTTATCAATGTAGTTTCACATGGCGTGATAATCGTACATTATTGGTATCATGGGGTAATTCAATCAAAATTTGTAGCATACGACAAAGAAATTTTGATTCCGAACTTTCATTAACACAAGCGATGATGGTCCAAGAACGTATTCGTAAATATTATGTAGAATTAGGTTAGAATTTGTCGATAATAATAATTCAACGATTATCGGTTTTTTAATAAAAAATTTTTTCCCACCAGTCAATTCCTTCAATATTGATTCTCATCTTATAGCCTGTGGAGTGGTGCCATTCGAACAAGACAGATTATTGATTCTATGTACACAGAAATCATTTCTTTATCCCACTATTGATGATTCCATATCCGAACAAAATGATGATTCAATTTTGAATGAAAATCAAAAATTGGTTCGAATAAAAATGGTTGAACCAAAAAATGCCGACATTTTCACTGATATATCCGATGATATATTGACACCGAATGAATTTTTGAAAACAGTACAAAAAACACGTGACATTCAAATGATACATTATCGTGAAGAAAATGGCTATTTGATTATATTTCCACGTGATTTGATTATTGCAAGACCACGTGATGAAGATGATTCTATTGATTGGCTTTTAAGTCGAAAAAAATTTCGTAAAGCATTTCAACGAATGAAAACAAATCGTATGAATAATCGTCAATGTTTTCGACATACATACGAAAGTGTTGGACAATTATTCATTAAACATCTGTTGGTAGAAGCAACATTGGATTCATGTGAAGAAGCTGGTAAAATTTGTCATGAACTTTGTTTGAAAAATTGGAATCTTTGGGAAATTCATTTGAATCTATTTAGACAACATCATTGTATTCGTGTGTTGGCCAAATATCTACCGATAGGATTAGATAATCAACGTCTTCTTGCACCACATCTATACGAAATGGTATTGATCGAATTTTTAGATCAAGATGATTCTAATGGATTTTTACGAACAATTCGATCATTGCCACTTCATCTTTATTCAACAGATTCAATGATTGATCGTCTTACAACAAAATTATCATCACAATTACAACAGGACCATAATCTTTTGGAATCATTAGCTGAAATGTATATTTATGAATGCCGTTATCAAAAAGCTTTGTTTATATTTCTACAGACTGGTAATGCTAAACGTGTATTTGATTTAATATGGAAACATCGGCTATTACATCTTGTTGAAGATAGAATCGTTGAACTTTTAGAGTTGGATGCCGAAGAAACTTCACGGCTATTAATAGCAAATCAAGATTTAATACCATGTGATAAAGTTATTACAAGATTACGGAAACATCCACGGCTATTATGTGCATATCTGGATCGTTTGATTCAACGTGATCCTGTTGCCTGTACACGTTATCATGATCTCCTTTTCGATCTATATGCTAAACATATTCCAGACAGAATTGTTCCATTTTTGCGACAATCAAATTATATTCAATTAGAAAAGGCATTAGAAGTTTGTAAAAAACAACAGCTAACCAAAGCCGTAGTGTTCATTTTAGGCCGAATGGGTAATACACATGAAGCTTTAAGGATCATTATCGATAAAACCGACGACATTAATGCGGCAATAGATTTCTGTAAAGAACATGGTGATGCTGATCTTTGGGCAGAATTGATGGACATTTCAGTATCGAAAACGAATTTATTATCAAAATTATTACGTGAAGTTGGCACGAATGCTACGGATCCAATATCATTGATATCAAGAATACCTGAAGGTGTATCGATACCAGATTTAGTACCATCATTAGTGCAGATATTACAAGATTATCGTTTAATGGTCACACTGGAAGATGGATGCCGTCGTGTACTAAATTCAGATTGTTATCAACAATTCAGTAAAATGTATCGAATGCGTTCAAAAGCGGTTGTTGTTCGTGATCATGAACGTTATTGTTATTCATGTCAAGTGCCAGGAATATTAACACATCATCATCATCATAATCATCAAGCAATGATTACCACATATGGTGAATACGTTCTATTTCAATGTGGACATCTTTTCCATACAAATTGTTTAGATTTTACAGCCGATGTGGATATCAATAATGGAAAACAATTAATTCAACAGGTAAATATAAACATGTTATTTTTGTTCAAACACTGATTAATTTCACCTGAATTTTTTTTCCCGAATCAGAAACTATGTCAAATTTGTAAGACGAAAAATGGTAAAAATCAAAATTCACCAGTCATACCATCATATTCATCAACATCATTGACAAATACAATGGCGGCAAACACAAGTGGCAGCAATCATCATCAGCTCACTTATAGTCCATGATAATAATAATAATTTTTTTGTGTGATATTTTTTTAAAAAAAATAAATAAAAAAATGAAAAGTTTATTTGTTTCAAATTTTCATTTAAATAAATGTTAATTGATCACCCATAGGTATTTGTTCGATAAGTATAACCTGTTCTTCTTCTACGGTTCCAGTAACAGAATTCATCACCAATTGCTCATCATCATTATCATCTTCATCATTGGCTGTTATTTCGACAATTTCTGTTGTCAATTTTTTCTTATTTGTATCACCATCACCACCACCATCATATAGTATTGTTTTATCTTTATGACTTTGACGACGTAAATGATTATGAACATTTATATATTGAGCCAACATAATTCGTTTACATGGTTTACAGAGAACATTTTCACAATGATTGTATAGAATTAAATGTTCTGAATGTTTTTCTATCAAACGATTCAATCGATTTTGTTCTTTTTGTAGCAGATTATCAATTATTTCTCCGATATTTTGTTGCACTTGTGATGATTGATTATTATCAATCGTGGTAATCATTGAATCATCACCATCATCATTGGTTTTATTTTGTTCCTGAGCTTTTCGAGCAATGTGTATCGAACGGCCAAGATGATTTAAAACATTATTATATTTAGTGATGAGAATTTTTTCACATAAACGACAATAGATTTTATTTGCATGTAATAGTAAACAATCTTGATTCGTTTCCATTAATGTTTTCAATTTTTCTTTTTCCATTTGAATTTTTTGTCTGTAAATATTTTCATCATTGGACAAAACGGTACCATTATCATCTGGTAACCATGATGATAGACGAGTTTTATGTGATCGACGTTGACAATGACGAATGAGTGTATAATAACGGGCCTGTATGACTTTATGACAAACTTTACAATGTATCAATGATGGTCCATCCCATTCAAGACAATTGGCATTTGTATCGACGAATTGTTGAATTTTTTTATTGCCAGCAAATTCTTTACTTGCATATTGTTTTGATTGATTTTCAAGTTTCATCATATTTTTCAAATGTAAACGATCTTTGAGTAAATGTTTTTTGATCAACAACAATGAATCACGTAGTTCTATATCACATGGTATGCAATGAATTTTATCAAATTTTCGATTTGCCAGCACTCCGGATTGATATGCATTGATGATGATTTCGATTTTATTCGTTTCAGGATCACCAGTTTCATCTTCATCATCGCTTACTAGAACCAATTCATTTGTGGCTAAAGTTATGCATCGATTACTACCACCACCACCACCACCATTAAAAACTTCCAATGATCGACGACTTTTGCGTGATTTTTGTGAATTTTTTAGAAAATTTTTCAAATGTTCCACATCATTCAAATGTTTTTGTACATTTTCATCACTATGATCAGTAAATTCGAAATGACAAAAATTACAATACAATTTTATATTTGATGAAAATTTAAACACACCACAATGATGTTCGATTAGTTTACGAATTTGTTTTGCTTCTTCAGTTTCATAAGCATTTTGACTGTTTTGAATTGAATGAAAAAATACAATGTTATCAATGTAGAATTTCAACACAGGAATTTGACACACTTACCAATTATCAATTGATATTCCACCAGAATCGCATTCAGACATAATGATTTTATAAATTTTAAAAATAGAAATTCGTATCAGAAAAAAAATCAAAATATTTCAGGGCATTCTATTGACATCAAAAAAAAATACAGAGAAGGTGGGTGTGGTTACCGATCAACGATTTATACTATGATCACATGATCATCAAGCACCACCTATTCGGTTGAAATAGACAAGAAATTTAAAAATATTGGATTTTTTTTTTTTTTTTTGTTTTTTTTTTGTCAAACAAATTGAGCATGTGTACATTTTTTTTTTAGTTTGTGAGGAAATAATAAAATGATGTGTTTCATTTTTATTTTAGACCGATTACAATCAATGATATATCATCACGAAAATTGCGAACAACCGATTGTGGTAATGTCAGATAGGATACCAATTTTTGATGTCGTCGTTTTTGTTGTTCATATTGATCAACATGATGTGAAAATTTTTCTCGTTCTTCTTCTTGTTCCATTAATAATGGATCTGATTCTGGTACTTTACCGATATTTGGTCGTGGCACTGATTGATTGGCTGAAATATCGCTTAAAGCAGTTCGTAATAAAAATGTACCACAATTAATATCTTCGATAAGATCATCATCGGCTGTAACACGTTTAAATGTTGTTATTGGGCCATGTTTTACCTGTTTATTTAAACGATCAATAATCTCTTGCAATGTCAATGATGATGAATATTCATCTTCATCGTTTACAGGTTCAATTTTAAACACCTGTGCAGATGTATAGGCCATAATTTGTTGACTAAGATTTTGTCTATAACGATTCACAGCTTTGACCACTTTATATGATGATTCAAACTGTTCCCAAAGGCCATCGGTAGCCATTATGACAAATCGATCAAGCCACATATTATCATCTTGTTCCAAATCGAACATTGTTATTTCAGGTGTAACAATCAGATATGGTGGTGTCCGATAAAAAGTGGGAATAACATGACTACCAAAAGCTCGTGTAAGACCTAATTGTTTCATTTTATCCACTGACCATTTGAATGGAAAATCACCAAATGCACGTAATGGCATCAACTGGTCCTAATAGCCTATGTTCCCGAATAATAAAATTATTTTCTTCCTTTGGATGTTCTGAATATATTCGATTCAATTCACTAACATTATCGGAATTATGTTCACGTGATAATTCAATTACACGTAATTTTTGTTTCTTTTCCAATGGTGATAATCGCTGTTTGGATTGTTGACTGATTTGTTGTTGTTGTTGATGATCATCGACACGAAGCAATCCCATTACAGCACGACAATCACCAGTTGAAGCAATGTAAAGTTTGTTGTCAATGACTAGAGCCACTGTGGCACAAGAACCAGATACGGCAAGTGAATGATAATAGTGTAATAAAAGATTCGATGTAGTATTAGTTAGATTCAATTCGATCTCTCGGTCAAGATCTTGATCACAGCGGATGAAAGCTCGTTCGATAATGGATTTGATTACATCATCTGTTTTTTCATGATGATGTTCCAATTCATCGATGGCAAATTTTTGTAGAGCATCCATTTCGAATTCTTCAATCCGAGATTGCAACCGACGTGCTACTTCAGCTTCATATATTGAATGAATGTTATGATAGAAATTCGATGGTGATAACGAATGATCAGAAACTATTTTAGCAATATCATTGGCATCAATTGAGGCCGTGTCTTTAGGCTGAGTTAAATTTAAGTGTCTAGCTTTCAGTCCAATAGCTACATAATGAAACAAACGTCGAGCAATGACATCGGCACAGAATCCACCACCATGGCCATCGAAAACACCGAATATAATTGATCTGTGATCATCTTCATCGTCCAAATTTATTGTGGAAACACGTAGTCGATCCTCGATTGGATGATTTGAGGCCAATTGATTCGATTCAACTTGTGAAATCCATGGATGATCGACTAATGAATATAATTTTTTCGGTTGTGGCTGCCTCTCCGATGATGTGATTCGTCGCTGTTTCCTTCGAATGGCTTCAAATTTTTTATTCTTGGCAAATTTTTTCGATTCCAGAACATCGAGGAAATTCTCCAAAAATCGCACGTTTTCAGCTGCAGTAGCATTGTTCAGCACCAACGATTCATTCGTTCGTAATATGGCTGTAACCTGAGAAGTTCAATGGAACGAAATTCGTCTTGATTTAATCGTTAGACAAAAGGGTCAATTACTTGTTCTGGGGTTAGATCTGGTGGTGGATCATCGGATTCGCCTCCTATTGCACTGAAATATGATTCTATCTTTCTTGGATTACGGAAAAACGATGATGCCAGACATCGATATTGTTGTGCATTGTAATGACCATCGTGTTTGATCGACAAGATCAAATAATCGGCAATCGATTTTGAATATAAAACTTTATAATAATATCGAAATGTAATGTCCTTGTCACCAATGTTGGCAGCATGTTCCATCTATAGATAGATCCTATGGATCTTGGTTGAATTTTTTTTTTGAAATCAAGATTAAAAAAAACACATTGAACCTACAGCTGATGTTTGGCGGTCGACCGAACAAAATATATGAAGATGATGATGATGATGCTGCCATTTAAGCGGACAACAACAATCGATATAATCGATATGTTAAGAATTATTTTTTTTCGAATAATTTTTAATTTGATTTTTAATTTAAAATCATCAAAAAATGATTATTACATTAGAATATTTGGAAAAAGGAAATGATTAAAATTATTACCAATTATTAATAAATCATTATCATCATTAATGGCTAAACAGTTTTTCAAATGAACACGTTTAAAATATGTTGAATGATGATTATCGATTATTGTATCCAAATTTTGACGTTCAATAAGCCAATATTGATGAGCTGTCAAAACACAACTGAGATGTTGTTTTAGTGGATGAATTTTTATAACACTCATATCATCATCATATTCATATTGATTACTGAATAATGAATGTTTTTGTAGAATTTTACTCGAATTTCGTAGATCTAAACGAACCAAATTTCCTGTTTCAGTTCCAAATATCAATTCATGTTCGGCTACACAATCTAATGTTGTTGGTTGACTGGTCACTTGTGCTATGGTTGAAGCTGGTCGATCCGTACGAGAAATACGAAAATCCCAAAGTAATATTGAATGATCTGCACCGGCTGTTATGATGGTATTATCGGAAACATCATCCATACGAAATACAAGATCGTTGATCGGATCAGAATGAGCATTATCATAATAAGTAAGAGATTCCATATCTCTATTTGCATCAATCAACACTAATCGACCATCGAAATCACCACAAACAAGACGATCCTGTTGATTAGGGCTCAAAACAATTTTGGTGATTATATTATGACAAAATTGTTTTGTCGACAGAATCGAAAGCTTTGTATCGAGCATTATAATATGTCCGGAATCGAAACCAACAAAAATTCTGGTTAATGAATCATCATGATCTTTTCATTTGTATCACGAATTGCAACACTATTCGCTAGTCCATGACCAGGATTTAAATAATTGGCAACACAATTGGGAATATCTTCATATTGATTGAATCTAGTAACGAATCCTGATCTTATCGACGGATGAATGTGATTAGATATCAGAATGAATGAATTATCTGATTTCAATCTGGCAATATCAGTGTAATGTTCACCGACCATCATATTTTGATTGATCATGTTGATAATGTTGTCCATTTTGCCACAATAGCTTCAACTGGTTTTGATTCATCCATTTCAAGCTGTGACGATTGACATGATAATTCCACACCTAAATGATGATAAATTCCATCGGTTGGATTTCTAGCTTGTTTTTCTTCCATTTTTTTTTCTATGAGAACAACAATGAGAATGTTTAAAAATTTTTTAAGAATGATGAAAAAAAAAAAAATAAAAAAAAAAATTTAAATATCCAAACACATGTGTGTTCACAAAATTGAAAATTCCAATTTTTAAATGTACGATTAATAAAGGACGTAACCGCTTGAATTAAATCGAATGGGAACATTTTTTTTTTTTTTTTTATTTTATCATGATAAATGTGAAGATTCATTTTTCGGGTGTGTGTGTGTGTGTGTGTGAATACAGCTGTGTGGTTGATTTTTTTTTCTTTCATTGGTGCAAATGGTCAAATGGGCTCATTGAAATGATTTTTTTTTTGGATCAATGTGGACAATCGTTATATTATTCCATTTAAGTTTGTCGCAAATGAAGAATTTCTGTAAATTTTTTTTCAAATTGAATGTGATATATATATCTTTGTATATGTGCGACTGTATAATTGATGAATTTACAACAACAACAAAAAAATTCTGCATCATAATTACTCGACAAAATTTGAATGAATGAGTACACAAAGTGAATATTGAACAACAACAACAAAAACGAATTTTTTTTTTACCTGGTCCATTACCTGATTATTCATTTGTTATATTCCATTTAAGTTTGTCGCAAATGAAGAATTTCTATATATTTCTATATGTGCGACTGTATAATTGATGAATTTACAACAACAACAAAAAAATTCTGCATCATAATTCGACAAAATTTGAATGAATGAGTACACAAAGTGAATATTGAACATTTTTTTTTACCTGGTCCATTACCTGATTATTCATTTGATTTATATATTTCTATTTATTTATTATTTTGTCCACTGTCCATTGAATGGTCAATATTTTACTAGATACTTAAAATGACACCCGGTTTCTTTCAAAGTTGGTATTTATTCAAATCTAATCTATTTCCGTTTTCATTTTCCGATATTTATTTATTTATTTTTTTTTTTGTTAGGAATTCAATATGAATTTCAATCTATACGTTGTGAACCAATTGTTTATCATAATCCTAATCATCGCCATCAACATCGTCATCAATCATTGATTCATTGGATTAAATTTCGTTTACGTGGTAATCGTTCACGATTATTATTGATAACTTGCGTCACTATAATCATATTGTTATTAATGTATATTGGCGGTATATTTGTCCATCCATTTGAAACAATATTTGATGGTGAAAATTTTCATTATCCACTTTATATGAAAGATTTTCGTTATTTTATTGAAAATGTTAAACAAAATTCGGCCAATAATGCACTTAAACCTATACATAATTATTCATATGATTATCATTTGAATCCTAAATTTAAATGCCAGCAAAACTTCGATAATATGGGTACAAATTCAACATCATCACTGTATTCAAACAATCCAATAACATTGTTGCTGGTTATTAAAAGTGCAACATGTAATTTCCTGTTACGAAATATTATTCGCCAAACATGGGGTAATGAACAACGTTTTAGTGATGTTCAAATTCGTACTGTTTTCATGTTGGGCAAATGTTCATCATCGGTGAATCAATTTCGTTGTCCAAATACATTCCATCATTATCCGAATATAGTGTTTACGAAAAAATCACAAAAATTTCGTTCCATATTTGCGTTCAATCAAACAGTTGATTGTCAACAATTGATCGATATTGAAAATCAATTCTACAATGATCTCGTTCAGGCGGATTTCATTGATTCATATTATAATAATACAAAAAAAACTATGGCCTCAATACAATGGACTGCACAGAACTGCCATCAAGTGCCGTTTATTTTATTTGTTGATGATGATTATTATATATCGATAAAAAATTTGCTCAAATTTACTCGTAATTATCTACGTCTTATTATACAACCAAATTCATCAATGCAGCCATCAAATGATTATGATTCCGGTTTAAACGATAATCAAGATCTATGGCAAGATAATGATTGGTTTTATAAACAACAACAGCAACAGCCACATCAATTTGATGGCCGATTATATGTTGGCTATGTATTTGCTAATTCACATCCACAACGACATTTAACATCAAAATGGTATATTAGTCTGGATGAATATCAATGGAATAGATATCCACCATATGTAACTGGTGGTTGTTTTCTAGTCAATAATCAAACAGTTATCGATCTTTATTATGCTAGTCTTTATAGCCAACCATTTAAATATGATGATGTTTATCTTGGCATATTGGCATATCGTATGCAAATCAATTTAATCGATAATAAACAACAAATGTATTTCTATCCATTGGAATATGATGGAAAAAAATATTCAACAATTATCGGTTCACATGGTTTTCATGATCCAAAATTTTCAGAGCTAAAATCAATGCAGCCATCAAATGATTATGATTCCGGTTTAAACGATAATCAAGATCTATGGCAAGATAATGATTGGTTTTATAAACAACAACAGCAACAGCCACATCAATTTGCTATGTATTTGCTAATTCACAATTTAACATCAAAATGGTATATTAGTTTGGAATGAATTTAATCGATAATAAACAACAAAATCTATCCATCGGTTTGATCCAAAATGCAAGTTTGGAATGAACAAAAATCATTTGGTAATGCATAATATATTTTCTAAAAAAGTTTAGCTCATTATTATTGTGTTTGTTTTAAAATTCAAAAGCATAATAATGGAATCGATGATTAATAAAAATAAAACAAACTCAGTTCAATATTGATATAGTTCAAAACAAAAACAAATCATATCGTTGATGATATTTTTACAACAACAGATAATCAACCAAACGAAGAAGAACAAAAAAAAAACAAACCAAGTAAATAAACAATTGATTGATTGATTGATCGATCGATCGATTGATTTCTATGGATACTTTTCCCATACATATGAAATATATATTCAACACATTCAGTCATCATTATGTCATATTTTTGAAAAGTGAAAAAAAATATTCGTTTTTCGTTGATGATTGCAAGTTGCAACCGTAAAATTTTTGTGTGATTGCAACAAAATCATCATCACCATCACCATCACCATCATTGTTATATCATCATCATTAATAATAATTTGGACACGATTGATAATCATGATGATCAAGACTAAAAATCATCAATCATCATCAATTAATTGGTGGTTGTGGTGTGGTGGTGGTGTTTTTTTTTCAAGGACAAATGTGTACCGGTTTTTTTTATTTATTTATTCGGTATGAAAATTTATTAGCCATTCATTGAATCAAATGCAATTTTCGAATTTTTTTGTTGTTGCAATCATCAATAATTTTAGCGCAAAAAATGGATCAATTTTTTTCAAAATTGAAAAAAAAATTGTTGGTGATTCATCACCATTGCTAAAATTGTTTTTTTATTCGGTTTTGCTAGAAATTTCTGTTTGTGTCGTTGTTTTTTGATGATGATGATGATGATGGGGCAATCATTATCAACCACACCATCATCATCATCATCATCATCATCAACATCAACATCAACATCAAGATACCAAATAGACAAATTTTTTTGTTTTGTTTTTATTTCTGGTTTGTTTATGTATGTAGAAACAGTTGTCATTGATCAAATTAAATGATGATGATGATGAAGCAGCAGCAGCAGCAGCAGCAGTATAGGGAAAAGAACCAGAAACAAAACAAAAAAAAAACGGATATGATATCAAACTTGCCAAACAAGCTGGTTTTTTTTTTTTTTTTTGATTATTATTTGGATGGTGACAATATATTCAACCATCAATTGTTCATCATACATATAATGATTGACATTCGAATGTATATATATTTTTTATGATAATAATAATTATCAATGGTAAACATACACACACACACAGAGACAGAAATATGGCTTTGCGATTCATGTTTGTGTTGTTTTGTGTGTGTGTGTGTGTATGTAATCATTGTACATACCTTCTTTTTCTTCTTCTTCTGGTTGTGGTTGTGGTGGTTGTTTCCATCCTAAACACCAACCAACCAACCAACCAATCATTCGAACATATATAAATTGGTCATATGAATCGATCGAATCGTTCAGTCGTTACCATCAATCAATCAATCAATTTATGTACATTTTGCGTGTGTGTTAATTGAAATTGAAATCGAAACAAAATGTTTTCAAAATTTTCATTTACAATTGTGGCAGTAACCGTGTTTATATTATTGATCATCATCGATAATAATGATGGTGCTAATGCCAAACATATTTATATACGTTATAAACGTTCAATTGAACGTGAAAGTGATCCAATAGTTCCGTTGAAAGAAAGCACCGTAATAGCACAAGGTGATGATGAAAATGATGTACATCGTACGGTCAAAGATTTTAGCAATGAAATTGCAACCAATGAAAAAGGTGGTAAAGATTTCTTTGAATTTGATTATAATCCACAAAAAGATTTATTTAAATTTTCTGGCCACGTACCACAATTGTTTGCCGGTAATAGACATTTACAAATGTTTGAACGTAAGTCACCAGTGTTTTGATTTTTCAATTCAAACAATAAAAAAAATTTTTTCTCTTCATCGCACAGAAATGATGCAACAAATGTTGGCCAATACACAGCAAATGTTTCAAAATTTTCCAATGGCCACTTTTAATAATGATTATCCAGAAAATTATAATGGCACCACTGAATCGGAAGTGATTATTGGTGGTCGAAGATTCCGTAAAAAAGAACGTGTCATTAATCAAACTGGTGAAGGTACACAGTTGAGTATTGTGTCCACAATTTATGAACCAATTGAAGATGATAATGAAGTGACCACTATGACACCGTTGAATAGAGAAGGTGTTACCGAAGGACCAGTAATTTCTTATTAAAAAAAAAAAACAAACAAAATTCTATCAGATCATTGACCAAATGTCTATTTTGACCCATTTTGTTTGCTATTAATAATAATAATAATAATCTCTGTATAATATAATTTGAAATGGAAACAATAAAATTCGAATTTTTCAAAAAAAAAAAAAATTTCATTTCATTTCAATTTTTAATATTTAAATTTGCAAATTCCCATTACTTTTTTACTCTGATTGATGTGACAATGTTTAATTTCGTATATCGATGGTTGACAATCAACAACAGCAACAACAACAACAACAGCGACAGCAACAACGGCAAACATCATCATCAATCAACATTAATCATTGTCAACAGATTATTAAACATGGTTATCGAATAAATAATCTAATTGGAACCGGATCATATGCTTGTGTTTATAAAGCACAACAAATACGATTCAATCGTATGGTAGCAATTAAATTTATTAATTTTAATCAATGTTCAGATTATTATCGTAAAAATTTTCTCCGTTATGAAATACATATCATACGAATGTTGAATAATAAACCACATGTGAATATAATAGATTTCATTGAAGCATTCAATATTGATCAACCACCAACAATCAATGGTTATGTTATTGTTATGGAATTTATTGAAAATGGTACATTAAGAGATCGTATATTGGAAAAAGGACGACAAAGTGAAAGACGTTCACGGCTATTGTTTCGTTCTATTTGTAATGGTTTACTTCATATGCATGAAAATCAAATAGCACATCGTGATGTTAAATTGGACAATATTTTACTTACCATTGATGATCAGCCAAAAATTTGTGATTTTAGTTTATCGATACTATGGACAAATAATAATGATCGTAAAAAATTATGTGAAGATTATTGTGGAACTGAATTGTATTTACCACCGGAAATTTATCGAAAGTAAGTAGGTAAAATGAAATGAAATTAAAAAATCAAAAAAAAACCAAATCAAATTCCTTACAGAATTCCTTACAATCCAATGGCATATGATGTTTGGAATTGCGGTGTATGTCTATACATTGTCACCAGCGGTATGTTTCCATTTCATTCGGATGATGAACAACTGGTTGTACAACATCAATTGAATCATAATTATCGTCAACAATCACAATATCAACGATTATCCACTAATCTAAAACAATTGATCAACAGCATGTTGGAACCAGATTTCAATAAACGTTTAAATATCAATGAAGTTTTATATTCAAAATGGTTCAACAGTATTAGTGATAACAATAGTATCAATATTCAACAACGTACAATCAGCCGTAATAGTAATAATAATCGACGACAATCATTATTTCAATCGATATCGAAAAAAAATAAATTTTCTACTTTGAATATCAATAAAAAACGATAATGGTGAATGATTAATGGTAATCATTTGCATATTTATTAATTAATCAAAAAAATTTTATTAAATTGCTAATTCATCAGCTGGATGATATAATTCACCTAAAAGTCGATAAACATCTGATGGTGTTGTTCCGCCAGTTTTTTTTCAAAAAAACAAAACAAAACAAATGAAATAAATGAAAAAAAACGAACATCCAACAACAACAACTTACATGTTTGAAACAAAAATTGTTATCAATTCAGGTGGTACATAATCAAATGCCGGATTCACTACCTGACATTCAACCGAATAGCTATATTCATAATTAAGAACTTTTTCTGGTGATGAAAATTTATTGAATGCCATCTGGTCATAACTGGCCATATGTTTGGGCGTCAATTTAAACATTCCAGTGCAGACAATAAACTAAACAGAAAGAAAAAAGAATTTGAGATGTGAAATGCAAACATGAATAATAATGCAATATACTAACAGGAACTGAATATTGTTTTGCAGCCAAAGCCAATGTATATGTACCAGAAACGGATTTAATACCACCATTGGCCATTATTGAATGTGTACCGATTATTACTTTATTTACACGAGACATGACCGAAAATATTGCCGAATCATGAATCAATATGGTGTTTATATTTTCTTTAGCTAAACTAATGGCCAAATCATGGCCATTATTATCTGGACCACATTCAGCAACGATAACCTGAAATTTTCTTTTCTTTTTGGCCACAAATTTAAGAAATGCTTCAACCGTTTTTGATCGGCCAATAGTAAGAATAACTTCATCCCAATAGATATGTTCCATAGCTTGTTGGGCAATATTTTCACCACTTGTTTCCAATTCGCTTAATAGTTCACCAATAGCTATGCTTATAGAATCTTTTACAATGGTCATTTCTTCTAATGTAGCTTCTTCTTTACATTGTTGATTATGTGACCATAAATTTATTATTGATTCAAAACCTTCATCATCACGTATACCACGAATATGATTGAATTCTTCACGAATTATTTTCAATATTCTTTTCACCATATTATCAATCACTGGTTCTGTTGGCTGTTCTTTGATTAATATTTTTCCAATTTCTTGAACTTTTTCAATCATATCTCTTTAATTTATTTAATTAATAAACTTTGTTCCAATTCAAAATAATAACATACCTAATTTTTGTCCATTCAGTATTGATAATCAGATCCAGGATCAACAATACGGTTTGTTTGGCAAAATTATATGAACCTGATATTTGTCTACAATGAAAAAATAAAATGAATATATCAAAACACGATAATTGTATTTATATTCAAAAAAACACAAAACACAAACCCATTTTTTATTTGCAGTAAAAATTCATTCAATTTTTTATCATAATCCATTTCCATCTTGAATTGAAAAATTATGATGAAATCCAAAAACAAACGGCGCCACGAAACAATTAAAAAAAAATAAAATAGAAATTCCAAACCCACATGCAGCAGGTATCCTTAAACTATTTCCCACCAATGGATCCTGTTTAGGTGGAAATATACAATCTATTGATCTCTCAGCCGCTGACTCTCTCTCTCTCTCTCTTCATTTCACACATTCATGACTCAAAAATTTGTTTATGTTTAATTGACGCCGTCAAAAAAAATTTTCTTTTTTCTCATTTTTTTTTTGTTCCACCACTCAATTCAACCGTAACCGCAAATAAAATTGTATATTCGTTGTCCATACATATCATCGTGTCAATTTGGAAACATATTAATCAGAAGAATATATATTCAGTGGTAAGTGGATCATTTTTATTCGATTCTTTCAGGATTCTTTGATGATATAAAAGAAGAATTTTCATCTTCCATATGCTATTTATTCGGCTTTTTTCGCATCGAAATTTTTTTTTTTTTTCTTTAAAAATTTCTATTTACACGTCGTCAATTTTCGAATTCATTCATAATATATGCTTAGCCACGATATTATTTCTATTATAGTTCATTTTTAAAACATTCGATTTTTTTTTTTTTGCTGATTACCACCAATCTTTTTTCCCTTCCCTTGGCCCGTTTTATTGCTTGCTTGCTTACTTTTTATCTATGATTATTTTTCCAAAACACTAAAAGAACATGATTCATTAGCTATCTGGTTTCTCTGGTGTGATGACATCATTGTGCGTGAAACGAAAAAAAAAATGATTACATTGATCATCATCATTATGTGATTATTGAAAATCATTGATAATCTCAAATGCAACAAATGCTTTTTTACATATTTCATTTCATATATGTATTTTAATAAATTGAAATGTTAAAAAAAAAAAAAAAATACATATGATTCATATTTTATCTATCCATCTCCATCTCTCTCTCTTTCATATTTTAAAACGTAGAAAAACAGTACAACAACAACAACAATAAAATAGAAAAAAATCAATTTGTAACCAAAGTAACAATTTTTTTTTTGCTTTTGTTTATGAGATTTGCAAAAAAAATGAGTAGTGGTTTTTTTTTTTTTTTTGATGTTGATGGATCCCCATTGTGTTTATAGTGAGAGCAGTGAGAATAGTTTTGCCGATATAGTCTGTGCCGCTGTTTATCTTCTTTGCATTGTTTCTAGTATTTTCTTTTTCATACGATTTCTCTATATTGCACACTATACTGTTGTTTGCGACACGACAAACCACCACCACCAATGTTGTAATTCTAATTTATTTGTGTGTTTTTTCAACAATTTGTGTTTTGTTTTGTTTTTTGTATTGAATCATCAATATTAAATTCGATTAATTGAATAAACAAATTTCGAATCAAAATTTTTTTTGTTTGTTTCTGATCTTAGAAAAAAAAAACAAACAATACAAGATGTATAGTAATCAACAACAACAATATGGTACACCACAAGGTGGTCAATATCCTGGCCAATATCCAAGTTCAGGCTATCCAGATAGTCCACCACAATATAATCCTGAAGCTGGTTTTGGTGATCAATTTGAAGGATTTAGTTCGAAAGCTGTCCGTCTTGGTAAGTTATCGATATGATATGTTATGTTAGATAGAGATTGATCGATGAATGTATGAATTTATGGTAATTGTATTTTGTATTTTTTTATTATTTGTGTAAAGGTTTCATTCGAAAAGTATATGGAATTTTATCGGTTCAACTTGCCATCACATTTGGATTTGTATTTGCCATCTCTGGCAGTGACAAAGCCCAGGAATGGACCAGACAAAACAGTTGGCTAATGTTTGTGGCATTGTAAGTTTTATGAAAATTAAAAATTTCAAAATTCTTATATCATATCAATGAAAATTATTTCCGTAACATCATCTATAGGGCCGTAGTTTTGGTAACAATGATTACTTTGGCCTGTTGTGGAGACATGGCTCGTAAAACTCCACATAATTATATTTGTTTGTTCTTATTCACGTTGGCCCAATCATTTTTGGTGGGCGTTACAGCTTCACTATATCAATTCCAAATAGTTATATATGCGGTATTGATAACTGGCGTTATTTGTCTTGGTTTGACATTGTTTGCATTCCAAACCAAGATTGATTTCACTATATTCAATGGAATGATGTTTATAATATTCATTGTGTTTGTAATGTTTGGTTTCATCATGATGTTCTTTCCACGAAGTAACACTATGCATTTAATTTATTCTTGTATTGGAGCCTTCCTCTTTTCAGCGGTAAGTGAATTTAATTCTCATTATCTTAATGCTATGATGATATATATTCATTAATTTAATTGATATGGTGAAAGCGGTAGCACGAACGGGATTATTTTTTTTTTTTTTTAGTAAAATAGCCTATAACCCCCTTATATAATTTAATAAGATCGTTTTTATTTTACCAAATTTATTTGTAATTTTCATTTTTCTCTCCTTTTTTCATCATCATTTCGCTGCTATCAATTATTTTAAAAAAACAACAACAACAACAACAGTTCTTAATAATCGACACTCAAATGATTATTGGTGGTTCACATAAATTGCAAATATCAACCGAAGATTATGTATTTGCAGCATTAACACTTTATTTAGATATTATTCAGATATTCATGTATATTCTCAGCATTCTTGGTGCTGCTAATCGGAATTAGAAAAAAAAACAAGAAAAACATACCCTAATTCTAAGATGATAATTATTGTTCCCGAATGCTGCTGCTACTGCTACTGCTACTGCTGCTAATGTTCTATGACACAATTGAATCAAAAGAAGAAAAAATTCATTTACGATATAAATCATTATAATCAAAACAATCATTATAATTATAATTATAATTATAATAATCTCTCATACAAAATGATTTGATTTGATTTTCATCTTGTGCTTATCATTTTAATCCACTTATATATAGCACAATAATAATAAACAAAAAAAGAATATTCTTCTAAGCACTTCATGTTCTAATTCGATTAACTAACATATATTTCTATTTGTTTTTTCTCTTTTTTTTCCCTCGCTTTATCCTCGGATATTTAACGTATTCTTTTTTCTGAATTTTTTTTTATCATTATATGGCTGTGTTGAATAATAATCTAATCGCTTTTGCACCAAAAAAAAAAATGAAAACAAAATTCTACAGTTTCTATTGATCGACACGCAAATGATTCTTGGTGGTTCACATAAAATGCAATTCTCTGCTGAAGATTATGTATTTGCTGCATTGACATTATATCTGGATATTATCAACATCTTTATGTACATGTTACAAATATTACAAGCAGTTTCAAGTGATTAATCTGATTGTTGTTGTTGTTGTTTTTTTTGGTGTCCGAACAAATTATCATCATCATGCTATATAATCAATCCGAACATTTAATCGATCATGATTGCTTTGCAATGAAATTCTACCACAACAACAACAACAACAACAAAATTGAAATCAATGATCATCATCATCATCATCGTTCTTCATCTATTCTATTCTATTCTGTCATCCAGTTCTTTAAAATTTTTTTTTTTTTTTTTTGGCCATAATTTAGCGCTTTTGTTTGTTGCTATATCGTTTCAATCACATCATCATCATCATCATCACATCACATTATTATTATTCCTACTCCTCACACACATATATATTCATAATCTTGCAGATGAGTAAAAAAAAAAGAGAGACTTATTCAAACAGAAATGTAATGTGCAAAAACAAATGATGAATAATATTTTGCTATATTTATAAAAAAAATAAAAATACTTAATATCTGATGAATAAAATGAAAAAATTTTATTAATTCATTCATAAATAGTGTGTTTGTTTGTTTATTTTGTTTACAAAATTTGTTTATCAGCCATCAAATCAATGATGATGATGATGATGATGAATGAGCATTAAATTTTCTTTCATAAAGATCAGTTCGATATTGTATACGATCAATATGTTTAGAATACATACATTTCAATGTATCATATAATAATGGTATTCTATGTAATTGATCGGCTGATATGATCATATTATCAAATGCTAAACCAATGTTATCATCATTGTTCAGCTGTTCCATTGGTAATAATGGTAATTTACCATATCGTTGACTAAAATGTGTTAATAATGTAAATTTTGCTTGCATTTTATGGCCAACATTGATTGCTTCAGATATTGTTGAATGAAAATTTGTTTGGGCAAATTTATGCAGACCATCTTCAACTGTTGCTTCATGTATCAATAGATGACAATTATTATGGCCATATTTTATAAGACGATCACATGGTTTTGTATCACCAGAATAAATGAATTTAAATCCACGTTTATCAGTGATACCAATGGCAAAAGCATATGCACAATGATCCACAGGTATTAGATCCATTTGTTGAATCTGTAATGTTTTCATTATATTCGAACGAAATTGATGAAAAAATTGATTTCTAACCACATTATAATGGTTATTATGATTTAAATTTATAATTTTTGAATTTTGTATAAATTGATGTACCATTGGTGGTAATAGAATCCATAATTTGTTCATATTGTTTGATTGACATAATTGATTACGTTTTTTCAATAAATTAATCAAACCTAAATGATGATCTGAATGATGATGTGATATGAATATTGTTTTAATTTTGGACAAAATTTTTGCAACACTGTTTTGGCCATAAAAATTCAACAATTGTCCATAAGTATTTTCACCACAATCAAATAGAATGGAATTTTCTTCATCAATATTGACTAAAATTCCGGAAACATTACGTATAGGTAATGGATGCGATGAAGCGGTACCAAGAAATAAAAATTCTGGATATTTATGATTCCATAGTCGTGAATGATTTGTTATAGATGATTGTTTTTTACGAAGATTTTCAATTGATTCTTCAATTCCATCACGTTCTGATCCATCTTTGTGTTGAAGTGCATCAACAATGGTAGGTAATTGTGGAACACAGTCCGTATTTATTTCCGACATTTCTGTTGTTGTTGATGAACGAAATATATATTTGATACCGGTTGGTGAATAGATTACATTATTATCATTATTATTATTCGATACACTAATAGTGGGTGATTGTTCCGTATTTCGTAAACACGGAAACAGACAAGAATCCAGTTGATTCAATTGAAGTTGAAATCGATAATTTGAACGAAGATTAAATGATGGATTGCTATTGGTAATCAATAAATGATGACTAGAATGATGTTGTTTGAAAAAATTATCATACGATTTTTCTTGTAAATTCAAATCATTGGTAAAATGAACCATAACATTGCATTTTGGTATGAATTCATTGATCACTTTGTTTACGGACAAATGTTCCAAATAATTTTTATCAATACATTCGAATATTAAAAAATTTTGTTCCGGTCTATCTGGATCACTTACATCGGATGGATGAATAATTTGGCCATATTGATTTTGAACACATTGATTCTGTTCCAATTCAGTTACCAGATTACGTGGAACTTTTTGATGAAAACATTTTTCCAAATTTATTCTACCTCGTTGTGCTCGTAATGTACCAAGATATATGGCTGTTTTTATATTACCAAACACGATGGGAACAATTTGAATGGAAAGATTTTCATATACAAAATTCTTATCATCAAAATAGTTATATTTTAGCCGTTTTAATTTTGTATCAAATACCGTACAATATTGTATGAATGTTTGATTTAAATCAGCATTGTTAATGTTTAAATGTCTAGAACCAGAATCATAACGTGCAAGTAACAATGAAGTCATGCCACTGTAATTATGCCATCTATTTGAAGTGGAAAAAAATGTATCAATTTTCGATGGTTTAAAACCTAAATCACATATTGAACGTTGAAGACCTTCACCACAATTGAACATAAAAATATGATCATTATAATCAAGAAATAATGAACGTGGATTTCCATCGGCACCATTGCCAACAACACACAATGATACATTATCATCATTATTATGGACATTTGTTGTCACATTATTTTTCAATAAATGTGACAAATAACGAAAATCTGTAATTGTCCATAGTGGGCGAATAAATGTTCTTCTGATGGTGGTCAAACTGAAAAACATTTTGAACCCAAAAACAAAAACAAATGAAATCCAGAAACACGTGAATAATTTTAATAATAAAAAAAACATAATGGCGCCATCTGATGAGAACAAATTTAAATTTACAATTTTTTTTTCAAATCCATTTAATTCATACATGCAAATGAAATTTTTTTTTCTGTTTGTTGTTGTTGAAAATATATTTACAAAATAAAATAAAATAAAATCTTATTAACCCTATATAATATATATATATGTGACAAACCATTTGAATGAAAAAAAACCCGTTAATTGGTTAAAAACAAAGACAAACAAACAAACAAACAAAGACAAACACAGACAAACACATACACAAAAGAATAATTTCAATTCTGAACGACATAATATAATTCCAATATAGTTTCTAGTTTTTCCCAACCCCCAATTTTGTTGTTAATGATGATTGCAAAGTGGTCCATATATTTATATTTTCAACCAATCTTGCTAGTGAAAACTTGATTTCCTTGTAGAATAAAATTGACATTGGCTGGAACATAGGTTACATTATTATTATTATTAGCAGTAGTAGTAGAAGCAGTAGTGGTATTAGTACTATTTGATGATTGAATTTCATTACTATTGTTGTTGGTTTGCTGTTGTAATTGATCTTGATTATGATGATGATGATGATGATGATGATGACGGTTATTAACATCATTTGTAAATGTAACCGGAACATTTTGTTGTGAATTTGTTGTATTTGTCATTTGAACAACATTAGCAACTGTACCAGCAGTAGTACCTGTTGTTGTCGATGAATTTGTATTTAGATTTGTATTTGGAACTAATGCAATTTGGCCAGATTTTAATTGTTGTAATGAAAATGAAAGTGGTATACGTATAGGTATCTGTTGTGTTCCATTTTGATGATATTGACCGGTGGCTGTTGTGCTTACATTCAACAATACTGGCTGCTGCTGCTGTTGTTGCTGCACAGGATGATGATGATGATGATGATGTGATTGAATTGTCGATTGTTGATTACTAATATTCGTTGTATTAGTTGTCGTATTCAAAGAAATCATAGATGTCGAATGATGATTATTTTCATTGTTATTGATCACTTCTAATGAAAAAAAAACATTTATTAATGTAAGATAAAATAACACAAATGTTACCTTTATTGATGACATTCGAATTAGCTGCTTGAATTAATTTTAAATTTGAATGTTTTATCACAATTTGATTCGGAGTCAATTTCGTCATTGTTGAGGTATTGTTTATGGCTGATGATGCTGATAATGGTAATGATGATGATGGTAATGATGATGAAACGGTAGTTGTCGTGATTATCGTTCCTGTATTATCACTAGAAACATTTGTAGTATGAATTTGATGATTATTATTGATCAATGAATTCAAAATGATAGTTTGTTTAGAAGCCTGATGCTGTTGAATGTTTGATTCATTGTTTTTCATTGTAATAATTTGAGATTGTTGATTCGATTGCTGTTGTTGTTGTTGTTGCTGCTGTTCAACTTTTAATTTTGCTAAATTTTGCTGCCGTAACAGATACATTTCAACAGCTTGAGTATGTTTCACTTTTGGTTCTTCATTGCCGATTCGTTGAGTAATTTTAATCATTTTTTTTCCATTCTCTGAAAATGTTTCAATAAATTGTTCGATATAACGACGTTTCATTTCTTTTGGACCAAGATAAAAACTAGAATTCGGGAAAAAAATGAAAGAAAAAGAAATAAATAAAATAAATTCATCATCTATTATGATGATACTTACTTTGGTGCCGATTTAGAATCACCATTCTTCATGTTGATAATATTACCAAAATAAACATCATCATATGGTCGACGAAATATGGTCAATGTTATAATTGTTCCGGTTGTGTCTAAAAATTCCATTCGATATTCTTCAGTTTTCATTAATTCAACATTCGATTGGCAATCTTTCGGTTCGATCAATTGTTTAGCCAATTTTTCTACATCTTTATATTCAGTTTGCATTATTTTCATCTGGCTTTCAATTGCAGCTGAATTTGGTTTCATTTTTTGCTGTATGAATGTAGTTGGTTTTTTGGTTTTCAAAAAATTGAGTAATCTAAATTCTTTTGATTGATCATTAGTGATTATTGTTTTGAGTCTTTTTCTTGGCAGTCTTAAGAATAATTTGTTACCAAATATTAATTTTTTTCTTGATAATTTTTTCGATAAAATGCCTATACATGGATTAGGATCAAGACATAATTTTGGCGATGTTAGATAGATCAATTTGGATTCCAATTTCAGTCTAGATGTATTTGTCCATATATAATTCTTGTTTGTCAATCCAATGATCTTTTTTACATCATTATAAAGGCTTAAACTAGTTGGCTTTAATAAAATGAAATATGAATTGAAAAAATCTGTCGATGATTGACGATAATCACGTATTTCGGTAATAATACAACCATTATAGTAGATATTTTTAAAATCAAACATTTCTATCACATCTATCAATTTCGGTGGCAGCTCTTCATTATCGATATAATCAACAATATGATTATCTTCACAGGTAAAATGGACTCGTTCGAATACTGTATCGGAATCGAACAATTTGATACCGAAACTGATGATGGACCATCATAATAATAATAATAATCGAAAATGTTTAGAAAAAAAAACTAAATATAAATGTTCATAACATGGATAGATACCTGAATTGATGATTTTTGAACAATGATATCACAACATAGTCCAATTGTTCATTGACGATTAAACTATTTAGAAAATAGTTGCAATTTTTCAGATTCTTTACGATTATATTCCATTGGAACAAAAATATGATTTTATTACATTTTTTTTTTTTTTTTGAAAAAATTGATCTAATAAATCACATTCATACCTTATATAAATTGACCAGATATGATTTTGAATCAACATCTGCATTATTAAAATTATAATTATCTTCTTCAACTTCTTCTTCAGTTTCACAGGCTTCGTTGGCCGGTATTTGATGCATCATTCTATTAAATATGATCGAGGACATGGCCAACGGTTATTATTATTTATATTAAATATCAAGATGATGATAATGGTGGCCATTAACAAGTTTTAAATACAATATAAAATGAAAATAATTAAAAAAAAATTTATAAAAAAAAAATAAAATAAAACCAATTCTAAATGATGAACATTTCAACCATATGTAAATTAATAAATTCATTTATTATTGAAAACACACACAGAACACACACACGATCCATGGACAAACATATAACACACAAACACATAAACACACACACACACACACACACACACACAAACACTGTGCACAGTGGTAATAAAACAACTGTCAATCAATGGGTAAAAATAATAATAAAAAAAAGAAAAAGAGAAAAAATCCCTTGGTGTTTTGGGGCTATATCCACATGTGTGGATACACCTAAACATGAATCAGATTCTTGATTCATCGAATGTTTTTCCAACCATTTGTGTGGCAATAATTCCTGAATTTGGTACGAAACGTTTCAACGAATTTTCCTTTTCCGTTTTTTTTTGTCTGTTGGTAAGTTTTGACAATTTTTTTTTTTTTTCGTCTGCATCATGCCTCATCATTTCATAATAATTAATGAGGTATAAATATATCGTTGTAATTAACAGACAACAGAAAGAAAGAAAAAAAATTTTACCTTTATTAAAACATTCAATCAATAACGAACAACAATGTGAGTGTGTGTGTGTGTGTGTGTATAATAATAACAATAAATATCATCAATGTATAATAGATCAAACAATGTGAAATAGAACAAAACAAGTAACCATAATTCGAATGTAGAATAATGGCAATTTTTACAATATATTGAAATGAGTTTTTTTTGTTTGTTTGTTTGTGTGTTAGTTACCAACAACAACAACAATAAAAAATCGACCACTTCTGGTAGGGTCACAGTGTGTTTATCAATCGATATAAATAATTAATTTACAATAAATTTCAGGCCACACACGTACACACAGGTTTTTTTTGTGTTTATAGTTTCAATGATGATGATGATTCTTTAAATTTTTTTTTTTATAAAAGGGTCAAATGTTATTTTTTTTGTTTTGTGCATAAATAAAACAATTTCAAACTTTCATTTGATTCTCATTATTATAACCATTTGATTTCGTTGTTGTTGTTGTTGTTGTTGCTGCTGTTGATGGTTGCGATTCTGCAATCTGATTTTCCATAATAATAGTTGACCTAATTTTATCATTTTTTACTACCTGTTTATTACTGTTATTGTTGTCCAATTTTTGTTCCAAATTGTTGTTGTTGTTGTTGTTTGTTATATCAATTTTTATCTTATTATTTCTATGCGTATGTTGATTGAAAAATATACAGAATTTATTGAACATTGTAAACAATGATGATTTATTACCACGCTGTAATGGTTGTTCATCATGGCCAATATTGATTTTTGTTTGTTGCGATTGTCTATTCATTGATGTCGATTCATTCTTTCCCATTGTTGTTGATGGTGATTGTCTTGCCTGTTTCAGCAATGATCTTTGTCTCATCACAAATTCATATGTAGATTCACCAATTATATCTAAATATGTATTGATGATGAAGAATTTAAAGAATTTGAATCAAAATGAAAAGAATCGTTTTTTTTACTTACTTAAAAATATATGAAAAATACAAAGATGAAGTAATAATAATGTTGAAATAGTTGATACAACCAATGTTATATACAGAATGATTGACCATATAATTTTAATGGTTCCTTCGTTATCAAATTCATAATGGACAATCACTAATTTTGATGCTATTAATTAATTAATTAATTAAAGAATGAAAAAGAGAGATATAGAAATTAAGAATTTTTTTTTTTTGCTTCACACTTCAAAATTTCAATTTTAAATTTTCAAAATTTTTGTTCAAAATTATTACTTTGCATAAAATCCTTTACATGTAATGAAATGATCAATAAAATGGCTGTAACCAATATGGTCAATGCTTGTATCAATGCCGTAATCATTGACAATACAAACCAATGATAATTTTTACCACCAACACAATTATTTAACCATTTACAATGATGATCAAAATTTGAAACACATTTATTACAAATACTACAATGTTTTGATTTCATATCCACATTTGATTCACATATATAACAGAATTGATTTTCAATCACATGTTCATGTTTATTACGATCAAATTTTTTCGGTTTCAATTGTTTTTGTTCACTATATTTGGCCAATACATTATTATCAATTGGATTGATTGTTGATGCAATAATATGTGTGAAAAAATGCATTAAATAAATGAATAGATTATATATTAGAAAAGGCAATACATTATTATGATTATTATGATGATCAATGGAAGACGACATGTTCGGTATGAATAGAAGAAAATTAATGAAACCAAAAACAATATAAATGGTCCAGCCAATTAATTGAAAATAATGAAATGGCCGATTCCAACCATTATAACGGACAAATTCTTGTTGTTGTTGTTGTTGTTGCTGTTGTTGTTGATTATTGGTTGTTTTTGTTGTTGTTGTTGTTGTTGTATCTAATAAAATTGATGATTGATGATTTTGATTTTCTTTTGGATGAATTTGAATCGTCATTCTGTTTCTTATTTTTTTTTTCTTTTTTTTAATATTTCATCCGATTATTGAAAATTCCATTTTTTTTCCCATTATTATTTGTTCAATTTATAAAGCAGAAATAGAAATTCAGTACTAAGAACCATAGAAACCAAATTTCTTTTGACGTTTGTCGATGATGATGATGATGATGATGATGATGGTAAAAGACGTTGGTCGTCGTCGTCGTTGATGGTCGTATGACGGCCAACTAACAAATGATGATGAATATTACCGTTCCATTTGTATGGCATTGACTCACTTTTTTTTCTGTTTTCTACTTTTTCAACATATGCGACAATGGAATTGCACAAAGAATTGTCGCGCGTGTATTTTTTTTTGTTCGTTGTTGCTTGTGTTTCAGTTTCAAATAACAGCAACGCAACAATACATTTGCTTCTCTTTGTGTATATGTGTGCGTTTTTTGTTTTTGGTATGATATATGGGCAGTGTGTGTGTGTGTGTGTGTGTGTGTATGTTTCTGCCAGTGAATCCAGTAACATTTTTCTTCTTCTTTTATTATTATTATTCCACGAATTCCATGGTACATGTTCCACACACCATTATTATTATTGTTGTTGTTATATACACAATGATGATGATATACAATTACGTAATTCTTATTCTTTATTTCTAATATATTTTGTTCATTTATGTTATTGTTCAAATATATATTTCTATCCAATCATATATGATAATAATAATAATAATGATATTTCATTTCTATTTTTTTCCAGAATAATTTTATTCCATGCGCTTTACACATACATATATAAATTCGGCCCTATTTTATTCATCATTATTTAACAAACTTGACCAATTGTGTGAAATTTGGCTAACCTAACCAATCTTTTTTGTTGTCAATTCATTCATTAGGTTTCATTTTTTTTCCCCATTATTTATGATTCTATTTTCAAGTGGGCTTTTCATAATTTTTTTTTTCATATCTCTCCTGTTCTTGTGTTTACACACACACACACACACACACACACGGTGGTAATGGTAGAAAACAGTATATATCGTGTGTGCATGTGTGTCAGTGTATCCAGAATATTCTATACCGTCATTTTTTTTTTTTTTTTTTTTTTAGTTTGACGGTCAAATTATCTGAAAATTCATTAATCCTGTTTCGAGTGCGAGTAGTATTGTTTTTTTTCGTTATTAACAATAAACAATAATCAATAATAAGCTCGTTGATTGAATATTCTTTGGGTATTGATGTTATGCAACAAAAAAAAAAGAAGAAAGAAAGAAAAATTTCTAGTTTCTAAGGCATTGTTTTTCAAGTTAATCAAGATATCACCATCAACAATGTTTTGGTCGTAATAGATTTTTTTTTTCATTTTACCCAACATAATGTATAGGCACATCTTTAATCATAGGGCCATATAATGATTATATAACACACACACACACACACACACAGACACAGATTGTTATAACCAAAATCAAGAAGCCCCATTCAAGGCTATTCAGCTACCACGCTAACTGTTTTTGGGTTATAATTTGATTATGATTTTCTTTCATGCATATTTGTTACTTTTTTTTCGCCTAATACACTTCTATTGTTATCTCCTTTTTTTTATTGTAGCAGCAGCAGCAACAGCAACAGCAGCAGTATGTGCCAATTTATAGCAAAAAAAAAAAAAAAATAATGACAAGACAAAAAAAAATTGAAAAAAGAAAGATGGTGATAAAGACAATGAAAAAAAAATGAAAACTTTATCATTATTTTATCTTGAATATGAGAGAATATTTCTGCATAGAATACTGTTTTCTATTAATGATGATGATGATAATGATGATGATAATGATTGGATGTTTTGAATGCTTCATCATCCAAAAGCCAGATTTTTTTTCTTTCCAGAATATTCTATATACATATATTCTGCTTGTTTGTGCATATTTAATTCTGATTGATTAATTGAAAAGTTATCCATATAACTAGTTTTCATGTATGTAAATGAGCGAAAAGTTTTTAATTTTAATTTAATTTTTTTTCTATTTTTGATAGTTGGCTATATTTGTTGGATAAATGATGATAATAATTTTCATTTTTCCAATGAATCCATTTATACCTGAATGAATGAATGAATGAATGATGTGAATTTTAAGTTTTTATTTTCAATTTCATTTCAAAAGAAATAAAATTTGATGCTTTTGATGGTGTGTGTGCGTGTGTGTGTGTGTGTATGTGTATCATTGACTAATATCAAATTATCTACATTTTAGTCAAGCCCCAGATGTGTCCTATTTATAATCATCTTCAACATCATCAGGAAACTTTTTGTAATTTGAAACTTGAAAAATAATGTGTGTGTGTTGTGATGCACAAGCTGTTGTATTGTCGTCATGAATTAAACAACTGAATTGAATGATGATGATGATGTGTTTTATTAATAATTACCCGGAAATTTTTTTTATCTAATTGAATTCAATTAGATGAAAAAAAAATTTGATCGGATTATTCGAAAAAAAAAATTTATTCCAAAAAACACACATTTCTTCGTCATATATGGTGGAAATAAAAGTTTTTTTCATTTTTTTCTCTTCTCTTTTCTTTCAATGAAAAAAAAACCGTCTGCTAATGTTTGAACTTGAATCAATTGATCGATGATGATGATGATGATGATGATTGAATTGATCATCGATATGATGATGATAATAATATTTGTCTTTACTACACACACACACACTTATGTACACAAGGTTAAAAAACAAGTAGAAATACTAGCACCCAAAACGAATTCAAAAAATATTTTGGCCTCGAGCCCGTTGATTTTCTTGTTTTTTTTATATATATTTATTTATTTCTTTTATTGCTCATTTTTTTTTCATTTATCTGAATCCGCTTTGAATTTTTTTGTTTGTTCACACATTACCATTTAGTTGATACATTTTTTTGATTTATATTCTTTCATTCGTTTCTTTCCACTTTATGTCTGTCTGTTTGTTTTTTGCTTTTTTTGTGTTTGTTCCAATTCCATTTCAGCGTTTCTTTTCACTATATATAGTGTGTGTGTGTGTGTGTGATTGTTTTTCATGTTCCGTATCCAATTTCTTGTTTCATTTTCACATTTCCGTTTTACAATTTTTCTTTTTTTTTTTTTTCGTTTTTTTTTTTTTTATTCCATTTTCATCTACTTGTTTTATTTGTTTGTTTGTTTGTTTGCAGATTAACAAATAATAAATAAAATGTCCCAAATGTCTTCGACAATGAATGAAAAAACAACAACAACAACAACAAAGAAAGCCATTATAATACAAGCTTAAAAGATTATTTACATTCATCACAATCGCATCCAATTACACGTCATTGGCAATCACAATCGGTACAAAATTTTTCACCAAAAGATTTTATATTACCATTGTTTGTACTTGATGATGATTATGCTAACGAATCAATTGAATCATTCCCTGATGTATATCGTATGGGACAAAATATTCTGATCGAATATCTAACACCATTAGTGTCTGATTTGGGTCTATCATCAATACTTTTGTTTCCTTGTTTGGAACAACAATATGGCCAACAAGAGGAAAAGAATTTGGATGATGCTTTCAATGTTGAAAAGAATCCATTGTTAAAAGTTATTCCGGTTATCAAGAAAAAATTTCCACAATTGTTAATCATAACAGATGTATGTCTTTGTGCTTTCACCGATCATGGTATGTCTTTGTCTTTTTTTTTGTGTTGATCATTTATCTTCTTTTTTTTCCATCATTTAATTCAATTTAAATTTAATTCATTTATTATAGGACATTGTTGTATTTTTGATCAACATAATGGCCACATTGATAATCCAAAATCAATTGAAGCATTAGCAAAATTATCAGTCAAATATGCACAGGTTGGTGCCGATGTAATCGCTCCAAGCGATATGATGGATTCTCGTATTGCTCTTATTCGTGAACAATTAACTTTGGCCGGTTATTCACATGTATCCATACTATCGTATGGTGCGAAATTTTCTTCCTGTTTTTATGGCCCATTTCGAAATGCAGCCGGATCGGCACCAAAATTTGGTGATCGTAAAAAATATCAATTACCAGCCGGTTCACGTGGTATGGCTTTACGTTCGATTGATCGTGACATAAGGCAAGGTGCCGATATGATTATGGTTAAACCAGCAATGGCTTATCTTGATATTGTACGATCAATTGCCGATCATTATCCAAACTATCCAATTGCTGTATATCAGGTTTCAGGTGAATATTCAATGCTTAAACATGCGGCACAAATTGATTTATTCGATTTACGACAAATTGTTATGGAAACAATAATCGGATTTAAACGAGCAGGTGCATCGATTATCATCACTTATTTTACTGCCGATATTCTTCATTGGATTCATAATAATAATGGTGGCCAAGAATTTTGATTATAATGAAAACAAAAACCTGAATCATATTACGCACGCTATTCTCATTTTTCCCCCCCATTAAGAAAAAATGGTGATGACAAATTTTCATTTCTTACCCAGTGAACTAAAAATATCATCAACAAAAATGGAAAAATTATTATATATGGTGCCTATGCTGTTCCAAGAATCGAAAAAGAAAATTGATTATATATTTCATAGTGGAATATTTTTTCATGAGAATTGTTATTTATTACAATTTTTGCGTGATATAAAAAAGTTCAAAGAAAAGAAATTTTTTTTGTTTTCCATATAATTTTTCTCAAAAAAAAAAAAACAACACAAGACAGTTTTTCGTGTTTACATGGCAAAATGATGATGTGTTTTTTTTTCACGTGATATCAACAAAAAACAAATGTGTGTGTGTGTAATGTATAATGATGATCTGAAAATAAATAAATATAAAACGAAAAATGAATGTAGATGTGTTTGCGAAACTGCGATCTGTTTGTGTTCTTTTGGATCCAGGATTTTTTTGTTTTTGGCAATTTTCTTTTTTTTTCAAACTTTCCACCTATAAAAAGTACCTGCATGGTGGGTGGTAAAAGATTTTGATTTTTATGTGAAAAACCGATTTACTGGTTTAGTTTTATTTTTATTTTTAAAATAATTTGTATGTATTCTGTATGTGGGCGTGTGTGTGTGTGTGTGTGTGTGTGTGTGTGTTTGTGGCCATAAGTAGAGAATAATTATTGATTATTAATAATTACAAATAAAAATGAAAAAAAAAATGTAAACAAGAGAAAAAAAAAGTTTTCACGAAAAACGAATGACAATGACGATGAGAATGGACATGATTTTTTTTTCTTTTGTTTTGCTTCTTTATTCCACAATTCTGTTGTTGTTCAGAATTCATTGGATGTACATTTTTTTTATTTATTGCACAAAAAAGGGAAAAAATGATGGCCCCATTTTGTTCAAAATTTTGCCAATTGGATCCATTTGTTAATTTTGTTTTTATTATTTGAACAAAAAAAAGAAAAGAAAAATTCAGTTTCGATTTTTTTTTCCTTGGTAAATCAAAAAAAAAAAAAAAAAAATTCTTATTGTTTATGTATGTGTGTGTGTCTCATTTATTTTTTTTCTGAATTAGAAGTATAATTTTTTTTTGTATTTGTATATATATTGATGATCAAAATTTCCAATGATAATTGGAAAAAAAATGATGGTTAATCCATTGTGGCCTTAATTTATAATAATAAAGTTGACATTATTTTATTTTATTTTCTTGATCATACATCATCACTACTACCACAACTACTGACAGTATTATTTTGTTGATGTTTTTGTAATTGTTGTTGTTCATCATCATCATCAACAACATTATTATCATTATTATTCAATGATGATGATGAATTCAATAATTGGATATTATCTTCTGTTTCAGAACTACTAGTAGCTATAATTAATTCATTTTCATATTCTGATTCTGATTCATTATTACTACTATTTTGATTGTCATCTTGATTTGTCATAGCTGCATCTGTTGTTGTTGTTGTGGTTAACATTGATGATGATGATGATAATGATTGAGGTTTCGGTAAACGGATGTTCATTCGATTCACATTTAAAGAGATATTTTTATCAAACAAATTTGATGAAGTAGAAGAAACTCGAAGATCGATTCCCATTTCATAATCAGATGAATCTATCACAGATAATGTTTTCGTTGTAGTTGTGACATCATTATTTATCATATTATTTCCAATCTATCTCGTAAGTGAATCGTAAAAAGAATAATAAAAAAGTTAGAAATTAAAGAAAGAGAATGAAAATAATACAAACATAGTCTCTCTCTCTCATCATGAATATCATTAGCATAATATAACGACTACTATATGATGGATAAAAGTTACTTATCGATGCCTCATGAATGATTCGATCATATACTACTTTTTCCCATATACAATAAATATAACTTGAATTTTAATTTATACAAACAATACAAAAGAGAATAATAAACTTACGTTGTTTCCTTTTGGCCATAATTTCGTTTCCGATGATGATGGTTCGTCAAATGTAATATTTGTTTCAACTTTACGATCATTAAGAGTAGAATCGATAGGATTTTCATCAACTTTTAGTCGATCTTCTTCATCATCATCATCATCATCATCGTCGTCATTATCATTATTCGAATCCAATAATAATGATGATGATGATGATGATTCAGTTGTGGATGGCTTAGCAAATGGCAATAGACTACTTCCGGTAACTGATGAAAATAATGATTGAGTTGTGGGCAATGCCGACAATGCATATGATGGTATCGACGATCGATCGTTAGTTTTATTAGCAACTTCCGTCAGATTATTTTGAGTATTTTGATCAGATGCTGTGCTATTATTTTGAGATTTAGTATCAGTATTAGTTTCTAAATCTCCAGCCACCACAGTTGTAGTCGTAGTTGTTAATGATAATGGTGATGTTGTTGTGATGGTTTGATCGGTAGAGCTTGTAGAAATAATACTTGTATTACTGTCACTATTCTTGGTATCCAGGCTATTGCGAAGATCATTTTCATTAATTCGATTACGCATACGAGGATCTCTTGAAATCATGCTGTTATTTGATGTTGATGATGATGATGATTGTGAAGAAAAAGATTTGCTTATTGCCGATTGTGATGGCAGTTTTTGTCCCGTCGTTGTAAATGATTCAGTTGGTGATTTTATAAAATTCGATTCTTGCACCGTCAAAGAATGATCTGGATGTTCAACAGCGTTGCTACTTGATTTGAATCGAGGCGATGGCAATGGATTGTCAAAAAATCGTTTTAATCGAGGATCACATTTAAGAGATGTATCCGCTTGATAAGATTCATAATAATCAGAATAATCGATCGTATTTACTTCAACGCCAATCAATTTGTATTTGATGACTAGATTCGGGTTAGATTTGATCGATTTACTTTCGGGTTTCATTTGAGTTACAGTAGATACTGTAGGATGTGTTGGCATCGATGATGTTGGTATCACATTACCGCTAGTCATGCTAAAATTGGATGAACTATTCGTTACTAAAGATGTGGCTGTTGTTACGATGCTAGGCACTGAGCGATTTGAATTATTCAGACGAGGATCACGAATTCTTGGATCACGAGATCTTGGATCTTGCGAAGGCTGTGGTTGAACTGGTAATTTTGATAATGATGGATCCATGTTATTAATACCAAAAGGTTTCGAATCATCTAATAATGGTTGTGGCAAACCAAATGGATTATGATGAGGAGAATTAAAATTCGTTACATATGGAGGCGTTGTTTGATCGACAACTGAAATGGTTGGCTGAGCCATTGATAATTGAGGAGGCGGCTGTGGTGATCCACCAAAAGCAGGTGGAAGTGTGAAAGGTTGATTAGGCATAATACGAAGATCTTCATCTTTCATTGAAGCTTCAATCAATCGTTTCTCTTCTTCACTAAGCTCTTCTTTAAATTGCGATTGCTGTAATGGTGAAGCAGCTGGTACAATCGAAGGATTCGGAAATTCCGTTTGCGATTCAAGTGGTGTTGGCTGCTGTTTACGTATTTGTTCTTCTTGTTTCAATTTTTGTTCCAATTCTTCAATTTCTTTCAAATGTATCATTTCATCATAATCATCTGTATCGAGTAGATCATTATAATAGTTTTGAATGTGCGCCTCAATTACTTCATCATCTTCTTCGATTCTTGGTGTAGGTGGTTTCTCTGTTAAAGTTAGGCCATCATCAATACTGAATAGATTACGTTTTGAACCAGTGTATGCTTGTTCAGATTCTTTCAATTCCAGTTGCCATTTCCAAGTTTCTAGAGAATTTTTCATTTTCTCAGTAGGAGCTCCAAGTAAAACTTTTCGAGTTTTGTTTGATAATAATGCTAAATAAATTTTAAAAAAAAATTTAATACAATCTATTTCATTAGCCAAAAAAAAAGTTTCTACCTTCATAGTCATAATCATTTGAGTCTGGATCATCGTCATCTTTAATCCAATCATTTGGATTATTAATAGGCCTATAGGGCTTTACTTCATCTGGAAATGTTCCTGAATCTAAATAGCTTCGTAGTATCTCTCGACTTTCTGGAGTGAGTGGTTGATGACTGAATCGACAATTCTCTCCAGAATAACATTTAGTATTTGTATGGAAAAATTTACATGGAAATTCACCATGCATAAAAAGACAATCATCTCCTTTACCTAAAGAAATGAATCAAACATTTTTATTATTATTATTAAAAAATCAATATATATTTTAGCATGAAAATCTTTCATTACAAATGACATACCACAAAAACCTTGTAGGTAAAATTTGCACAATTCTTTACGTTTAGGAATAGCAACATCGTGAGAATAAAGACAATCGGATCCTTTGTGACATTTGCCTTCCATATAAAAACGGCATGGTGTTTTGTACACACCAGTTTTTGATGCAATACTTGTGGAATTTTGTTTTTCTTTCGATCGACGTTTAAGTCTAGCAAATCGTCGAGCCGTATCTGGATCTGATAATGATATAAAATTTAAAATTAGTTTAGGACATTGAAAAAAAATTCAATAAAAAAAGTTTCAATAAAAAAAATCCAAAAATCATGTGATTGACACGTGCATCCAAACTTTTACATACCATTGCCATGTAATTTTTTCATAATTTTCACTATTCGCGACATTAATTTTGATCTTTCTTGTTGTGGAACATTACCGTTTTTAAATGCTTCACTTTCTTCATTGATTTTACAGCCTAATATTTCCATGAAAACATCAAATTCAATCAACTCAAATCTGAATTCTATTTCATCAGACAGTTCGACAGTATCAAATGATGAGTCGTTCAAATATTGTGTTACATCGAATGGATCACGTTGATGGCTAATATTTGTAGTCGTTGATGATGATGATGGTGATGAAGATGACTGTATGATAACAGTTGATGATGATGTTGATGACGATGGTTCATTTAATGATTGTTGTAATGAATGATTAGGTGGCGATGTTGAAAATTTATGTTTCATTCCTATACCAGAACCCATCATTACAAGACTATTTGAACGTTTTCTTTTTCTATTACCTCGATCACCACCACCACCACCATTTCTTTTTTTTCTTTTTGGTCCTTTCGGTGGTAATGATTGTTGTTGTGATGGTGGTTGTAATGATGGGTGGTGGTGGTGGTGGTGGTGGTAAAGAAAAAAATCCAGGTTTTTCATCTCTAAAAAAAAATTGAATTTTGAAAAATTTTTTTGTTTTGTTTTTCGACATATTTAAATTTATTATTAAATTAAAAATGAATTTAAAATCTAACCTGCTATCCTGAAAGCCTGAAAATTGTTGCGATGATGGTATTGGTAGTGGCGGCGGACCAAATCTATTATTATTATTATTATGGATTCCACCTAATCCGATTCCATTCTTGTTGTTGTTGTTGTTGTTATTGTTATTCATTATCAAATCATTCTCTTTAAATCCTTCTCTGTTGTTGATATTTGTTGAATTCATAATATAATCATTATTAACATTATTATTATTATCATCATCATCATCATCATCATCGGCAATTTCACCATCTTCAAGAATTTCACCTTCTTCAGTTTCATCTGTTGACATCATCATCATTAATTTATTATGTTGGCTATTCGTAGTAGTAGTAGTATTCGTTATGATTGCCGATTGATCCATATATGAAAAAAAAAAAATAATAATCAAGGAAAATCAATTTTTTTGATTTTGTCCAATTTATTTTTTTTCAAACTAAATTTATCCGTTGTAGATGTGATTCTTCTCTGTTGCGATATTATTTTCTGATTACAAAGAAAAAAAAAGAATCGAACGAATGAATAAAAAAAAATGTCAGTAATTAATAAGTCAGATGAATAAATTAGAAATGAAACACTAAATTCATGATGATTCAAATAATCTCTAAATTTGGAATTTTGATTGTTTTTTTTCATTCATGCAAAAAAAAAATTTTTTTTTTTTGTAATAGTCCAGCCAGATGCTATCAGATAGTGTGTGTGTGTCTAGTAGTAGAAATTAATTTTTTTAAAATTTATTTTTTCGACAGAAACATTTAATTTATAAAAATCTTTTTGGATTGTTTTCTTTCAAATCAGATTTGTTCACTATTTCGAATTTGTTTGAACCACTATTTCGAATTTATTCGATTCGAGTTTTTTCTATTTTGATGTTTTTTTTTTGTCTCTATGGTAACCACCACCATATACATATATTCAATTTCAATTTCCTTTCTCTTTGTTGTTGTTTTCATTCTCATCCCCCTATATATATTTTTTTTTACAAAATTGGTATCCAAAGCTTGAATACACATACACACACACACACACACACACACTCGCAGATAGACCAATCTTGGTATAGTAAAAATATAGACCAACAGGAACAGAGCGTGTGTGTGTGTGTGAGTGAGAGAGAGAAAGAGTGTATGAGAGGGGGGAGTATGAAAGGAAATTATCGATATTTTTTTGGACACATTTTGTCTGAAAACATCCATTTCAAAAAAAACAACAACAGCTAAATTATTATAGTTGATTAATTCGTTGTTGTATGACAGAAGTATGTCGCGCTTTCTTTTCAAAAAACAACAACAGAGCGTGTGTGTGTGTGAGAGAGAGAGAAAGAGTGTATGAGAGGGGAGTATGAAAGGAAATTATCGATATTTTTTTGGACACATTTTGTCTGAAAACATCCATTTCAAAAAAAACAACAACAGCTAAATTATTATAGTTGATTAATTCGTTGTTGTACAATTTTGTTAATAATAATTGTTGTTTGCCATTGTTGTTGCTGCCATTGTTGTTGCGGCCATTGTTGTTGCGGCCATTGTTGTTGCGTGCCATTGTTGTTGTGGTGGTTGTTGTTGTGGAATCGTTTTGTGGTGGTGGTTGTTGTTGTGGAATCGTTTGTGGTGGTGGTTGTTGTTGTGGAATCGTTTGTGGTGGTGGTTGTTGTTGTGGTGGTGGGATCGGTGTTGAGACACGGACCCTTGGCCACCGATGTCTTCGCTTTCTGGGTGTAGTTGATGATGACCACGTGGGTGACCGAATTTCTACCGAGTCATTTTGAATTTGCTCGAAATCTTACGTGAGAATCTGCAAAGTCACTTGTCAGAATTATTGTTCCTTCTTGAAATCTTGCTTCTCCTAAATTCTTCCTGAGTTTTGCCACCAATTCATTGGCAATTTCCAAATCTTCAATTATTTTCTCCCTTGTAGGAAGATTTTTGCACGTTGTTTGCTTTCCAAGTATCAATATCTTGGGTTGCCTTTGATGATATCTTTTGATAAGATTTTGCTTCATCTAAGCATTTGCTTATTTCTTCTGGAGGATTTTTGCGTCGAACATTTGTCTGCTAATTTCTGATGCGGCCTGCTGCCAACCAGAAGGACTATTGAGTCAAGCTCAAAATCACTAGGCGAATTTGTTTTGCATTTTTCTTGATGTAAATTTTACACGGTAGCTTTGAGAGAAAGATTTTTATGTGTAAAATCGAAACTCTACTCACGTTTTGAGGACCGGATGCTGGTATCCAACTCTGAACTTTCTTGATCAATTTTGCCAATGTCAGGGTGAATATCCCGATTTTCTTCTTTATGGAAACAGGGACCAAGTCAAAATCTTGCTGGCTTGTGATGTATAACTTGCTTCGGCTACGGAGACGGATCCTGTACTTTGAAGATAGCTATACTGGTGTGCAACCACGTTTTTCCCGAATGGATTTCTTGTGGTCACTTGCTTCCAAGTTGAATTTTTCTTGGGATAATCACACCGCGTTCTTGGTTGTCGATAGAAAAACTCATACACACATAAACACACGATACCAACTTAGAATATAAAAATGTTTATTGAAAATGAATGAAAAATAATTAAATGTTGAACAAAAGGCAAAAGTGTGATATTGTGACGGTAATGGTGATGATGAAATATGGCGACAACCAGCAAAGTGATCAGTGTGATCAAATCGTGGAAAATAATGATGATGATTTTGAGTTGTCGTCCTGACAATTCCAGGCATGATTTGTTGGTCAATCCAACTGCCAAATGGTCAAGACCACGCCTTTTTGGTAACCCGCTCACTATTTTCGAGTGGACCATGCTTTTCAGCTTGCTCGTTTCAGAACTTGCTTGAAGTTGTGGCCACGTGGAAAACTTCTTCGAGTTAGTACGTGACCTATGACCACGTTTCTGCCATGCTGGATTTCTTTCTGCGGTTGACTCTCTTCTCCTAACCAAAAAGGGAAGTAGATCCAGCTCGATGTTCTTTGCAGGACATCACATATATTTTTTTTACAAAATTGGTATCCAAAGCTTGAATACACATATTAGCCACACAAGCTGCACACACACACACACAGCAATTGCAGATAGACCAATCTTTGGTATAGTAAAAAATATATAGACTAACAGGAACAGAGCGTGTTATTGAGCAAGTATGTGAGTGAGAGAGAAGAAGGCAGTGTATGAGAGGGGGAGTATGAAAAGAAATTATCGATATTTTTCGGGATTAGCCTCAGTCTTCCAGAAACAGGTCCATTTCAAAAAAACAACAACAGCTAAATTATTATAGTTGATTAATTCGTTGTTGTACGTTAATAATAATGAAAAATTGATTGATAATTTAAATTAGCTGGCCGAAGGCTTGTAAAAACACACACACACACACAAGAACTGAAAATCACTGGACAACAAAAAAAAATTGGTGATGATGAACAAATAAAAAAAAAATTCATTTACCCAGGTAATGCACACACACACACGCACATCGATAAATATTCCACAAATTCAAAAATCAGAGATAGCGAAAGTGACCACACAGAGAGAGACAAAAATTCATTCGAACGTTTTTTTTTGTCACACACAGCATATATATGTCGCGATGATTGACGAAAATATTTTTTTTGTTCGTGATTGTTCCGGTTTTCCAGGAATATTCTTTTTAGTACTGTTTGTTTCTGATTCGTTCTGCCACATCTCTTTTTTTTTTGTTTTATATTGTTTTGTACCAACATTTTTCATCATCATTTGTTTGTTTGTTTTTTTGCGATTCTTTTCATCAATTGTGTTTATATCGCTCCAAGAAAATTCATTCATTGATGATTCAATTCATTGTATTTTTTTCTGGATCATTTTTGTGTGTGTGTGTGTGTGTGTGCAATTTCATTCGATATGTATCAAAATAATTAAATGTTTTTTTTTCTAAACATGATAAAAAAAAATGCTGATTAGCCAATTTCAATTTCAATAATCATCAATTGTAAAATGGAAAGAATCGAATCGACAACAACAACAACAACAACAAAAAGGACGATCAAAAGACATTCATGAAATGTGAAAAAAAAACAACAAACATTGAATGCCAGTGAAAATGTATCACTTTTTTTTCGGGTATTTCTTCGTCTTTTTTTTTCTTTAAATCATCATCATCATCATTTATAAAACTAAAAAAAATTATTTCAACAAAAAAAATAATCAGCAACTATGGTTTATCGTTCGATGTGTGTGGTGTGTGTGTTTAGTGTAGTCGTCATCAACACATTGAGATACTATACATTTTTGATCGACGTCGTAGACAAAAAACAACAACAACAACAACGATATTATATTGAGCACAATACAATTTGTTGTACTATATAGTACGCATGTGCAAAATGAAAATTGATCATACTCCCGCCGATGCCTTTTATATTTTTTTTTTATTTAGTCCTTTTTGGATAAACGTAGCGACATTATTGATTCAGCACCCTCCTCTCCCCGTTCAGGGAGGAGTAGTAGTAGTAGTAGTAGGAGGAGGAAGAAGAAGAGGGGGTGTGTATGAGTGGAAAATTTTAAAATCGTTCCAACAACAACAACAAAAAATGCATAAGTTCAGTGATCGAATAAATCAATTAATAATTAAAAAAAAAAATTAATTTTATAATTACCCAGATTTTTTGTTTTTCAAAAAAAAAAGATAAAGATGATTAGCACACACTATATAACACACACACACAGACACAAACACCTGAATTGATCCTTTTTTTCCGTTTTGTTTTGTTTCCACGTTTTATCTATCAATTTTTTTTTCGCTAATTGATTCCTCGTTCCAATAACAACGGCAAAAAAAATGAAGTTGTGATGAATATATAGAATATATATGGATGTGAATATATTTCTTATTTTTCTTTTTTTTTCTCGAATCCAATCAAAAAAAACGACGACGGATAATAAAAAAAATCACAATTTAAAAAAATCCAATTCGTTATCATAAAAGATGACGATTTTTAGATGATGATTTTCGATCGATCGATGAATGATCAATAAAATGATGATGAATTATAACAATGACGAGAATGTAACGAATTTTCCCAAAATTCTATTTTTTTTATATTCTAGATTTCTTTAAATTACACACAAACAAACAAAAATTTACTCATAACAAAGCAACACAAGAGAAATTTCGATGAATATATCTAAAGCTTTTGCAAAATTTTGGGTTTTGTTTCGTTCGTTTGTCTATGTGTCAAGTTTGTTTTTTTACTGTTTTTTTTCAAAAAAAAGGCAAACAAACATTTAAAAATGTGTCAATTTAAATGATGTGATGATTTTAAAAACGAATATAATATATAAAAACATGACATTTGATTTCAGAAATTTCTTTATGTGTCCGAAATCAATACTTTCGAATACATATATATCAATGATGATGATAATAATAAAAATAATAATGGCGACGACGAAGCGTATATATATGCAACAAAAATACAGCAAAAAATTGAGCAAAAGAGGAGGAGAAGGAGGAGGAGCAGATGAGCAACACAAATTGTCCGTGTCGTAAATGACGTATATCGTATGATTATCTTTTTTTGTTTTTGTTTTGTATATATTTCATATATGTTCAAATTCAATACAATTTGATCATTTGTTGCGATGAAATCGATGAATGTGATAAGATAAAACAAAAAAAAAGATGGGTATTTGAAAAAAAAACAAAAACAAAAACACTGATTGATGATTGATGACACAAGAGAAAAAAAAACGAAAACAAAAATCACATTTGAAACTTTGAAATTCGCCTTGATTTTTGTATTTATTTGTCAGATTCGAAAAAAAATTCTTTGTCTGTTTCGTTATTTTCAAATTCCGAAAATTCTCCCGTTTTTGTTTGTTTGTTTTGTTTTGTTTGAATTTTGATTCTGGATATATTTCACCTTTTGGGTTTTTTTTTGTATTCTGTTCTGTTCAATCAATCAAGATCCAAGAGAGAAGAAGAAGGAAAAAAATTCATTTCAAAACAAAAAAAAAATATCGTCATAAAATTGGATATAAAAAATGAAATGCAACTGTAGACATGAAAATGGAAATGCATCAATTTTTTTAGTTTTACATCATCATCATCATTATTATCATCGTCGTCGTCATCATTTTTTTCTTTTGAGTAAAGGAATAGCCGCTCTGTAGCTCGGTATAAGAATTTTTTTGAGATTTTCGCTTTCAAATGGTGCTCTTTCTCCGGTCTCTCTCTCTCTCTCTCTGTATCGTAAAAAAAACCGGTATGCGCGATTAGATTATTTTGATCATCACCGACATCATTATCGATAAAAAGAAGTTGACAATCAATGATGATGGTTCATGATTTCAAGAGTTTATTTTTTTTTTTTTTTTGAAAAATGGATGCTCACCATTTCATTTCATTTTACCATTACTGTTTTCAATGTGTCCTAAAAAAAGAAAGTTCTTCATCGAATATCAGATATTCGCGAATTTTGTTGTTTTGTCGCCGAAGCAACGCTATCTAAACGGTGTGGACGGAAACCGTTTATTGTATTTTAGTTTTTTTGTTTTCAATTAATTATATCAAAAAGTATGGATTGAAGTGGATAATGTTTACTTCGTCGTCGTTGTCGTTGTTGTTGTTGTTTATTATTAATACATTTTTCACCATTATAATCATCATAATTTAATGGAAATGTCATTGATCCACCTAAATGATTATCCATAATCCATTGTGCTTTTATTGTTATACTTTCATAATCATCATATGTAATCCATTCATATTCACGATATGCATATGGTACTTTGGAATAATGATCAAAAACAATGGTTGTATTTGGATCCAAAAGAAAATCATCGCAAATTTCATTGAATGCTACTGGTACTATTTAGTTAATTTTGGTGAAAACAAAAACAGAATTAGGAATAATCAGCATATATATTCAATATATCAAATTACCTTCAGTACCATTGGATAATGCATAAAGATTATGAAAATTTTTATTAACCAGATAATATTTATAACCATAGAATGGTATTCCGACCATTATTTTCTGTGGCAATAATCCCAATTGTATCATATAATTAACGGCAAAATTTGTATTAAAATATTCAAAATATAATCTATCCAATTGATTTGCATATAATGGTGAATTAAAATTCGTATATGGAATTGTATTCGGTGAATGAAAATCATATGTCATTAGATTGACAAAATCCACTAGATGGCCAATAGAATGGATATCATAACTGGTTTCAACAATATAAATAACCGGTGATAATGCCACGCTCAATATGTATGGTTTACCACGATGATTGAATTTATGTTTAAAACGATATCTAATCATTCGTAATAAATGTGTAAATTGATGTTTACGTTGCATAGGAAATTCCCAATCTAAATCGAATCCATCCAAATAAAATCGATCCATTAATTGGATGATTGAATCAATAAATCTTGAAAATGAAAATTCAAAAAAAAAAATTTCAAATCGTTAAAATATAGACCACTGAAATACTTACTTTTCAATTTTCTTTGGGTTATCAACAAACGACATATCCGTTGTACCTATCGATATTAGATAATATTGTTCCGTTTGATTATTAGTTGATGACATAACTTTACGTATATAATCATCCATCAATGTGGAAACATTAACATTATAATCATCCAGGTGAGCAAACGAAAATATCCAATGTGTACATAATGAATATTTTAATTGATCAATAGGTATTAAATGATTTTGTTGATTTTCAATCAATAAATAACAAATACGTTTTGGTTGATGTTGATCATTAAATGCATTGATAGTTTTCATTAAAATCAATAATTGAATTAATAGAAAAAATCCATTTAGGATTGTCTTTTGATGGCGATAATATGATTGTAGATTCATCATCATCATCATTTTATTAAAATGTTCAGATTCGAAGCATTTATTTATTGATTGAAAATCCATTCAAAACATGATAACGATTCGATATATGATATGATATGATGATCATGATCATGAGAAACAATCATTTGACTTTTTTCTTGATCAGATGTTTGCTTTGTTTTCATTTTGTCAATGGCAACCGTTTTGCACATTTCATCACTGTGAAAATTCGAAAATTTCGAATGCATTGCAGTCACATTCATTGATTCAATGATATATTGACATGACATCAAGTATATCATATATGATTATATTATCATCCATAATCTAATCTAATTTGAAAATTTTTTTATCCGAAAAAAAAGAAATCATATGAATTTTCCCAACAAAATGATTCAGCGAAAACCAAAGACCAAAGAAAAAAAGTTTCCGAAAATTTTTTTTCAACATTTTTTGGAATTGGAGAAAATTTCCGGGAAAACAGAAAAAAAAATTTTTATGCCAGTTGGTGGCAGCACCATATATATCCATATATTGAGCTCTCATTGTTGTGTTCTGGTTTTTTCTATTTTTTTTTTTTTGTGTTTCCATTATTTTTGTGATCCTGGTGGTGGTGGTGGTGGTGGTTGCGTGCTTGCGTATTATAAACGTGAGAAAATATGGCTTCCAAAATGTACTCGTCGTCATCGTGTTTTTGGTGTTGGTGTTGGTATTGTTTTTGTTGTTTTTACTCATGATCAATATATATATAGCAGACTTTCTTATATTCAACAGCAAACTATAGCTTATAGCGATCGAAAAACGATTTGTTTGTGATTCTAAATTTTCATCATCGTCATCATCATCATCATTGTCTTCATTAGTCATAATCAATCAACTTTTTTTTTTGAAAGCAAGTACGAAAAAATATTGACTTTCGATCAATTTCGCCTCTAATCACATGCTTACAAAACCGAAGAGGAAAAAGAAAACCCGTTCTACGTTCATTTTTTTTCTATCTTCCTGTATTCGAAATTGTTCCAAATCGAAAAAAATTTGACTCACTCGAAAAGAAAAGACATTTCTGAGTTCACATTTTTTTTCGTTTGTTTGTTTACCTCGTTTGATACGTTGTATTTCGTCTTTGTGTTTATCATCATCATCATTATCATCGTTTATATATGTGTGTGTTATTTGTGTTTGTATCCATCCATCAATCCAACATATTCTGGTCGTTTACACAAATAACCACCGAACAAGATTAACAAAAAAAAAAGATGTCCGTTCATTATAAATTCAAAAGTGGTAAAGAAGCCCATACAATTACATTTGATAGTCTACATATTTCTGTTGGTGAATTGAAAAAATCCATTATGCAACAAAGAAAAATTGGTAAAAGTGCCGATCTTGATTTAGAAATTACCAATGCTCAAACTAAAGAAGGTATGTGAATAAATATGAATAATAATCAAATCAATGTTAATATATTAACCTTATCAATTATCGATTATTATTAGTGTATAAAAATAATGCAACATTAATACCTAAAAATACATCTGTGATTGTTGCCCGTGTTCCTGTGGCAAATTCGAATAAAAAATGGAATAAAAACAATAATACAAGTGGAAATAATAAATCTGTAAGTTGTTAAAATATAATAATTCTGAATCTTTGAATGGTTAATTATTAATTCTTTGATTTTCAACAACAACAAAAAAGGATAACACATCATCATCAAATATGGCAACATCATCTTCTTTGGTTACCATCACTACAGCTGGTAGTGGTGGTGGTGGTGGTTCTGAAGAAGATAAAATCAAAGAAATGCTAACACAATCAACCAAAGATTATGATCCATCTAAATATGCAAGAGGACGTGGACCAATGGGACCATTACCACCTAATTATACTTGTTATCGTTGTGGAAAACCAGGACATTATATTAAACATTGTCCTACTAATAGTATCGATGTTAAACGTAGTACGGGCATACCACGTAGTTTTATGATAACAGTTGGACCTGAACAAAAAGGAGCAATGATTACGGCTAATGGAGAATATGCTGTACCGATTAATTGACCAGTAAGTCTTTTTTTTCATATTTAACCACAGAACAGAATATCTTCATTAATTTTGTTTTATTTATTTATTCACTTTTTCAACAGTGTTGCATATAAAGTAGTGAAAAAAGAAAAGGCACCATTTTCGGAAAGTGAAAACGAAATCAATAATGGTGAACAACAACAACAACAGCAACAAAAAATTGAAATACCGGAAGAACTACAATGTTCGCTTTGTAAAAATCTATTACAGGATGCCGTATTGGTACCATGTTGTGGCAACAGTTTCTGTGATGAATGTAATTTTGTTGGTCGATTTATTATTATTATTATTATTATTATGAATTATAAAATTCTCTATCCATATTCTTTAAATTTATTATCACCATCATCATCATTATCATTATTTTCATCATCTTTTTATTTCCCATTCAACAAAGTAGTAGTAGTAGTTGCTAAACACACATTTAATCTATTTATCTCTTTAGTAGAGTATATATTAGCATGTGACTTGATTTGACAAAAATTCATTCAAATCTTTTTAATCTTTATTTTTTTCAAAATTCTCAATAATGCTTTTATACACATATATATTGATTGATAATAATCCCATTGAACAAGAATCATTTTTTCTGTTCCCATCATCATTACCACTTCATCAACAAAAAAAAACATCGAAATGAATCATCAAATTCTCTTCAAAATGTGATATAAAAAAAAATTTACATATAAAAATCGTCGAAAATGATGATATGCAGATCAAAGATTGGTGTGTGTGTGTGTGTGTGCGTCGGCACGAGAACCCCAAGCCAGATGATGATGATGATGGTGGCGTCGGAATTTGGTTAAAAAATGTATCGTAATATAACAACCGAAGAAACAAACGAAACGAAAAACCAAATAATCAACATATCAACGACGAAATCTATCTATTCAAATTTTATTGAAAACAAAAACAAACAAAAAAAATGATAATTTGTGTGATAATAATTATGATGATTTGTGATATAACTTTAATTAATAATTATATTAATTATGGATTAATTAATAATTTTTTTTCAAGAAAACAAGAAAAGAAATGGACAAAAATTCAATATATCAATATATCGATTATTGATCCATTTTATTATAATTTACCAAACTTAATTTAAATTTTTACATGTGAAAAACTTTTTCTTTTACTATTTCATTTTTTTATCCTCTGAAACCAAAAACCAAAAAAAAAATGACCAAAAATGTGATTGTCCAGGTTGATTTTCTTTTTAGAGTATCCCTGGATACATCAAACTAAAAAAAATGATTTGACGAATAAAAAAAAACTTGAAATTTAGCGAGAAAATTTTTTTTTGTTTCCTAACATTTACAGATTCTTAAGCGGTTTGTATATATAAAATTCCAACCTGATGATTTTACATCGATGAAGAAGAAAAATTTTTTTTTTCAGTTCATTTCCTTTCTGTGTTTTTTTTTCTTACTACATTATATCCACCATTTTATAAATACTCATAATGATTGTCTTTTTTTTTTCTTCATTTTTTTTTTGTTTTCAAAAATCTAGGTATACGATTATTATTATTGGAATCAGATAATCATGAATGTCCTAGCTGTCATGAAATAAATGTTTCACCAGATAATTTGATACCGAATCGTTTTCTACGATTATCGGTGGATAAATTTCGTAAAGAAACTGGATTCAATAATCGTATGGCCATAAAGAAAAAGAATATTGAAATTGATGATGATAATAAAATTGATCAACAACAACAACAACAATCAAATCAATCAATCGATGATAATGGTGATGGTGATCATGATGATAATGGTGTGGATGATAGCAATGAGAATATGGATCAAGAATCATCAATTTTGAAAAAAGATGACAATAAAGTGGATGATGAACAAAAAATCGATAATGCGATGATGATGAGGATGGCAAAACAAACAATGAAATCGACGATAATGATGAACAAATTGTGAACAAAAAAGAAAATGATGATGAAATTATTGAAAAGCCCATAGTGACTAAAAACGATGATGATAATGATGATGATGATGAAAAAGATGAAAGTGGAAAAATTTTACGTCATAATGATGATGATGATAAGAAAAGGTTTGTGTTTGTGAATTTTGCATGAATTTTTTTCTGTTTGGAATTTGAAATTAATTTTTTTTTCTCATCATCATCATTCATTTCTAGTGAAAAAAATCCAATACCAACTACTAGTACTACTAATACTAATATTAATGATTCTGATTCATCATCATCATCATCGTCAACAGCAGCAGCAGCAACAACAACAAATAGAATTGGATCATCGAATCAATTACCTGTGATTGGTGGCAATGTATTGCCACCGCCACCATTTTTTGGTCAATTTCATCCAAATTTTTCAAATAATCGATTTAGAGTAAGTGATTTATTGCTTTTTTCAAATGTATTTTCCAAAAATTTCATTTTTCTAATTCTATATTTATACAGAATCATCAAATGCCCATTGGTGTACGATCTAGCCGTGGACAGCCATCAATATTGCCACGTCCACCTGGAATGTTACCATTACCACCTCGTTTATCGCATACACAAAATAGAAATCTAATACAATCAGATTCGACATCAGCACCAGTTCCATTTCCACCACCATTGCCTGGATTAGGTCAATTAGGTCTGCCACCGATACCACCACCGCCGCCTTTACCACCATTTTTTGGTGGACAGATTAGAAATCCATTGTATGATAATACAATGTATGGTATAAATAATCGTATGGGTACACTAAATCCATTGCATATTCCTGGCGGGAACCAACCGGGTTTGATCCATTAAGTGCATTAAATGGTCGATCATTAATGGAAAATTCTTATTATTCATCATCATCATCATCATCGCGTAAATATGATGATTATGAAGATCGAATTGGAACGATTTAATAGACAATTAGAATCTCGTTATCGTCCTAAGCTATCGAGATGATGATCGTTCTGGACGTTCAATAATGATTGATGATAGGCGACGAGATCATAGTCGATCCCGTTCACCATCTGCTTCTAGTCATCAAAGAAATCGTCGTGATTCGTTCACGATCAATCCTCATCAAAGAGGTTCATCACCATCAATTATCCGTTCACATCGATCACCATCACGATCATCATCAAAATCTGACATCGTTCTAAACGTTCGGAAATACCACCGCCGCCTTTACCACCATTTTTTGGTGGACAGATTAGAAATCCATTGTATGATAATACAATGTATGGTATAAATAATCGTATGGGTACACTAAATCCATTGCATATTCCCTATGGACCAAATGGGCTTGATCCATTAAGTGCATTAAATGGTCGATCATTAATGGAAAATTCTTATTATTCATCATCATCATCATCATCGCGTAAATATGATGATTATGAAGATCAATTGGAACGATTTAATAGACAATTAGAATCTCGTTCTCGTCGCTATCGAGATGATGATCGTTCTGGACGTTCAATAATGATTGATAATAGAAGACGAGATCATAGTCGATCTCGTTCACCATCTGCTTCTAGTCATCAAAGAAATCGTCGTTCTCGTTCACGATCAATCTCATCAAGAGGTTCATCACCATCGAGTATCCGTTCACATCGATCACCATCACGATCATCATCAAATCGACATCGTTCTAAACGTTCAGAATCACGTGAAATATATGAATCATCAATATCAAGAAATCGAGATGGTGATCGCCGTCATCATCATCATCATCATCATCAACAACATCAACAACAACATCATCGATCGCCTTTACCACATCGATCATCACGTTCACCATCATCACATTATCATAATAGATATGCATCGAATGTTGGTGGTAGTAGTAAATCATCATCATCATATCTTGACAGCGGCAACAATCATCTACACGTTAGCCATCGTCAACAAAATAGAAATAATAGCCGAAGATCTCGTTCACGTTCTTATTCCAAATATGATAAAAGGTTTGTTTAGAAGAAAAATTTTTTTTCCCATAATAAGCATTTTTTTTATATCTAATGGTATGACTTTTTACAAATGAACCAAAAAAATTCGAAAAATTCCTTAGAGGTGAATATGGAGAACGAAACCGTGAACATTATGATCATGATGATAAGAATCGCCATGATGACAGTCGCCATAAGTCTTCGTCAACATCACGCCATAAACGTGAATCTTCCTATCATATGAATCGAACAATCACTGACAAAGATGAATCATCATCATCATCATCATTGAAACGTCGAACTGATAAATATGGCAACAACAACAACAACAATAATAGAAACGAAGATTCTACTACTAGCCATCATCATCGTCGTAGACATAGTAGAGATGAATATGAAGCAGCAGTAGGTGAAAAATGATCGATTTGGATGATGATAGAAGAATGGGCAAATCTGATCCATATACTAATTCAAATGATGTGAATTTAGTATGTGGTATTAATGATTTTGATTTTATTCACCAGAAAGGTTTGTTAACTTTTTTTTTTTTTGTTATCAGTTTTTCTTATCATTTATTTTTTTTTTTGTTTGTTTCGTTTGTTTTCTACCTCCATATGTATATAGAATCCAATTTGATTGATATTAAATTACAAGATGATGACGATGATGATGATCAACGCCAATATGATAAACTAGATGTCGTTGATAAACGTCATCAAAATGATTCGGATAATAATGTTGCAAGTGACGACGATGATGATGATGATAATGGCAAACGAATTATCATCAAAGAATCTAAATCGATTAAGAGTAAATTGTCAGATCATGGTGATTCTAAATCTGGCCACAGATTTAAGGAAAAATCTTCGAAAAAAGAAAAATCATCATCCAGTAATAGCATAAGCCAAAAGAAAAAGAAGAAAAATCAAAATCAAAGTGAATCAAGTAGCAGCAGTAGTAGTGAAAGTAGCTTAAGTAGTAGTGATGATGACAGTTCATCATCGTCATCGTCATCATCATCATCATCATCTGACGACGACGACGATGACGACAACGATGGTGCCACATCTACTTCATCGAATATATCAATTTCTGAATCGAAAAAAGAACAAAAAATAAAATCGAAAAAATCCAAAAAAAGCAATGAAATTCGTAAAAAAGAATCAAAATCATCATCAGCATCTAGTAATAAGAAATTTATGAATGATGATATTGATAGAAAATCAGAAAAAGATCGAAGTAAACAATCATCAAAAAATAAATCTAAATCATCAACAAAATCATCATCATCATCATTGAAATCTTCATCTGATCATTATGGCCATCATAGTAAATCGTCTTCAAAAAGTGAAAAATCTTTGAAAAATTCTGCTGAACATAGTGGCAGTAAGTCATCATCAACTAAAAAACATCATCATGAAGAGGAAAAAAGAGCCAGTAGTGGTGGTGGTGGTGGTAAACGTTCAAATAATAAAAGATCCAGTAAAGATGATGATGAATCGAAGATTAAAGAAGAAAAAGAAGAAGAAAAAAATAAGACTTTGGGTTCTTCTACTTCTGATAATGTAATCGATATTGAGAATAATAAAGCATCATCATCATCATACATTGAAAAACAATGAATGGAACATTGTCGATGAACATCATCAACAACCATTAACAGCGATAGATAAACCGAAAACAACAACAACAACAACAACAACTTTTTCATCTTTAAATGTTCCAGTTCAAGGCATTGGCAATATTGTTGAAGAAGAAGAAGAAAACGGAAAAGAACAAGCTTCGATTAATGAACATCAAGCAAAAGAATTGGACAGACAAGAACAAGAAAATTCTGGTACAGTTAATAACAAAAGTAAGCCTATATTTCAATATAAATTATATATACACACACGACTGAACAACAAAAAAAAGAAACACAAACAAATTAGTGAAAAACTTTATATTAATTATATTGCAATGTTTCTAATTAATCTAGATTTGTCAGAAGATTTATCGCTAAAAGAATTGCCAGTTCCAGTAATGTCCAATAGCAAGAAAATATCGTTAACAAACAAAGCAACAACAACAACAACAACAGCAAAGAGTTTGAAAATAAAGACTACTAGTAGTAGTAGTGGTAGTGAAGCAAAATTTGGAAACATTCAAGAAGATGTGGAAATAAAAATTCAAGAAGATTATAGCGATTTAGAAAGCGAAGATGTTACCAATGCCAATGATGAAGGCCAAACATCAAATGTTCATCGATCAGATAATAATAATAAAGTGAAAATGAAATCGAATAATAAGAAAATTATTATCAATGAATCAAATAATGTGGATATCAATAAGATGAATGAAAATGATAAAGATATTTTAAATAATCTAGACAATGATGATGATAATCAAGATGATGATGATCCAAATGGTGGTGGTGGTGGTAGTGGTGGTGGTGGTTGTGATGTTGATGGTGGTAAACATAAAAAAGTAATACAAACAAATGAACAAGGTAAATTGTTGGTATCATTTTCATTTGGAAAACGTTCATCATCCATACAACGACAACAACAACAAGAAGAAGAAGATGATGATTTATCATCGAAACATCATCATAAAAGATGATGATGATGATGGTGAATATAATAAAGAATCATCTAGTAGTACAATGAAACTTAAATCAAAAATAAGTTTAAAAGAAAAAGTAAAAGAATCATCATCATCATCGAAATCGAAACATGATTCTGATAATAATCATCATCATCGACATAATAAAAAAGATAAAGAAAAGGATAAAGAACGATCAAAGGATAAAAAGAAAGATCGATCAGATAAAAAAGATCGACATCATCATCATCATCATCATCATTCATCATCGAAAGATAAAGAAAAAGAAAAAATGGATTCATCATCATCATCTAAATCAAAACCATCATCATCATCATCATCATCAAAGGAAAAAAAACGTGATAAAGAAGAACGTCGATCATCAAATCATAAACAACAGCAACATCATCCATCATCATCATCATTAACATCGACATCAACATCAAAATCAAAACGTTCACATCGTAAACGTTTACATTCAGAAAGTTCAATCGATAGTGATGGTGATGGTGGTGGTGATCATCATAATTCAGGTATCAAATCATCATCATCATCATCGATGAAGAATATTGTTAAAAAGAAAATTAAATCAGCTATTGATCCAATTTCATTTAAACATTCAACATTATCATCATCATCATCATCATCATCAAAGAATAAAAATTCAAGTGATAAAAAATCTTCACATTCACGACGTTGAATGTGAAGATTTGTGGAGAATATAAATTTTTTTTTATTTTTAATTTTATTTTTTCAACAACAACATAGAATATTCTGCTTAAGCATAAATTAGTACAAAAAAACCATACAAAACAAAACAAAAAAAAATTATAAAATTCTTTTCTCATTCATTTTGTAAAATTTTCTAGCCACAAACACACACATACACACACACACACACCAGCAATCATCAACTATTAAGCCGCCATTTTTGTTGTTGTTGTTGTTCATATCCATCCATTTCCGGGCCATACCATCACCATCATCATCATCATCATCATCAAATTATGTGAAGACCTTCGTTTTATGACAAACATACATTGTATATGAATAATGAATAATGAAGTCCAACTAAAAAAATCTGAATTCCGTTTAGTGAATTTAGTTTTGTTTCGTCTTCCTACTCTTTTTTTTTTTGCTTTATGTATTTCTTTTTTTTCTATTCTGATGATTAATTACATCACACACACACACACAGACAGACAGACAGATAGACATGAAAAGCACTGGATTATATATGAATTTTTTTTTGTTTTGTTTTGTTTTTGTTTCAGTTTTCCGTAGAAAAAAAAATGTCAAACTTTGTTTCAAAAACAAAACAAAAATTTTTTTTTTTTTTTTTTTTGATCATCTACAAGAATGGCGAACAATTTTGTTGTTTGTAACACAGACACACACACACACAGTGACATTTTCCTGTACAGAATTTATTCGTATCAATCTTTTTTTTCTATTCATTTTTTTTTTGTTCGTTTTTTTCCCTTTCTCTCTCTCTCTCTGTATGTCTTTGTTTTGTCGTATTAATAAATGATGACAAATTCTATGTGAAAAAAGTTATTATTTGATGGGTGTGTGTGTCTGTGTGTGTGTGGGTTTTGTTTTTATGTTGCAGTATTGTGTATTGATGGTGGTGGTGGTGTTCGAAGTTGGAGGGTTTCCAGGGGTTGATGATAATAATAATAGGAATTATCATCAATGACGATGATGATGATGATCGAATTTCATGAGTTTTTTTTTTTGGTGGATCCATTTCTTATTGTGCGTGAAAATTAATTCACACATTGATGACAAAACTTTTTTTTTCTTTTCTTTTTCTGTTTGTGACGATTATTTCCATCCCCTTCCTTTTACTCCCATCAAAGCATTTTTGATGTCATTTTGTTGTTGTTGTTTGTTGTTGTTGTTGTTGTTGTTGTTGTTGTTTCAACTAAACAAAAACTACTTACAATGACGACAACGACGACGATGATGTGAACGATTTATAATTGGTAACATTGTAACATTGAAAAAATTGTTGTAAATTCATTCATTCATTGATGATGATGATGATAGTTTGTGTATAATGGACGATGAACGCTTACACACACACACACACACGATTGTTTAATGATGCTTGTAATAAGTTGTAAATTAGTTCACATATATATATAGGGATTAATTGATGAGAATAAATTTTTTTTTTTTTTTGTATATTGCTGAATGTTTAGTGATTTTTTCCTTTTTGTTTTTCATTCCTTCCTGTGTGTGTGTGTGTATAACATTGATGGCAAATTTCCGTCTTTCTCAGATTCTTTTCCATCATCATCATCTTCTTCGTTCTTTTCTGGTTTAATGTTGATAATAAATTAGACAGAAATTAGTGGAGAAAATTTTTTTTTTGCTTTTGCTTGTAAACACCAGAATGATTGCGACAATAAAATGATGCAGTCAAAATCGATGAACAGTGAAAAAAGAGATGAAAGAGAAAAAAAAATTAAAACAAAACAAAAAAAAAAACAAATGTCGATCGGGTTATTATGTTGTTGTTGTTGTTGTTGTTGTAAAAGTAGCATTAACTTTTTTGTTGTTTTGTTTTTTCCATGGAAAAAAAACTTAAATTTCCCGTTTATCGATTTCGTTCCCGTGGATTTATAATTTTTTTTTTTTTTTTTTTTTTTTATTCAGAAAAAAAAAGTTTTTTTTCTCGTTTTTTTGCGTTTTTTTTTATTTTGTATCGAAAAGATTTTCCTTCCCTCTCCCCCTCTCAAACATTCATAAAACATTCATATATACCGAATAAATATTTGTTGGAATGTTAAAAAAGAGAAAAAAAGCGAATTGAATTCGATCATCATCATCGTCATCCGATCCGATTTTATTTTTATTACCATTGCCACTACTACTACTGTCGTCCATTGTTTTGTTTGCGTTTTTTATTCATCGAAAATTCTCCGGTACTTTTTTTTCCTCACTATTCAAAATTCTAGCTGATTGGTTGAAATTCTTCTTCTTTTTTTTTCATCAAAAAAACTTGAAAAGTTCATATAGTTTGTTCTTCAACATCGGTGGCAACAACGACAACAAAAATTTTTTCTTTTTTTTATTGTTGCATTGATTTTATTGCAAATGAAATAATAATAATAATAAAAATTCACATTCAATCGGATATCAGATGGATATGGATTTCTCGTAAACATAAACATTCAGACAGAAGAAGAACGAACGAACGAAAAAATCTATTATTCATTCGCACATCCATTATGTAATTGGTTTTGTTGTTTTCGTTTTTTTTTTTTAGTTGCTAAATTTTTTTTCTTTTTGTTATCGAAATAAAAACCGTTAATTCTACGGTAAAATAATGCCTTAACGATTGCGATTACAATGATGGTGGTGATGATGGCTGAAAAATAAACATGGGGCTTCACTGCAATGCATTTTTTTGTTGGTTTGTTTTTTTTTTTTTTTTTGGTCCATGTCGCGATACAATATGATGAACAAAACGACGACGACGACGATCATTTGAATTAGAAAATAATGATGAATATGATGATTATGATGATGATGATGATGATGACAATGAATAATTTTTTGGCAATGATAGTGGTCGTTGTGGTGTATTGATTGAACAGAAAAAAAAGAGAGAAAAACAGGAAATTTGCACAAATAAATTTGTTTATCTGTGGTAAACTTTTTTTTTCTTTGTTGTTTTATTACCATTACCATATTGATATTATATATACATGATATTCATATTTTCTATCGATACACAGCTCTATTAGTGCAACAGAAAAAATCCATTTTTTCGATTTGTTCCAATTCGTTCGTTTGCACTGGCCATCCGGTATCAATTGAATGCAAGCCATACACATATATGGTAGAGATGGATAATAAAATGATGACATCAAAAATGTTCCAGGGAATTTTTTGATTTGCATTTTTTTTTGTCTCTTATTGAATTTTTTTTCCGGTGTACAACAACAGCAGCAGAAAAAAGTCTGATAACTTGGTTATGGTGATTTTTTTTTTTTTTTTTTGGTTTTGTTCTTCGAAACAATTTCGGTATTCATGAACAACGATGAGTACAAATAAATTGATTTCCATTTGTCTTAATGGTCATGGCTACTTGCATTTTGCATTTTTTTTTGAGTAGAAATTCATCGAATCGACATTGCGTGATGAGATTTGTGCGTTTTTTTTTCTATATTAACACCTATGAGAATAATTTATTTTTTTTTTTTTTTGGACCAGCCACCACACCTGTATACTTTCGAGAATTCAATTTTTTTTTCTACATAGAATATTCTTTATAGCACACAACAACATTATTATTATCATCATCATCATCATTATTATTCAGTAAACTGGCAATTTTCAATGATGATCAATTTAGTGGAAAAAAATTTGTTTTTTTCGTACTAAACAAGCCATATTCAATATTCAAATGTATTTTCTGATGATGATGATGAAAAAAAACTCGATCAATTTGAATTGATTGATTTGATTCACATACAGTAGAAAAAAACCAAACAAATCCTGATTGATCCATATTCAAATGAATATTTTTTTTCCTGGTCTAATTTTGATTTGCATTTTGGATTATGTAAATGTGTGCGTGCGTGTGTGTGTGTTTGAGTGCATTTGACAATGTTTGTTTTCGCTGTTTGTTTTTGCTATTTGTTGTCTTAATTCTCAATAATCCTAGAATGATAATAATAAACGAAACAAAAGGATTAGCCTACATTTTTTTATCCTAATATTTAATTTGTAGCAATAAATCCCAATTAATACACAAAAAAAACGAAACAAAAATAGAAAAAAAAATTAATTTGAATGAAAACACACACACACACACACACATGCACCAAAATATAATTAACTTAATCAAAAAATCCATCAAGATATTGGATATTCGATCGATCAATCGATCGATTGATTTTTATAAATTAAAATCTTTATTTGAATCGAATCTTGAATCTTTAATCTTTGCTGCATATGACACACACACACACACACACAAGTTTTTTCCATGTTTACTTGTACAAAATTCATTTGATTACAAACCAAAAAAAAAAAAAAAAACATCTGATCACTGATCAGTGTTCACTTTGTGTATCGATAAAAATCAACTGAAAAAAAACCGATGACCAATGTTGTTGTTGTTGTTGTTGGTTGTTGGTTGTTGTATATTCATTTCAATTATATAAATACCAAAAAAAAAAATGTCTGATCATGAACAAATAAAAACCGATACAAACAAACGACAAACAAACAAAAAACGATACGCCGGTAATGGTGTACGTTGTTTGTGTATAACTTTTCAATTAATAATTGCTTATACAAATAGATAAACATCATGGATTGGAATCAATGGTTTTATATTTAATGTAATGCGTGTTTGCCTGTGTGTGTGTGTGTTTGTGTGTGTTCGTTTGTGTAAACTAAAACTATTATTACACTGAGATAAGAATGAATGAAGAAAAACAAATAATCGGCGTACCGAGAAACAGAAACAGAAACAAAACAAAAAAATTAAAAACCCCGAATAACAAAGACAAACAGTAAAAAAAACTTGAATTTTAGTCACTGGTGTTTGTATATTTGTTTGATTTAGGTCGGTCACGAAGCGGTGGTGATGGGGTATGCTTATGTGAAAGATACACCATACACCACCACCATCACTCGATTGATGATAAAAAATGAAATGAAAAACGAGAAAAAAAATCTACAAAGCTAAGATGTACATATAGGTATAAAGAATGATTGTGATGGGCAGAAAAAGGAAAAATTTTCTCTCGATTAAATG